TCTTATCTAGCACATTCTGCCTCGCCCATTTCTCAATGCGAATGTGCCTTCCTTTTATGGTTACACCCTTTTACCGATTGCCTCTCTTGGTAGTACGAGTTATCACCCACTAATACATCTCCTGTCCTCTATATAAACTCGCTACCATGTACTATATTCCCTAACTTGAATCTACTTGGTTCTTGACCTCCTACTCTCACCAGAGTGATCCTTTCTGCCTCGCCAGCAGTCTATATTCTATCTTCTTATCTGCTCTTCGCAGATAAGCCTATAGTCTCGATCCTTTACTCATCAACTTCATCGACGAGCAAAGCCCCTGTTAACTAGCTGGACTTCTGTCCTTCTAATTAACACAGATCTTATGATTAACCTTCAGGTGTCGTAAGCCTTGGCAGATACGCTTATCATCAAGCCCCACTTGACATAAGCAACCTGATTTGGACATAGGTGTTAAATCTTACTTGCTGAAGCCTCGCCAAGTAAGACCCCTAACCTTGAGCTAGCTCAAGGACGTCCTCGACCATTGACGACACACGCTCTGTTTGAGCGTCGCCAACAGATACCATCCAAGTCGTAACAGGCATCTAATCAATAGAAAGCCCCCTTTACATTATATGTCACCTTTCTACCATATATCTAGCTGATCCTTAACATGAAACACGTATTTGGATGTACTACTGATTATATATGAACATGGCTGACCAGATGTGGAAGGGTAAGATACTGAAAAAGATCAAAAATGTCAAAAATGCGATGTTTGATGTTTTTGTTCCTGTAAAGAGATCCTATGTGTGTCCTGGGCTAGCTATATGATGAATATACCCCAAATATACATAGAAATAAACTCCCTGCTTAAATTAAGGTCCAGTCCTACAGGAAAAAATTTCACAGGAGGTATACCACCAGGAGAGAGTGAATGCACTACACAAAAAGATCTTTCTCTGTGGTCTTGAGCTCCTGACACATTATTCCTACTGTTGAACAGATGTTGGGGACAATTTTTGCAAGCTCATATAGCCAGAAACCAAAAAATGCGAACCTATTTTGTGTTTTCTGTACATATATTGTATGTGTTGATATAGGGCGCTTCAGGGGGTCAAATAAAGATGGTAATATATTCATATATACTACTAAACATGTTCTGAATGCTCCAGGATACTTTCCTGCCAAAGGGGCAAAAGTGCGAAAGTGTTTTATATCCTACCATATGTTGAATTGCCCCTGGAGGAGGAGCAGGCATACAAATGAGCAAAAAAGTGGTCTATTATATTATGTGATACATATATATACTGAACTACTACTTAGATACATGAGGGGACCTATTGTGGTGCAGTGGTAAAGCTGCAGTGAGGTGGGAAGGGTGTGGGAATAATTGATATTGTGGAAAATACCAAAATGGGCAATGTTTTGGGTGTTGTGGGGTAATTCCCACGCTGTGTGGCCAAAAATGCGGTGTAGTATTATTGTGGGAAGTCCTGACATGAGGAATTGAGCCAGAATGAGCAGAAATATACCAAATTGAGCTGTTTGGCAAATTATCCATTGTGGAAGCGGTAATGGATAATCTGTCAAGCATCAGCAATCCATGACAAGGAAGGATAACCAGTGGTCTCTAATGAGACTTGGTTATCCATAATAATGACACTATAGCCTGCAGGAAAAACACTATATTGCTGTAGTCCTGGTGGCAGCTATATAGCACTATGTAGGCACTCATAGGTGCTGTAGCAATATATAGGCACATGCGATACTATTTCGAGCTATGTAGTACTATGTGTTACAAGAACATCTAGACGCTTGGGCCCCTACTATTTTTCTCCTGATCCTCCTCGTATCAGCCCTCGCATCATACCCTTACCCCGACCTCACCCTTGTCATCCTCGTCATCCTCGCATTCCCTTTCGCCCTCTACCTGTCGCTTCAGCAAAGCCAGTACATTTGGCCGGATCCTTTCGCTGACGAAGCATACCCATGCTCCGTTTCACCACCTGACTGATCCTGCGGACAGTCCCCTTGCCCTTACCGTCCGGACGGTAAACCTATGATATGATGCACGACGCATCCCCTTTGCCCTTTTCCCTTTTATGATCTCTGACTCGGTGCGCAGTCGCACATGCAACTTATACTTAGATCCGCAGTTGCACGATCGTGCCCCTGCGCGTTTCACTTCTTATTTCGATCTTTGACTCACTTTCTTATCTAGCACGTTCTACCCAGACCGAACGTGCCTTCCTATTATGGTCTCACCCTTTACCGATTGCCTCTCCCGGTAGTACGAGTTATCACCCACTAATACGCTTCCTGTCCTCTATATAAACTCGCTACCATGTACCATATTCCCTAACTTGAATCTACTTGGTTCTTGACCTCCTACTCTCACCAGAGTGATCCTTCTGCCTCGCCAGCAGTCTATATTCTATCTTCTTATCTGCTCTTCGCGGATAAGCCTATAGTCTCGATCTTTACTCATCGACTTCGTCGACGAGCAAAGCCCCTGTTAACTAGTCGGACTTCCGTCCTTCTAATTAACGACGATCCTTACGATTAACCTTCGGGTGTCGTAAGCCTAGGCCGATATAGCTTATCGTCTCGCACCCGCGTGACATAAGCTACCCGATTTGGACATAGGCGTCAAATCGTACTTGCCGAAGACACGCCAAGTACGACCCCTAACCTTGGGCTAGCCCAAGGACGTCCACAGACCGTTGACGACACAAGCTCTGTTTGAGCGTCGCCAACAGATACCATCCAAGTCGTAACACTATGTAGCACAAAGCTTCACTACAGGCAGCTATGGAACTCAGTCAGGCAAAAAAGTGACTGCAGATGGCTACAGGTTGCACCCGGCTTCACTACACACAGCTATGGAACTCAGTCAGGTAAACAAGTGACTGCAGATGGCTACAGGTTGCACCTGACACATGACACTACTGTAGAGATACAACACTAGGTTTGTCCCAGGTCACAGCCCTTAACGAATTGAATCTATTTTCTGTGACTGTCACATGAATTTTTGGTGGGACAAAGCTAATTTGTGACATATGGAAAAAAAAACATAGGTTATGTGCTAATGGGACCAGAAATCATCATACATTGAATTTGTGATGCGTCTATGCTTTCCACGCCCGTAATCAACCTTCAGAACACTGTTCGAGCCACTCTCCACATCTTCAGCAGTAATGTCACCCACATCATAGACTTTGGAGTGGTTTGAACATAGAAGTCCACCATCTGCATTGATATGGCAGTCAGAACAGACGTGTTCACCCCCGGAAGCCATATGGTCAAGGAGTGCATCCATTGGCACGTCACTGGCATTGAGGTCATGCTCGCTAGCATTGTCGAAGGGGGATTCGGCTCTGATAGTATCAGTGGCCTTGTTCTCTGACTCGGAGTTTGTTGCCTGGTCGACGCTGACAGTCTTGTACTGAGCGGTAGCAATCCTCATCCATCCAGCTGGATCATTCTTCTGAACATCATGTAAATATTGCAATGCCTCTCGGCTTGCGAGGCTTGTGAATGAGAGATTAAATTCTCCCCAGCCTTACACATGAAAAATGCCTTGAAAACATGATTTAGCTCTGTGCATCAAGATTTGACAGTGTGAGAAAATGAGAAACAAACCTGCTTTACAAGCTAAGGCTTGTTTATAGCGTGATATCCATTTATAACCCACTGCAATGACCGATCATGAAGGGTGCCAATTGTTGTGTCAAGTCTGATGAGTGATGCAGACTTGTCTTGGGCAAGTCGAACAAGAGACTCGTTGACTATATCAGCATGCTGTGTCTGTTTGACTGCAAGTTTGAATGGTCGTTGAATACCGACATCACATGGCTGATCAACACCAGTGCAGCCCCCAGGGACAAAACAGTATTTGATCCAAGGGTAGGTCATATCCATCCATGTGCGAAATTGAATTGATCTGTGCACACTCCACACGTCGAGGTGCAAAATACACTCCTGGTCAGCCAGTGCATTGAGTAACACTTTCTGCTCCTCCCAGTAAGGCACCAGAATGTCATTAACATACTCGCACATGAGGGGAAATGTTGACCAGTAAGTGTGTGTACTTGAGTATGAGATTTTGAACTTGAGTTCCATCACTTCCTTGTATTGCGGAGTAGACTTTGAAGGAATAGAGTGTAAAGTTTTCCCCTCATAGCTCAGTTGCAAGGGGATGGCATGACCTCCAGCAGATATTCTGTTGACGATGGTGAACGCTCATTTTTCTTCCTGCCCAATCACAGAGACTTGGTTCGAGCCAATTGTTTCAAATGTCAAGGTGTTTGCTGGCTGATAGACAATATTCATCTGGTCAATATTGATGACGAATGCAGCATCGAAGATTGCGCAGTCACGAATTGTGAGCCTTAAATGGAGGAATTGATCAAGGAGAAGCTGCTCAACATTTGGTGGTGTTTTTTGAGCTGCACGTATTGCCCTGCAGAAGCTCCAATTGAGATGCTCAGCAAGAAACTCCTTCACCCAACTCTCTGTGCAGCGGAAGCGAGAACTGTCCTTGGCGACATGCTTGAAAATATCAGGAACAGAGTGTTGCAGGCGTGCAAGGATGATACCACGGCAGCAGAGAGTGTCCAACGCAACACCAACTTGACAGAGAGACTGAAGGTCATTGATGATCAATTTGACCACATTGGGATAGGAGGATAGAATGTGTTTCCATGTGTTTTGGTACATGGGCAGGCTGCGTCGTGAACACGAGCAAGAGTTGCCACACTCCAAACAGCTTTGTCACCAGAGCGGTCAATCCATGTTCCAACTACCTGCGGAGTCAATGTCCGGAATCATGCTAAGTCCCTCTGCTGAAGATCGCACACAATCTCTATGGGGGACATGCCAATCCCCACTCGAACAGCAGCTTCAGCAATAGTAGCCCATAACAAGGGGTGTTGCCAGTTGATATGAACTGCAACAGTGTCCTCATGCTTCCTTTTGCATCCAGGTTGAACACTAGGTTTATGCGCCCTCGCATCTCTTCAAATCTTGCGATATGGGTGAGACACCTCAGCAAGATCTGTCATTGGGAGGGCAGGAGCAATGTTGGATGTGTGATTTGTAGTGGCTTTCTTCACAGCCTTTTCACGGGCATGTTGGATTTGTTTCCATTCCCTATTTCCCTCACGTCGGCATATATCTCTTTCTACTCCTTCAACATGAACCCTATGGGCATCCCGCTCATGACTCTCTAGCTCCCAAGAGAAAGGAGTCCATGCCAATTTGAGATGCTCCTCGCACATCGTAGTTGGAAAGTACTTGAACAAACCAACATATTTGTCCTCTTCGCGAACCCTAAGATTCAAGGAAACACGTTCTGAGCTAGATGTTGTCGGTGGAGGGGAGGGGCTTGTTGCTGGTACCAGACTGGGATATGATGGAGGACATGATAAAAATTTGATGCTGAAATCACTTGTGTCATCTGCAAAAGAGCTCTCCAAAGACTCAGAAAGTAACTCCTCAGACTGTTATGAGGAAATGAGTTTTTTGAGTGGTAAAAACACAGTAAAAACGAACCTCGAAGTGGCTCTTTGTCAACATCAAAAACTCCTCCATGCGAAGACAATATTTCGAGTCATCGGTAAACAGCGGGTGGTGGTTGAAGACAGTGTGCTTGATGGTATTGAGAGCCGTGATTGCACATGAAAAGGAGTCTGTCTGCTCCCTATGAGACAAGGATCCTTTGTCAAATGGTGTGAATCTGTGGTTTTTCGACCAGCGGCAGATAGCATCAACATATGAACTAGGCATGGACATTGACAATATTGACAGAGAAAATGATGCGCTGTATGGTGCCATTGTGAAGCGAGTCTCCAAGGTGATGCAGCTGAGTAAAGGCTTTGTCGAAATGATACTTTGACCACCATGTGTCACCAAGGAATAATATATTTGAAAAATCAAGTGTCTCAACAGCAGTATCATTGTGTTCATCTGCATGATCATTGATAGCGGCAATAAGAGCATCAAGTACACGACCATTGACCATCATGTCAGCAAGTAGAGGGAGAAGCTCTGGTGTGCGAAGACTGGTCTGAGCACCAAACCCCTTCAAGTCAACATCCCGTGGCAAATGCTCGAGCAAATCTAGAACCTCGTCTACAACTACTGACTTGGAAGCACCATGACCCATGTCCTCTTCATCCTCAAGCCTCTGAAGAACCCAATCATGGGCCGATATCCAGGCGAGATGAGCCTCCAGGGCACATGACATGTCCCTCCAGTATGAAAGAACCCAGAATGGAAGGTGAAATGTTGGGGAAAGTGGATGGATGATTGAAGTGTGACCATTAAACCAAGCCTGACTGAACTGATTGAGGAGCTGAGTGACGCAACAGAGCGGGGGAATTGATCATGTTGTGAAATCGTTGGGAAGGCTGAGGAGAGGGGGGTTTGTTGAGAAAATGATGGTGTCTGGGCTGAGATCACAGTCCAGCAATGTGCAAAGACTGATGTCGAGTAGCTGCGCGACAGGCAGAGTCTGAGATGGGATAGTTGGTTGCATTGGAGTTGGGATCCTGAGTAATCGTGTGATCTCATGTTGAACAGAAGGCAGCAGTTTGCTCTGGTCAAAAACATGAGAGCCACTCTGAAGCAACAAACATATCAGTTTGCGATGGCATGATGGGTGCTTGAAAATGGATCATACTAGTAGACTCACCTGGCAGGCTTTAAGACCATGGAGTCTCCAATTCCACTCATTACCAGTCAGTGCTATGCGAGGTGAATCCATGACAGACTGAAGCAAGTTGCTTGAATCATGAAGCAGCATGTCAGATGGTTGCAAACAGCATTGCGAGTGGTGAAGTGTTATGATCTGCAGGCAAATCTATTTGGGTAAGGTCACAGGTCACCTGGACATTCGAACCTGTAACACTAAGCATGTCATAGTCATGGGCTGCACATGACGAACCTAGTGTCGTATCTCTACAGTATATACTTACTACAAACTATTTATGACGGACACACCAAACATCTCGCCATCAATGAATTGATTAAAATAAAAATGATTTACTGCCTCATATGCATTTTCACTTCTCAATGTTGTATCCACTGATTGTCCCATCTTTGGTATTAGGTGACACGGTTGTACAATTTCATCAACATGGATGACAGCAGCATTGCGGCGGAGTTGGTGTGTCGAGCGAGAGACTTGTTGCAATCGAGAGGAAGGGTCTGGATGTCTGAAAGGCATAAACCACTCGATGTAAGCGAGGGCTCTGGGGTATATGCTGAACTAATGAGGGAGGGTGAATATAGCGCGAACCTGAGCTACTCGCACACCTGCAACACATCACTGTTACGACTTGGATGGTATCTGTTGGCGACGCTCAAACAGAGCGTGTGTCGTCAATGGTCGAGGACGTCCTTGGGCTAGCCCAAGGTTAGGGGTCTTACTTGGCGAGGCTTCGGCAAGTAAGATTTGACGCCTATGTCCAAATCAGGTAGCTTACGTCAAGCGGGTGCTAGACGATGAGCTGTATCTGCCAAGGCTTACAACACCCGAAGGTTAATCGTAAGATCGTCATTAATTAGAAGGACAGAAGTCCGACTAGTTAACAGGGGCTTTGCTCGTCGACGAAGTCAATGAGTAAAGATCGAGACTAAGGACTTATCTGCGAAGAGCAGATAAGAAAATAGAATATAGACTGCTGGATAGGCAGAAAGGATCACTCTGGTGAGAGTAGGAGGTCAAGAACCAAGTAGATTCAAGTTAGGGAATATAGTACATGGTAGTGAGTTTATATAGAGGACAGGAGACGTATTAGTGGGTGATAACTCGTACTACCAAGAGAGGCAAACGGTAAAGGGCATAACCATAAAAGGAAAGCACGTTCGCGTTGAGACACGGGCGAGGCAGAACGTGCTGGATAAGAAAGTGAGTCAAAGGTCGAAATAAGAAGTGAAACGCGCAGGGGCACGATCGTGCAGCTGCGGAGCTAAGTATAAGTCGCATGTGTGACTGCGCACTGAGTCAGAGATCAAGAAAGGGAAAAGGGCAAAGGGGATGCGTCATGCATCATATCATAGGTTACCGTCCGGATGGTAAGGGCAAAGGGACTGTCCACAGGATCAGTCAGGTGGTGGGACGGAGCATGGGTATGCTTCGTCAGCAAAAGGATCCGGCCAGATGTACTGGCTCTGCTGAAGCGACAGGTAGAGAGCAAAGGGAAATGCGAGGATGACAAGGATGACGAGGGTAAGGTCGGGGTGAGGGTACGATGTGAGGGCTGATACGAGAAGGATGAGGAGAAAAATGGTAGGGGCCCAAGCGTCTAGATGTTCTTGTAACAATCACAGTCAAATTAAGTATCAACAAGTCCAAAAAAAAATACCTTCAAGAGTGCACAAGGGCAAAGACCAAGGCCCATCTGAGATCAATGCCATGTCAAAACAAGCAGGGCAACCAGGCTTATGGCCAGATGCTACCACTTCTGGCCTTCTCTAATGTGCCACCGGTTGGGAGTGTCACTCACTCGTCAATCTGGTGGTGCCTCGATGACCACTTGACAATAAATATTGAAATGGTCATGAATGCCAGGTACAATGGCGATATGTGGAAAGTTCTTGTGCAGGAAAGTTTGCAGAGTGGAGAGAAAATCGATAGCACCATGCACTGTCACAATCTTTTCGACTGTCTGGTGAGGATGTGCTGGAACCTTTGCGAGGGTGTGCCCTGTTGTCGTTGTGTTCAAGTTGGGAGATGCAGCCTCTTTTTCTTCCAAGTCCGAGTCCGAGTCGAAGGAATGATGCTCTGTGCGACCGGCAGGGGAGGCTGTTGTGATATCCAATTCAGGTATGCACCAAGCAAAACAAAAACACTGCTTCCTGACATTGAAGCCACAAAACCATCTGTTCTTCATAGTCCCATTTGTTGCTAGCGCAGTAAGCGTCCTTTGCAAAATCAATGTGCAAGCGCTCAGGAAGCTCGGTGTTAAAGCCATCAGCTGCACCAAACAACATGATCAACTGGACGTAATGAGTGAGTTGATGTAGTTTTGGTATACTGAAATGTTCTCGAATGGCAAGTTCCTTCAGGACATCTTTACTCACATGAAAGACTCCCAAGGCAGTTTGTAGGGCTTTAAGCGTGTCAGTTGTGTGAATTTGGAGCCAGGAATGATAGGAAAAGTCAAGAATTGATCGTGCAACTACCAAGACATGACTGTGCAGCATGACATCAACAAACAACCATCTTCAATGACTCATCACACACACACCTAGGCACCGCTCTGGTAAGTAAGCCAATAAACACTTGCTGCATCTCTTTATGCTCACTTCCTGTCCATTGTTTTACAGTCGAAATACCTTTCTTGAAGTGATGGAGTCCTGGATAATCCAGGATGGCCTTGAATCACACATCCATCTCATCTTCCTCAATAATATTGATGCACCACTTCACGAGGTGGTCTTTAAACACACCTTTATGGATTTGATGCAAAAGATCGGGGGTGAAAGCCAGGAAAATGTTGGCATGAGGCATTTTGGCCCAGAACAGTTTATAAACCGCACATAGACCATTCTCCTTGAATTCTGGAGGATGCTGACCAATATTGCACCTTTCTAGAATATCTTTTGTTGACTCTGGATCGCGCATCGCAGACTCGAATCCATCGCCTTGCTCATTCGCTGCCACCAGACACTTGGGACACCGATTCTCTTTACAACAGGAAACCAAACACTGCTCGGGAAAATTGGCAACATATGCAGCCAGTATCAGGTAGACATGATGAACCAGCGAGTCCGCACACACCATTTTGACTCCGTTTTGTCCAGCAGCAATAAGAGTATGGAGGAGTAGGGCCATGCAATGATGAAAGAGTCTATCCAGCCAGAGAGTGTGCATCAGAAGTGAAGCAGTCTAGCTTTCCTGCGGGTAAGTAACCAATAAGCACTGTGGCTCATGCTGATGCCTGATGCCTTTTTGCTTTGGCAATATTGCCAATAGACATATACATAGGCCATGCTGACTTGTCTCCTTTGAACTGCGATAAGCTGGTTTTGTCCGACAATAGAATAATTGGTGCTATTGTGGCACCTTTGGACAGGGCTTTCTACTCACAAGGGCAGTACATTTCTTTGTTGTTCTCTCTCAAACAGTCTTCCTTGAGTCTCTCCCCACCAGTCAGCCATCCACATCTCATCAATCACTCTATGTTGCCCTATGTGGTCTGTGTATGCTCTGGCAGGTGAGTAGGCCATATCTTCCTTGAAGAAAGGGTTGCCAATAAGCTCTTTGACACACTCTACAGGATCACGGCTCCAAAGTTCGAGCTCTTCTTGCAACGGTGCTCCATTCTCATCTTCAAGGTTACCACGCACAGTAATCTTCCTGCAACTCCATCCCAGTCCATGTGGAAGTTCGTCAATCTTCTGCAAGAATGAGCAGTTGTTATGAAATGAGAGTTTTGTACGGTTTTGTGTCTAGTCATCATATCAACATTGTGAGTTCAGTCAATGCTTTCAACGTACTATTGGTAACTTCAAAAACTCCTCAGTCCGTGTCTGACCAATGTTTTTAATGAGCCATTAGGCCAAATCCCACTCTTCCCTAGTGAGTCATATATCTTGAGATCCCCTTGCTGCACATTTGAGCACTTACACGTCTTCAAAGGGAGAACATGGATCCTCGCCATCTTCCTCTTGATATCTCCTATATCCTTCAAATTTAGTCTCCCCCTCACGCAGTGCCCATCCAGCATCTGGTATAGGTTTGAAATAATGTCAAAATTGTGTCCCACCATCATCCTCAACTTCTTCAATGGTGACACAATGAGTTTTGCTATCTGGGTGGGGGTAAACATGGGAAAAGTCAACAGGTGGTGGGCTGTCTGGGCCATCATCAGGTGCATCCAAATTATCTGCTTCAACATCTTCAATCATTAATGCCCATTGCCTTTGACATTGAGGACATCCTGTGACATGTCTCTTGAGACCTTCATGTGTTGTTGTTACCTTGCTGCAGAATACACAGTGAGATATGGTTTGTAGAGGCATGGTTTGTCTGTCCAGTGCTCTGTCATTACCGCAACTACTTACTAGTACTGTTGATGCCACAACACACAACACTACATGACCCCACACACCAACACAACTCACTGAGGCAACATTTCATTTTTCACTGCCCTCGCCCTGAGCTCTCGCCATCGATGGTAAAATTTTCTTCTAAGATTCCACAAGATTGCCTGCCGCCTTTGATGGTCAAACCGCCCTCCACTGTCAATGGTAAAATTCTCTTCTAAGAACCCACAAGATTGCCTGCCACCTACATGTGCGCCATCATTCTTGTCTGAATTACAACTGACTAGACTGACTAAACTAGGGCAGAGTGCTTATCATCAGCCCTGGCAACACCGCCCACTAGGGCAGGGTGCTTATCATCAGCCCTGGCAACACTGCTGTCAATGGTAAAATTTTCTTCTAGAAACCCACATGATTGCCTACCGCCTTCAATGGTCAAACCACCATCAATGGTAAAATTTTCTTCTAAGAACTCACAAGATTGCCTCCTGCCCTCAATGGTCAAACCACCCTCCACCATCGATGGTAAAATTTTATTCTAAGAACCCACAAGATTGCCTGGCGCCTACATGTGCGCCATCATTCTTGCCTGAATTACAACTGACAAAACTGACTAAACTAGAGTAGTGATGCCATGAGCTGCAAGTAGCAGCTCCAACAATTAGACTTTGCATGCCTCCTCACAATGCTTCTTCTCTGCGTTCCAATGCACAACTATCATCTCCCTCACAAAGGTTTGGTGAGTATTAGGACCCTGGATGCGCTCTAAGAGTTGCGCTTTGCATGCCTCTTCACAGCGCCTGATCTCAGCATCCCAGTGTTCTAATATAAGTGTTTGAAGGTAAGTCTGAGATGCTTGGATGGGTCCAGGTGTTTGACGAAATGGTGGCAATGGATACAGGACCTCAGGACCCCCATTAGCCTGCCCTGGAGCACAAACCACATGAAAGGAACGACTCGGAGGAGCAACAGCCCTGCTAAGGCATCAGCATCTGTTATCGCCTATAGTTGAGTATCCTACCTTTGTATGACTTTGGTATCCATCTCTGGGTTGAAAGGAAAGTCGATCTGTCCCTCTTATGCTGTTATATTGATGCTGCTCAGTTAGATGAAACTTTAACATTCAAGTCAACTGTTACAAGAACATCTAGACACTTGGGCCCCTACTATTTTTCTCCTTATCCTCCTCGTCTCCGCCCTTGCATCACACCCTTATCCCAACCTTGCTCTCATTATCCTCGTTATCCTAGCCTTCCCTTTCGCTCTCTACCTGTCGCTCCAGCAGAGCCAGTACATCTGGCCAGACCCTTTCTCTGACAAAGCATACCCATGCTCTGTTCCACCACCTGACTAATCCTGTGGATAGTCCCCTTTGCCCTTACCGTCTGGACAGTAACCTATGATATGATGCACACCGCATCCCTTTTACCCTGTTCCCTTTTCTGATCTATGACTCGGTGCGCAGTCGCACATGTGTACTTATATTTAGCTCCGCAGTTGCACAATCGTGCCCCTGCATGTTTCACTTCTTGTTTCTCTCTTTGACTCGTTTCCTATCTGCACGTTCTGGTTCACCTATGACTCACCTCAAATGTGCCTTCCTTTTCTAGTATCACCCTTTGACCAGTTCCCTTTCTGGTAGTACAAGTTATCATCCACTAATACACACCCTCTCCTCTATATAAACTCGCTACCATGTATCTTATTCCTTAACTTGAATCTACTTGGTTCTTGACCTCCTACTCCTAACAAGAGTGATCCTTTCTGCCTAGCCAGCAGTCTATATTCTATCTTCTTATCTGCTCATCGCAGATAAGTCCTTAGTCTCAATCTTTACTCATCAACTTCATCGACGAGCAAAGCCCCTGTTAACTAGCTGGACTTCTGTCCTTCTAATTAACACAGATCTTATGATTAACCTTCAGGTGTCGTAAGCCTTGGCAGATACGCTTATCGTCAAGCCCCACTTGACATAAGCAACCTGATTTGGACATAGGTGTTAAATCTTACTTGCTGAAGCCTCGCCAAGTAAGACCCCTAACCTTGAGCTAGCTCAAGGACGTCCTCAACCGTTGACGACACACACTCTGTTTGAGCGTCGCCAACAGATACTATCCAAGTCATAACATCAACCAAACTCAAAAATTGTTTGTTGATTGCATACCACAGCAGGGTTTTAAAGGCACGTCTGTCCATTATTTTTTTGTCATTGTTACTTACCTATAATCATGGCAGCGAAAGCAAACTCAAAGAATCCAGCCAAAAAGTCAATTTTGAAGGCACAGGAGGACCTATGCGCCGAGATGGAGTCAACTGCAGGACGCACTGCAAGCGGTCAGAAATGCCGACCAACCGAACAAGAGACTTACAGATGTAAGTAGGACTTAGCTTGATGTTCCTGCTCAATGTGTCTGACACACTTGCTCAACAGTCTCAAAATCTCATCAAGGTGAAGACCACCACAAAGACTTACAGGCAAAGATGGAGAAACATAAATTGAAGGCTTTGTGTGCTGCATACCAAAAAAATCCTGAAGAGTTCAACACTGAGCCCACTGAGCTGCACAGCGACATTGACAGGGATGAAGAAAACATGGTCAGTGTCATGTCTCATTCTCCTGGGTGCTGCATTGCTCACAACATGGTAGTTCTTAGGTCACTCTGTACGCACTAAGGTATCTATGCCGTGTGCACTCACATTCAGTGCAAGCAAAACTCCTCCAGTTGTCTTGGCTCCAAAGTCTTTCTCACCTATCAGTAAGCCGCACAAAGGTACTGTAGCTTAAGTTATGTACATCTCCGACACTAACACACATTTGTCAGCTTCTGTGACTGTCGTGAGACCCACAATGCTCAGTGGTCACAGCAGCAGTGATGACAGCAGCCACGATGACACTGAGAGCGAGGATCACAGTGACAGCGACTCCTCACCACTGGTTGTTGGGACCAAGCACCAACTGCAAGACACTGCTGTTGAAGAAACCAGGCCAAAAATCATGAAAGCATTAAATGGATCACGCCAACAATTGAAGGCTAGTGATTTTGACGAGCTCACTAAGGATTTGCTTGCTACTGCAACATCTATCTATCGCTGTCTAATTGTAACATGAGATCCCTTTCCTGAAACACTTATTGTTGAGATGAAGCTGGCCAAGGAGGCGTGGCGCAAGGCATCTAACTTAGCAGACCTGATGGTTCAACTCACTCCTTCACTGGTCAAGATGGTAAGCAGTCCCTTTGTAATATCCTACCCTGATTGATGTTGTATGTTGTGCAGATGACGAGGCGCACTTCACATGTGCGTGGGGAACTCAAAACTAAAATGTGGGCACTCACGGCATCATTCTTTGGCTTCCGCACAAGTCGATCGACAGTGGCCATTAAACAAAATCGTGACCTGGCAGAATCACTGAAGGATGGATCATGCTTTGTTTTTAAGGTGTGTTACTCATTTCAACTTGGTCCACCATTGGCGAATGTCTGACTGGCAGAGTAACAGGACTGGGAGATGAAATGTGGCATTTACAAAACGGAATTGATACAGTCAGCAGTGAATGACATGTGGTTTATGAACCGCAGTGACAAGGGTGTTATTCACGGTAAATATTTTGAGCCTTTACCAGTTGAAATTATTGCGCTTATACTCATGGCTGTGAGTGTGTTCAAACAATTCAGTATTGATGTCGCAACTGACTTGTGAGATCTGACAGATCGAATATTGCATCAATGAGTGGATAACCGGAGTCAAGGAAGACATTAAATTCTCGGCAGCTACCTATAATCTATTCTCCCATCTACCAGGCTATACTGTCAATATTATCCATAACCAACTCTGATTACCTACAACAGGTTATGCTTCCTTGTCTGGGACTTTAGATGGTTTGATAGGTTATCCATTACAGCTCCCACAATAGATAACACATCAGACACCTCAATATGGCATGGTTCTACCTATTCTGGAGCAGTTTTCTCCCACCTCACCACTTCTTCATGATCCAGATCTGATCAAATATTGCCACACCGCATTTTTGGCCACACAGCGTGGGAATTACCCCACAACACCCAAAACATTGCCCATTTTGGGACTCTCCACAATATCAATTATTCCCACACCCTTCCCACCTCACTGCAGCTTTACCACTACACCACAATAGGTCCCCTTTCATATATAAGTAGTAGTTTGGTATATATGTGTACAATATAATATAATAGACCGCTTTTTTTGCTCATTTGTGTCCCTGCTCCTCCTCCAAGAGCCATTCAACATATGGTAGGGGATAGAACACTTTCGCACTTTTGCCCCTTTGGCATTGAAGTGTTCTGGGATAGTCAGAACATGCTTATGATCATATATGAATAGATTCACATCTATATTTGACCCCCTGAAGCGCCCTACATCAACAGGTACAGTACATATATGGGAAAACACAAAATAGGTTCGCATTTTTTGGTTTCTAGCTATATGAGCTTGCAAAAATTGTCCCCAACATCTCTTCAATAGTATGAAGAATGTATCAGGAGCTCAGGACCACAGGGAAAGATCTTGTTGTGTAGTGCATTCACCCCCTCCTGGTGGTTTACCCCCTGTGAAATTTTTTCCTGTAGGACCGGACCTTAATTGAGGTAGGGAGTCTATTTCTATGTATATTTGGAGTAGATGTATCATATAGCTAGCCCAGTACACACATAGGATCTCTCTACAGGAGCAAGAATATAGAAAATCGCATTTTTGACATTTTAAAGTATCTTACCCTTGCACATCTGGTCAACCCTGTTCATATATCATCAATAGTACATGTAAAACTATCCTAGAACACTTCAATGCCAAAGGGGCAAAAGTGCGAAAGTGTTCTATCCCCTACCATATGTTGAATGGCTCTTGGAGGAGGAGCAGGGACACAAATGAGCAAAAAAAGCGGTCTATTATATTATATTGTACACATATATACCAAACTACTACTTATAATGCCAAAGGGGCAAAAGTGCGAAAGTGTTCTATCCCCTACCATATGTTGAATGGCTCTTGGAGGAGGAGCAGGGACACAAATGAGCAAAAAAGCGGTCTATTATATTATATTGTACACATATATACCAAACTACTACTTATATATGAAAGGGGACCTATTGTGGTGTAGTGGTAAAGCTGCAGTGAGGTGGGAAGGGTGTGGGAATAATTGATATTGTGGAGAGTCCCAAAATGGGCAATGTTTTGGGTGTTGTGGGGTAATTCCCACGCTGTGTGGCCAAAAATGCGGTGTGGCAATATTGTGGGAAGTCCTGACATGAGGAATTGAGTCAGATGGGAGATTGGAAGCCAAAATTGCTGCCACATATTATTTGTAAGCTGGCAAATACCAAAACTTCTGTAAATGATTCTCTGGGGCAGTGAGAGTAAGGTTATGTATAATGGATAATGATGGATATCATCAAAAATTCATGACAAGGAAGCATAACCAGTTGTCTCTAATGAGAGTTGGTTATCCATAATACTGCCAGGAGCAGGTGCATCTACCAGGTTCACCTCAGCTCCTTGCAGCGCTTCGATGAGTGTACTTCTGCTTACAAACTACTTGGTAAAATCACTGACACTATCCTTGATCATCAGGAAATCAACACATTACTTAATGATGACTTAATGATGGCTGAGCATGTACTCACAATGGATCAAGAACAAATAAGCCAGAAATCATTAAGAACAGTATCTGTTAAATAAATTAGATCCAAATTCTTATATTTGACTTAAGGGTTGCTTGATCAAGTGCTGTTTGCCAAACACGATCCATTGATTTCAGTAAGATCCAAAGTAGTGGCTAAGAGAGATTACGAAGGGTATTAAAACAAGTTCAGGGCAAAACAAGCAGAGGAAAAGTAACACGAAAGCACGATTAACATTGCAGCACAACGTGCCGGTGTAAAAATGATAGTAATGTGAGCATGCAAGAGTGACAATGAGACATTATATGAATGAAACGAGGAAAAGCACTAGTTGGCAGTTGGGCAACTTGAATGATAGCAGGCAAAATTCGAGTACAAGCCACGAGCCATGGATGTACATCTGTCATGAATGAGTGAGCGCCATAAATGATAAATAAAAAAATAAAAAATTACACTCAGTGGAAAGCGAGCAGGTCAGCATACTCTTCATCGAAGTCTTCGTTTTGGGTGTCCACAAGCACACCATCCGTCTTCAATCATCCAGCATGAGTCGTGGCCTTCATGTATTGTTGAACTTGTTCAATTATGGTTTTCATCTTGTCAGCGGGAACACGATTGATGGCAGTCAAGAACATTTGGGTGTCATATCCCCAGAGCGGCTCCGAAAAAGTCTCGTTCTCACTGATGACGGCGATCCATTTGGTTTCTGCAGCTAATGCCTTACCCTTCCACGAAGGCTTCTTCTTGCCCTTAGAGGTGGTGGTCTTGATCTCGAAAGTCATCTCTTTATTTGCAAGAAGAACAAGGGCATGTTTGACCTGCTGAAGTCATCAGAAGAATGCATGAATTCAACAAAAAAAAAATACCGCCGCTGCAGAGAGAGAAAGCGCAGTTTGGAGAACTGGCTCCTCGCTGTTGAGCTCTGGGACCGGTACACGACCTTGGGTGTAGTTGAGGTGCGCCGCGAAAGTCTGCAGGACGAATGTCGACTGCCACATTCCTGACCATTCCTAGACACACAGACATCAGAAAAAATCACACCAAACGACGACACATACCTTCTTGTTGTCAGAGTCAACATCCCCAAAGAGAAACTTGTTGTCCTCAAGCCAAAAATCTGCGAATTCAACATGGTTATCCTCAGATTCATAGAGCGGGTCAGCTGCCATGAGACTTGTGATCATCATGACGGCAGCGGAACCAAATCCACCACGCCATTCACTCAAGTGTTGCTTAGCCTACATTAGATAGAGTGTCAGCTACAAACACGCTGTATCCGTGAGACTTACCACGTAATAGACAGCGTCTCCTGGGACAATTGAGTGATCAATGAGTGTGAGGTTTTTCACGTAGACAGTTTTCCAAGCCTTCGTGAGGATCAGAATCAGCGCATCATCCTCGACAAGCCATGGATGGACATCATCCCCACCAGCAGCATGAGTGATAGTAGGAATGAGTAAGCCGCGCCATGTATTACCGTCCTGGCAACCAGCAGGAAGATCACTGTTCTTGTACTTTACTCTTAAGACTTCTCCAGTGGTGGCTTTCTTCTCTGCAGTGGTTGCCTTCTTCTCTGGGGCATCTATCGGCTCCTTCTTGACGTGCTTCTTGGTGGGACATCCAAATCATCAAATACATCGACATTGGTCTGTGAAACAGGTTGCGTATCAGTGTGGACTGCTTTAAGTGAATGTGTGTACCTTCGCTGTCACCCGTTTGCTTCCCGTAGCAATGACAGGGCTTGCCTCGACACTATCAGCAATCATGACATCTTCTGATTCCACTTCATTGTCATCCATGACAACGTCCCCTGCGACAGATGAGGGGAGCAACTCGGAGTGAGTGAATTGATATTGTGAAGGCGGAGGTGGAGGCAGGGTCAGTGAACTATTGCAAACCTCAACCACATCCTGTAGTAAGTAGTTAACAAAGGAAACAAAAAATAAACAAAAAACACGAACCATTGCTCCTAACGCAGTACGCAAACCACTTGGCTGTTTCTTCATATTCGTGAGGGCATGTGCCGCCAATCGTTCTGGCTCGTCATCCTCATCCAGCAGAGATCCTGCTATGTGGGCATCGTCGTTGATCTCTGAGCCTTCGGGAGTTATTGGGGGGGCAGTAGCGCTGCTGATCATTGTCACTTTGGTGAACTGCGTGGGCACTGAGATGCCCGATGCACTGGTCGGATGTGTTTCGCTCCTTGTGAATTGAGACAACGTGCTTGTCTTCGGATTCTTAACTCCATGTGCCCACACGGAGACTGAGCCCTTGTAGGCTGCATTCTTCAAGCCACTGGTCAAATCATTCAGCAAGTTTCAGTAAAAAAGAGTCAGTTCAGTCAGCAGCAACATCGTGGTATGGTATCAAGGTACATACATTGCTGTATTCCCTTTCGGGCCCGCATCTGATGCACGTGAACTCAACACCGTGATCCCATCAGTAACATCATTGTTCTTATCAGTATCAGCTGATACTGCGGCACCATGAACAGCCCCAACAGCATCACAGTGAGTTGTCTTCTGCACTCGCTTCTGCTTTTTCTGCGTGTTTGCCTCACCACTATCACCCACCTCATCCAGATCCTCTGCCTCTGCTGCCTTTGCTGCAGCACCTCTTTTTGGTCCTGTGGCTTTAGCCTGGGAAGGAGGTGGTCCCATCTCGGTAGCAGTGGTTGCAGCGGCAGTCTTGCCAATGGGACGAGGATGGGGTTTTCTTGCAGCGGTCGCCTTTTGCTCCTGGACAGCGAGTTTATCCAGAATGGCTGCAACTTTGGTAATGCCCTTGTGGGTCTTTGCCTCCTGCTCTTGCTTTTCCCTTTGGAGACGAGTGTTGTCCTCTTGTACCTGGGCTGTCACAACCCAATAACGAATTAACGCTGGGCAGAGACTAGGACTCAAACAAGGTTATCGGACAAAGATGATAATGAGCAGGTACGTCTTGGATTGCTACAATGTAGATACAAGAGGTTAGAACTAAGGAACTATCAACCAAGACATGCTACCTATATACAACTATTGAAACGGAGATTGAAACTGAGCTACAACTACTTAGCCAATCATAAAAAAAGAAAGGGAATCGTACCATAGAACATCATAGAATATTAAAGAAGTATCACGTGACCATATCTTATCTTATCGTATCTAATCTAATCTAATCACAATCAAAGAACTCGTCTTCTTCATCAGTCACATCGAAGACACGTGTCGTGGGCGCTAAAGGTATTTCTGAACTGGTAGACGCTTTCAGGGTAGGGTTAGGGTTTGTCTTAGGCGCTGTGTATTGACGCTTAGGAAGATTCAAGAAAGAATAATGGTTTGTTAAAGGTACTCGTGACATTACCCCCTCTCTAAGGTGAGTGTCATCACGAACGAATGAAGGTCGGATATTCTTTTCTCTCCATCGTTTGAAGTCTTCCGTAAACAGTACTGAGCCTTTGATTCTTCGGTATTTTCCGGCTGCAGCCGTGGGATTTTTCTTATGGAACTCCGCTAAAGGAATTGGAGCGTTCTTCAAATTCTCTTCTGGCTCCCAAGATGACTCTTCCTTCGGGTATCCTTCCCATTTCACTAGGTACTGCAGCTTTCCTCGGAACAATCGGCTATCTAGTACTTCTTCTACAGCAAATTCTTCCCGATCGTCAATCAATTCTGGAGGTGGTCGGTTGGGAGGAGGATGAGGAATTAATTGAGATGCGTGATATGGCGTAAGCAATTCTACGTGGAAAACCGGGTGAATCTGATATTTTTCCGGTAATTTCAACTTGTAGTTCACTTCACCGATCTTCTCTAGTATTTCGAAGGGACCTAGACGACGATCTGACAATTTTTGACTTGGACGACGTTGTTTAAGATTCTTTGCGTCAAGCCAGACCTTGTCTCCTATCTTATACTGAGGTGCTTCTTTTACTCCTTTGTCGTAGAAACGCTTCATGCGCTCATTAACCATTTCAGAGTATTTTCGGCATCATCTCTCGCTTCTTTCATCTGATCAACTCTCTCATCGGCGGCGGGGATTACGGACATGGAGTTTGGGATGAATCGTGAAATCTGGGTTATACCCGTAGAGAACTTTAAATGGACTGTGACCGGTTACTGTGACTGCATTGTTGTGTGAAAACTCTGCTATCGGCAGCCAAGATACCCAATCATTCTGTCTGTATGACGTGAACATGCGCAAATATTGTTCTACTTCTTGGTTTACGCGTTCAGTCTGTCCATCGGTTCTGGGATGATAGGAGGTCGACGCAGACCATTTCGTTCCTAATCTTTTTGACATCTGTCCCATGAACTTCGATATGAACTGAGTTCCTCTATCTGAAATCACTTTCTTTCGGTGTTCCGTGGATGTTTCCATACATTCTTTCAGAAATAGCTCGGAAATACCCTTCGAGTCTATAGTCTTTGGTGGTGGGAATGAAGTGTGCTTGTTTCGAAAATCGATCAACGACTACAAAAATGCTATCACACCCTTCACTCTTCGGCAAATCCACTATCAGGTCACAGGTGATTGTCTGCCAAGGTCCTTCTGGAACTTCATTTGGCTGTAAAGGCCCCGTTGGTCTACTCGGAAGCACTTTCGTTTGTCTGCACCTATCGCAACCATCTACGTAATCGTGGACATACTTCGTCATTGAAGGCCACCAATAGTTTCTGGAAATCAATTCTAAGGTCTTAGCTCGTCCAGGATGTCCAGCCGGTGGAGAGTCGTGAAACAACTCCAATATCTCTCGGCGGATCTCTTTGTCATTTGGAACGTAAACTAATCCTCGGAATAACACCAATCCATCCTCCACATTCCACTCTTCGATTCCTCTACGCAATTGAACCGGTGCTGTCTTTAATGTTTCTAACGCTCTAGCGACTTCAGGCTCTCGTTCTGTGCATTTTCGTATCTTTTGGAGTAACTTTCTCTTCTCCATGCACCAAAACTTGACCTCTTTTAGCAGCTTTTACGGTAAAGAATTCCGGTTTTAAAAGAATGCGATTTGAGTTATCATTTTCTACCCCCCCTCTATGGTCTGATCTCCGAGAAAGACGGTCTGCTTTGTCATTAACCACGCCAGGCTTGTGTTGGAGTGTAAATTCATACTCCGCTAGGAAAAGACTCCATCTAGCTTGCCTTCTGGTCAACTTTTGACTCGTCATGAAATATTCTAGGTTCTTATGATCCGTCCATATCTCAACTGGGTGAGGTGCTCCCTGCACATAGTGCCTCCACTCTTCCAACGCTCTAATGATCGCTAGCAATTCTTTATCGTGAATGTCATAATTTCTTTCTGCATCATTCATCGATTTGGAGTAATATGCTATTGGATGCCATAATCCATCTTCCATTAGTTGAGAGAGAACCGCTCCTGTTGCGTAATCTGAAGCATCGGTCTCTATTTTCTTTTTCTTCTCAACATCTGGCATGACTAGAACGGGAGCTTCTGTGAAACGTTTCTTAAGTTCATCAAAAGCTTTCTGTTGCTTCTCCGTCCAGTCCCATTTGACATCTTTTCTTAGCAGATCATTCATTGGTCTGGCTATATCTGAGAACCCAAGTATGAATCTTCGATAGAAATTGGCAAAGCCCATGAATGTTTGGATATCTTTCACGCATTTGGGAACAGGCCATTTCAATACTCCTTCTACTTTCACAGGGTCCATCGACACATTGCCTTCTTCCACGATCAACCCGAGGAACTCGACTTTAGACTGTTCGAAGCTACATTTCTCAGGCTTCAAGAACAGGTCATTCTCCTTTAATCGTTTTAGGACTTCTCGTACCACCTTTCGGTGTTGCTCCCTATTTCCATCCGTAAAGACCATTATGTCATCAATGTAGACGACTACTGTTTTGCCATCTATTAGGTCTCTCAGAATTTCATTCATCATAGTTTGGAAGGTTGCAGGCGAGTTCGTGAGTCCGAAATACATCACGGTCGGTTCGTGGTGACCAAACGGTGTTTTGAAAGCCGCCTTCCACTCATCTCCTTCTTTCATGCGAATATTGTTGTATCCCCATCGTACATCCATCTTGGAGTACATCGTGGCACCAGTTAAAGCATCAATTAAATCTTGAGATCTCGGTAGCGGATATGCATTTTTCACCGTTTTCTCATTGAGCTTTCTATAATCCATCACCGGTCTTAACTTGCCATCTTTTTTGGCCACAAAGAAGAAAGGTGCTGCTACTGGAGATTGTGAATCTCTGATACGTCCTAGTGCAGTCTCGGTTTTCAACCATTCTTTCAATGTATCCATCTCTTTGGGTGACAACGGATAAGGTTTCGCATTTGGCAGAAGATCGCCCTCATCTTTAAGATCTATCGCATGATCCCACTTCTTTCTTTCAGGGAAGCGCTTAGATTCTTCTTCTGAGAAAACTCCCAGGTAATCATGAAGCCAATCGGGTACCATTTCTTCTACCGACTGCTTCTTCTTAGTAGCTTCTTCTGCTACCTTCTGCTCCGTGGCGACCGAGGCTTTGTATCGAATCCACAATCTTTCAGGACTCTCTTCATCTTCTATTTCCTCCATGGTCGTTCTCTTAACTGCCACGTCTTCTTCCTCATCTTGATCTGCCATAACAGGCAACAAGCCGGGTACGTCATCGACTTCTTCCGACTTTTTCTTTTTCTCAGCCCTGTTTCGGAGTCTTTTCTCCTTCTTAGTTTCACATTTCACCGGGCACCGTGAAAGTGAAAACTTCCCTGCATTCCAATCAATCTCAGGGTTGTGGTATCTCAACCAATCGATCCCAATGATCACATCATCGTTTCCTAGATCTGTAACCATGAATGCTACTTTTTCTTCTTCATGGTTGCCAACTTTAAGACCTAGTTCGGCAAAATGGGTCATCGATCCCGAGGCGTTAAGAGATCCATCAATGTTTTTAACCTGGATCGGACGCAGTAGTTTTCTACAACGAATTCTGTTCTCCTTGACAAATCTTTCATTGATAAAGAGCGTAGATGCTCCACAATCTACAAGAGCTTTCAAATCTGCAGATCTGTTCTTTCCTTTCAGCGTAATTGGAAGATAGAAGTGTTCTGATTTTGTCTTTAGATTTACTTCTTCTACATCCGCAAAGTTCGCAAGGATCGAGTATCTACTGCCTGACTTGTCTGTTTCTTGTTCCTCCAAGATTCTATTTCTTCGAGAAGCTTCCCATTCTTTAAACCATTTAGGCGGTTCCGATGCTTTTTTGGCAAGTGCGTCTGCCTTGGCTTTTATCTTAGCCAACATCTCTTTGCCTTCTGGTGATATGGTCCAGTTCTTGAACCATTTGGGAATCTCTGATTCTTTTTTCTTTGCTTCTCTCTGAGCTAAGAAATCTTGGAACCAACTAGGAGGTGCGGAGCTATCTGAGGAGGGAGGGGAATTCGGAGTTCTGCAGTTTCGTGCAATGTGATTCGGCTTTCCACATTTGTAACAATTGAACGGCTGTTTAGGCCCATTCATAGCCTCATCAAGTGCGTGAAACTCATGCAAGGAATAGGTTTTCTTAGTCATTGTACCAGTTGTATTCTGGAACCCGCTTTACTAATGACGTAAGAAGTTTGAAGGGCAAGTCATAACGGCCCTTCCGGAAAAGGAATAATGAAGTGGTGGACGAGTCGTAACGGTCCACCCGAAAAGGAATGATGATTAAAGGGAGAGGGAAAAAGGAGTACGTAAATGGAAAACTGAAGCGGTCCCCGATACTAATCGGATCTACCTCGTACTTCAGGGTCAAAGGGTTCTTTATTCAACCCTACTGACACTTCCCTATCTACTAACTAAAAGAAGTGTACGTAAACTACACCTTTGTTAAGTGAGAAAAACGCGGTGTGCTTCGTGTGTGTTACTTCTCAATTACCGACAAGGGTACGGACCAAGGACAAGTTATCACTCTTCCAGCCGAAGCTTACAAGTGCGAGTCTCACTTGGACACCGTATCTAAATCCTCTTGGTAATGATGGTAAGACTATCCGCAGATGCGACAGTTCTACTAAACTCAACGGAAAGGTACTACGTACGTATGAAGAAAAGGGTAATCGTAAAAAGGAAACTATAGTAACGTGAAGCAGGCAGGGTCTTGGGCCAGCACTTCAAGTTGTAGCGAGATGCCTAATGTCGTCAACACCTCCGTATACTGGCGGCTGCAATGTACGGCAGGGCCTGGTATAGGACTACTAACTACGAAAGACTATCGGTAGAGAAAACGCTCAAGTGAGCAAAGGAAAAGGTTTTTAAAGAAAAAGGTCGCGGTTGTTTAGACCGGGCAATGATAAAACGTGTGGTGGTGTTAGACGTATGTCTCGCGCAGATATGCAGCTGAGAGACACGTGTAACGATGAGTAAAGATGATCGTTTGAATCGTTGGTTAACCTAATGGTCTACCAAGTATTCAAAGGATATAGTAATGGATGCGAGCGGTATGCGAGAGTCGGAGTCTCCTATAGTTCAAACCTAATGTCACAACCCAATAACGAATTAACGCTGGGCAGAGACTAGGACTCAAACAAGGTTATCGGACAAAGATGATAATGAGCAGGTACGTCTTGGATTGCTACAATGTAGATACAAGAGGTTAGAACTAAGGAACTATCAACCAAGACATGCTACCTATATACAACTATTGAAACGGAGATTGAAACTGAGCTACAACTACTTAGCCAATCATAAAAAAAGAAAGGGAATCGTACCATAGAACATCATAGAATATTAAAGAAGTATCACGTGACCATATCTTATCTTATCGTATCTAATCTAATCTAATCACAATCAAAGAACTCGTCTTCTTCATCAGTCACATCGAAGACACGTGTCGTGGGCGCTAAAGGTATTTCTGAACTGGTAGACGCTTTCGGGGTAGGGTTAGGGTTTGTCTTAGGCGCTGTGTATTGACGCTTAGGAAGATTCAAGAAAGAATAATGGTTTGTTAAAGGTACTCGTGACATGGGCTGAGGTTCATCTTTTTTGCTGTGCATCTATGACAACCTGAGCGACCTTTTTTGAAGCATTGGACAGACATGTAGAGACCATGGTCAGCGGCAGGAATGAGGAGAAGAGCAGGACAGGTGGACTCTTGGGGCAGGGCAAAAAAGTGGTGAAGAAGGGTTGTTTTAGAGTGTTGTTATATACACCGCGTGAGCCCGCCATTATGTATTTTGCTATTTACTGACCCTTGGCTTGTTTTAGTGCCAGTTGGAACTTGACACTGGCTGCTAAGCCCTCCTGCACCCCGAGCCCTCAAGTGCACTGTGTTCTTGTCTCTTCGGTGCGTATTTTTTGCTCGTTTCACTGATTATTCACTCACATTTGACCTATAGTCACACTCTGTTCTGACTTCTGCACCAATGGCACAAAACCGCAGGACATTCAACAAATCCCTTGTCCGCACACTGGATGCAACCGCTATTTCAAGAACCGGTCAGGTCTCACACAGCACTGTCACACACTCCACGATTTTTCATTCAAATTGCTTGTGAATGCACACCAACGCCCTGCAGAATCCGACCCAAACAATGGGGAGCATCTGCTTCTGAATGTCGACTTCCGCGCAGCCGATCACCATGATGATATGATGGACTACGACTATGGCAATGATGCCATAGATGATAACATGGCCCTGGGTGTCAGCGGGAACGTGGATGAAGTCTATCGCAACTATCACCTTGAACTTGACAGTATGTAGCTCAATTTTATCATCAGTACATTCTAAAATAATTTTTGCGCAGGTCATATATGCGATGCAGCAAGTAATTTCATTCCTGCAGATACCATACCTCCTCCCTTAACATCAAAACAGCCAGGTGACTGGATGCCTTACCATAGTCGATTGGAGTTTGAAACCGCAGAGTTTTTGTACAAGAAGGTTCAGATGTCTGCTGGTGACATCAATAAATTGATGTACTTGTGGGGCCTTGGTCTTGCGCGACATGGAGACGCCCCTCCTTTTGCAGACCATTGGGACCTATATTTGACTATCGACGAAACACCAATTGGAGATGTCCCTTGGCAGAGTTTTTCGATGAAGTATGGTGCGGATGCTGATCCAGCAAGTGATCTCACACCGTGGATGGACGCCACATACACTACATGGTTCCGCGACCCGCACACTATTATCTGCAACATGTTAGGCAATCCTGACTTCAAAAAACAAGATGGATTATGCACCGTATTGTGAGTGGAAAGGCCAGGGTGAAAGCGCAACTCGCCAATGGTGCAATGTGATGTCAGGCGATTGGGCCTGGGACCAAGCAGTAAGTTCAATGCTACAAACACGATTCCTTTCACTGACACTTCATCAGGATGAGATCACCAAAGATCCTGCCACGCACAGTTCAATGTTTGTCCCAGTAATACTTGGAAGCGACAAAGCCACAGTCTCGGTCGCAACGGGACAAAACGATTACTACCCACTGTATGCCTCGATCAGGAACGTTCATAATAATGTTCGCCGTGCTCACCGTAATGCTGTAGCTGTCATCAGCTTTTTGGCCATTCCAAAAAGTGTGTATTCAATTTCTCAGCACTTCTCAATACTAACAAAGTCTTGCAGCGACAAAAAAACATTCAGATGATCCACATTTCCGAAAATTTAAGAAACAATTGTTTCATTCTTCTTTGTCGCGGATTCTGTCATCACTCAAGCCCGCCATGTCTGTCCCTGAGGTTGTCCAATTCAGGGACAGGCATTTTATACATGTGGTGTACGGTCTCGGTCCTTATATTGCCGACTATCCTGAGCAACTTGTCCTTGGTTGTGTAGTTCAGAATTGGTGCGCAAAGTAAGTAATTCATGTGTCTATTTGGTATCTCCTGTACTAACACCAATACCTTAGATGTTTCTCTTATCCTGACAATTTGGACAGCGGTGAGGGTGGGCTTTGTTTGTGGGAAGTTGTAGATACCCTTTGTGACAAAGTTGATGCCGGAGTACTTTGGGAGGAATGGGGAGTCATCAGTGATGTAGTGGTGAGTCTTTCTACTATTTTATGGTATCGTTTTAACATATGTTTAGCCTTTCACCAATGACTTCCCTTGCACCGACATTCACCAGCTTCTCGCACTGGACATCCTACATCAAGTTATTAAAGGAGCATTTAAAGACCATCTTGTGGCATGGGTCAAGAAGTATCTCGACAAAGAGCACGGGAAGACACGCGCAAAGGCAATTTTGGATAATATCGATCATCGGTGAGTTTCAGCATGTTTCTCAATTGTTCTAACTAATTTCTCATCATCTTAGAATTGCTGCAGCTCTGCCTTTCACAGGACTTTGTCGATTTCCGCAAGGACGCGGATTCTCTCAATGGACCGGCAATGACTCCAAGGCCCTCATGAAGGTCTATCTCCCTGCAATTGAGGGACATGTCCCTCAGGACATCATCTGATGTTTTCGGGCCTTCCTCAAATTCTGTTACATTGTGCAACAAGACATTATCGCAGAGGACACCCTTCTACAGCTTTCTGACTGTCTTGGACGCTTCCATCGCTATTGACAAATCTTCCAAGATACTGGTATTCAATTCGACAGATTTTCCCTGCCATGCCAGCACACACTGTGCCATTACTCCATGCTCATCTGTTTGTTTGGTGCCCTGAATGGGATATGCTCCTCCATAATGGAGTCCAAACACATAAAGGCCGTCAAGGAGCCTTGGCGCCATTCCAGCAAATTCAATGCCCTCGGACAAATGTTGCTCACCAACCAGCGCCTCGACAAACTTGCTGCATCATGCTCGGACTTCACTGCACGCAGAATGCTTGACGACTCATTCATTTTAGATCATTTAGCATATCTAGGTACATCTTCTACTTGTTACAACAAATGTATACTAATATAGATGTATACTAGACCAGCTCAAGTCTGCACAGAACAATGTCGCCATGCAGGTGGATGCCCCGGACAACAACGGCCATGGCACAACAGCAGCAACAACAGCAACAACAACAACCCCACAAGTGGCTGCAGCAGCAGCAGCAGCAACAATCCGAATGGCCACAGCAGCAGCAGCACCAACATCAACACTGATGCCAACAGCAGCAACAACAACTGCCACAGCAGCTGCTGCAGTTGACGACAACAACAACAATGATGGCACTAATGACCATTGTGATGGTGATGACGACGGCAGAGAAGACATCCAGATCAATCCTGCGGACCAGGCAGACTCGGAGCACCCCCACTTGGACGAGCCTGGAGATGGCATCATAGAAGGACCCAGAGCACAGTGTGATGTCAAATTAGCACGTACCCATCGTGAGTTCCCTCTCCCTCATGTATATCTCAAATTACTCAATCTAGCATCTTCAAAGAACGATACCATGCACGCAATATCCACACATTAGCAGATGAGCTTCACATACCAGATCTCCCCCGACTTGTCCAACTTTTTCTATTCGATCAACTCCTCGCAGATGACATGCACACTTCCGACACCGTTCCCCTCAGCGCATGTCCACGATTTGAGGGCCACATCAAAATATTTAATTTGGCTGCAGCCAGTTTTTATGCACTGAGTGACCCAAGCGGTGTTGGTGGAATGCGGCACGAACACATTCGTGCAGCACCATCATGGTGTCGAGGCCCTGCACGCAACGACACTGTCCTCGTCAATACTGCCAGCGAGGATGGGATCAATGGGATGGATGTCAGTCGTGTCCTGTGTTTTTTTTTTCATTCCAGCACAGTTGAGAGACTTTCCCTTGCACCCTCGTCCACTGGTTCAAACTCATTGCATGTCACCTCTTACCTATTTTTGACTCTGATTTTGCTCCGGACAACCTTACACTTCATAATGTTTTAGACATATGGCCCAGCTTCTATGTTAACAGATTCGTAGATCACCACGCGTTCAAAATAGCATATTGACTTAGATCATTTTTTGTCGCACCTTCGTGTCTTATAAGCTCTTTAATGACAATGTGATGATGTTTCCCACAAAGACATCAAGTCTCCATCAAGTAAAGACTTATGTTCTTGCATGTTCTTACATTTGGCTTAGTCCTCATAGTCTACTTAATACAAATTTTCAAGATTTTAAGGAACATTAAGTAATGTGTAGATTTCCTGATGATGTTGCTTGGTACGTTCCTGACCACTATTGTTCATTATCGTGACTGATGTTTGTGGAACAATAGAAGCTATGACACGAGTCTCAGCATTGTAGATAAACCACTGAACATTAATAGTACCTATGACACGAGTCTAGAGACAAAGGGTCATAAGTAAGAGTCAGCGAGTGAAGAAACATGAACTGTACCTCAGCATTGTAGATAAACCACTGAGGTACAAACAATACGGCACATCAAGATTATGTAGTAAGGTATAGAGTCCGAGAAAACAAACAAGTGAAAGGAATACTACATAGTCGAAGTTGGAATGCTCAACAATGTTGTTGGGAACTCCATGCTGGTGTGAATACACTCCAGGCAGCTCAGGCTACTCCCGCTGGCTTCACCGATCATATATTCGATGATGCGATTCGAGAGTATGAGGAGGAGACTACAGAAGCATGAAAGGGGAGGCATGAGATCATGGAAGTGTAGAAGTGGGTGATAATTGAGGCTGCTGTGTCAATATCTTGGGTACTATACACATTTTTGTGTGCTATGCGCTAAATTATATTCAGTTTTGTTGATTTTGGTCAGTGGCATAGATCAGTTCCTGTAGCTCAAAAAAGTGAAATGAAGGTCCTATGAGTGTTAGTTATTGCAGCCTGTAGATAGCTACGGTCAAAAGCAAAATGACTACAAGGTCCTACTAGTGTTGGTTATTGCAGCCTGTAGCTTGCTATGACAAGCTACGGTCAAAAGCGACACGACTACAAGGTCTTACTAGTGTCAGTTATTGCAACCTGTAGCTTGCTACGACGAGCTACAAGTGGTTCTAGTGCTGCTGCAGTTCAGTTCTGAACCTCGGTTTGAACCCGAACCTTTCCAAACCGGACTCAAGGTCCGGTCACAGGTCCAGCATGGCCCCTGGACCAAACCTTAAGTCCAGTTCGGACGTGTTCGAACCCCACTAAAACCACCATCTGTCAGCACCTACACTACCTCAATTTCACTGCTGCTGTTGCAAGTCCCTGACTCCTATTGGCTCATAGTTTTGTCTCAAGGTACGTTGCGCATGTAGACTCGACTCTGAATGGGGGACTGACATGTTCTCAGAGTTTGCTGTGCAGGAAGCTCGTTGTAGCGTCATATCTTCACATGTCTCGTTATTTGTCATTGCCCTTTTCCTTCCACACAGCCACCAAATCCTCAGAAAGGATGAATTCTATGCATTGCTGAGCGCTGCAGACCTCGGGGTGATCACGCCCCTCAGGGATGGAATGAACACGACCTCGATGGAGTTCGTGATTGCACAAGAGCACACAAAGCACTTGCCCCTCGTATTGAGCGAGTTTATGGGCATCAGCCAGCACATGGCTGATGCGCTCCAGGTGAACCCTTGGGATCTTGGGGTGCATAGTATTTTCCCATTCAAACTGTCTGTATGATGTGATTGACGGAGGTGTGGTGAGTAGGATGTAGCAGCTGCGATGAACCGCAGGTTGGTCATGTCGGAGGAGGAGAAAGCTTCAAGGCACGCGGCATTGCACTCAGTAGTAACGACCCACACCTCGCACACATGGGCTGCGGTCCTTGCCAAGATGCTGCTCTCGCAGATCAATGGACAGAACACTGTACATCAAACACCCTACATCCCCAGAGACAGTCTCTGGTGGCTGTATGATAATGCCGGAAAGTGTTTGTTCTTGTTCGATTACGACGTGAGTGATGAGTGGGGATATGGGGCTCGTAGTCATTGACTTTTGACGGATAGGGCACGCTCATGGCGATCATCAAGATGCCTTCAATGGCGGTTCCCTCTCCTGATGCGCTTACAGCCCTTGCAAAACTTACATCCGACCCTAACAACATTGTATACATCGTATCCGGCTGCGACCAAGTGTTCCTCGAGGAACACCTCGGCCATTTCCCGTGTCTCGGGATGAGCGCAGAGCACAGCGGATTCATCTGTTTGCCTGACAGTGCCGTGTGGATGAATTTCAAAGTCCCCTAGAGCACCATCCCAATGCTGCTGTGTTCCCAATGCCCACTTACCCTTCGCGAGATCTCCTCATCTTCTTCCCTCCTCCTACTCTCATCTGTCATCCGCACTCGTCTGAGCCATGTCAGCAGTTGCTGATGTGCACTGGGCATTTGCGCATGGTGTTCGTGGTGGAGCTCCGGCCCATCGTCTGCAAGCTTGGTCGAACCTGGTTCGAACGCGAACTGGACCTCCCAAACGTGTTCGGTGACGTTTGGTCCAGGGTTCGACCAAACAGCTAAACCGAACCTATGGTTCGGTTTGGCGTTCGGAAAATTTAGCCCAAGAACCGGACTGAACCGGACTTCAGCAGCACTAAGTGGTTCCCATAGCACTATATAGTGAGTCATGTGCCTACGTAGCTGCGTGTAGAAGGGACTTGACACATTGCACTACAGGTACTACAGCGACTATATAGTACCCTGTAGTCAAGGGTATTTTTCCTGATGGGATCGGTAGTCTAAGCTTTGTCCAACACCTATTGCACAGCAACCTTTGCAGGAACAAAAATGAAATGCATCAACTATAGATGTTGATCCACAGTGAATCCCATAATCTTTTCCGTTATTATAAACATTCGAGCCCATTTTGCACATCGCTGTATCTGTGGATAACCATAAGTACACAGTCTGCGCGTAGTATGCCGCAAAGTACTCACTAGCAGGGGAGCAGGGTTGGAACAAGGGGTTGATGAGCGTCGCATCTGAATCAGATGCGACAGTCATCACTGCTGCAGATACGACAATAGTGGCAAGTGAAGTCAATTTCATAGTCGAATGTTGATGGTGTTTTGTGGGCTGCGCAGGTTGGCTTTAATACACGATCAGTGTTTGGCACAGCCAAACTCTTCCATGTGCTTGTAGTGATGCGGAGGTTCGGTTCTGAACCGCGGTTCGAACTGGACCTTTCGTGGACTGGACCACAGTCCAGTTCAACATTCAGAGTATAGGCTGAACTGGACCAATGGTCCAGTCCAGCGTTCAGCATTCCTTGAACACGTTGAACACGTCCGAACACGTCCGAACCTTTTTGAACTGCTTCCATTTTAGGCTACTCACACATACAAGATGACATCACCCACACACGCAATACACTGAACATGACATGATTACTCGCAACTTTTTTGCTTGGAATCCGATTCACAAGGACCATGCCACACTGGCAAGGTCCGTGAAGGTTTGTTTGCCTACCACTAACCCAAACATTACAAAGGAAGAACCTGATAAGGTATGGAGACTTTGGTTAATTTGGTTTAGTGCTAATGTATTTGTTAACGGGTCGTTTTTTTTCTAGGGTAGCTACATGAATTGTTCGGCACTCATGAACTCGATGGAAGTTAAAATGGATCAAATTCAAGGTAAGCTCAACTCTCTTCAAGCTTTCCCCCTCACAACATGGCTGACCAGTGTGGTCTGGGTGCAGATGGAACTCTCCTCGACGCCAGTCAAATCCGATGGTACAACAATCCCGACGACGATACTCCACTGCCTGTGCTTCCCGCTCAGGCACATTGCTCAACTCGTATCCCATGCCCTGCACCCAAGCTTGTTGACCCCAACAACGCTGTCTTGCGCAAACACAAGGCTAGCAGGTCAGTGGTCACGAGTGAGGGCTCTGAGGGGGAAAGTGACTGTGAAGGAGACCAGGATAACGGGGTAACTACGGATGCAGCTACTGACATGGATCATGAGACAGATATCGACGGCATCACCCCCTCCGAGTCTGCTTCACAGTAGTGTACCAGTACTCCTTACTACTAGCTATAGTACAATTGAGTATATTTACAATGCGTTCGATGTTCGAACGCTGAACCGGACGTGAACCGGACGCCATGAACGCGTTCATGGCGTCCGGTTCAGCGTTCGCAAAATTTGTTGCTGAACCGGACCAAACCGGACTTCCGCAACACTATCATGTGCTTGAATCATTTTGCCATACCGGTTGGTAAAATGGAACGTTGATGGTATTTTCTGGGCCGCGTCATAGGTTGGCTTTGATACATGATCAGGTGTGCTTGAATCGCTTTGCCAGACCGGTTGGAGTTCTTCCAACATTGCGGCGGACTCGGATGCTCGCGAATGAAACGGATGCCAGCTCACTAATAATACAAACCAAATTGGCCCTTACGATTGAAGAACTATTCAACAATTGCAAGTCAGCACACCCTTGCAGGTCAATTATTTTTCACCGCCCTACTCAGAAATAAGTTGATGAGCTGACTAGGTTGGGCAGAGAGCCGCAGCGATGGGTAGATGTCAATACGGCAGCGAAGTTTTATGCTTGCTCGCCATCGGTATTCTTTTTTACGATCTTATGGTTCATGAGCCATAAGGCGTACTAGCGTGATCTCAGTTCCAGATCGTCGAATCGACCCGACGAACGACAGCATGCCTTGTCGAGTGAACAAGTGATAGACCATCAGAGGACGAAGCAAACAATCGAAGAGGGCGGTCAAAATTTTACGCTGGGGCCATAGACTATGCACGAGACTCACTCCACAAGATGGGAAAAAATTCTCAAAGGTGAAAATAGCACCAGTGTCTCAAGTGCTCCGGACACTGTAAAGTTAATGCAGAGTACACCAAGTTTTCCCGCTACCGTTATAGTGAACAGAAGTATTGGCTGTCTTCGTGATCTGAGAACGTGTGATTATCTGCGAGGAACTTGAATAATTCGACATGGGATAATACCGTACGCAAGATCTCACTTCCTGTGAGTAACTTGGCCTTGGTGTCCCTTGCAGTCCGTGCCCGTTCCATCATTGACTACTCGACAGCAATCTTTGCAGTCACAAAACGCGTATGCTACAATTGTATAATTTCGTCCACACCAAATACCATAATCGTTTCCGTTATTATAAATATTCAATTTCAGGCCCGTTATGCACTGAATTACATCTGCCGATAACCGTAAATACGCGGTCTGCGCGTAGTAGGCCGCAAAGTACTCACTCTTGGGGAAGCAAGGTTGGTTTATGGGCGTCGCATCTGAATCAGATGCGACAGTCATCACTGCTGCAGATACGGCAATAGTGGCAAGTGAAGTCAATCTCATAGTCGAATGTTGATATGGTGTTTTCTGGGCCGCGTAAGTTGGCTTTAATACATGATCACTGTCAGGGCCGCCGTTAGGTACAGCCAAACTCTTTCATGTGCTTGAATCATTTTGCCAGACCGGTTGGTTAAATGGAACATTGATCTGAGCCTTGGCTTTGATACATGATCAGGTTAACGTTACAGACAAGCCGCTGGCTTGAATCGCTTTGCCAGACCGGTTGGAGTTTTTCCAACTTAATGCGGCGGACTTGACGAATGAAACGGATGCCAGCTCACTAATATAAAAGTGGAGGTAAAGAAAACTATTCACCCTTACCGGTCAGTGATGAGTAGATGAAGTTACCATCGTACTAGTCTGAGGTTTAGTACCCATGCCACGCAGCCTGAATAGTCAAGCGCCTATATGTTGCGCAGCCATCTGCGTAGCCCGCAGTCGCTATCATTATATAACTTTGGTTCTCTTCAACGCCTAGAGTAGCGCCAAAATGGTCTTGCTCGATAAATACTTCGATGAAACCGACTGCAATGAAGTCGACTTACCACCTTCTTACGACACCATCGCCTCTGTTTCTACCAACATAGATGAGAAACCTCGTCCTTCGCCGGCACCAACTGCCCGTCCTACAGCTCCTCCATCTTCCTCAACGTGGCTCTCCCTCCTTCCTGATACTCGTACCAAACAAACACGCCAAACTGTCATCTCCCTCATTCGCGACCTCGTTGCCACCACCACCACTGATAACTCTGCTGCTACCCCAATCCTAGCTTCATGTGCTTCTGCCCTATCTCCCCCATCCTTCTCTACCCTCCTCCAACAACCCACCTTGGAAGGACACACTCCCATCTACTGGGCCATTCTCAATCGCCACACCGACATACTCCCTGACATGCTCCAATACGCAGGTCCACTCAACAATGCCTGTGTTACAGACATTCGCCTTGCTTGTCTTGCGAGCGGCAATCAGCTTTTGTTTGGGAAGCTTCGTAGAGGAGAGCTTCCGTTTCAAACTACTCTCAGAGCAGGTGACCACGCTGTTTTACCTTCTGTGTTGTTGAACTGACGCATGAGACCCAGATGCCCTCGTTCTAGGTTCCACATCCGCAGATGACATCAATGTCCACGAGGTTGACGGTGAAGCTGCCTTCAGCGCATCTATCAAAATCCGTCTCTGGCAGAAACGAATGCGCGTCGCTGGTTTGGTAGGTGTGGAGTTTATTGCGCGAGGTCAGCATTCTCTCATTTGCATTCTCGTCGAACTCACACTTTTTGTAGGACGCATATGGTCACTCACTTTCTTCTCCGCTCCCTCCCCTTCTCCCTTATCCAGTTCTCATCCAAATCATGGTGCAGGGAGCGGACCATGGCAAGTCGCACTCAGTCTTATGGAGCACAGCCCGCCTACATTCGTAGATGGAAGACTCGTCATTGACGTTTCTCGTCCTCTTTCATCCTCAATACCAGACTCACTCTCCTCCGAATCATTTTCGCCCACCAATTCAAGGCATCCATCTCTTCTCTCAACACCAGTACCTACCTCCCCTACCCACGCAAGACCGCCCGTCGTCATACCACTTCGATCTACCAATCGACTTGCCCATCGTACGTCAGATGGGGGTGTATTTAGTGTGTTGGAGCTCAGGTGGGGTGGTGTTGGTCCTAGGTTGGTTTCATTCTTGTGAGGTGTTGCACGGCCTGACAACAGTCTTTCTCCCCTGCACCATCATTTATCTACCTGACATCTACACCCAACTCACAAAAACTTCATAGACCTCCAAAACCAGCTGCGTGGTCCGATGAAGGAAAGCAGTATACAAATGCGTTGATTGGAGTGTTGAGCGACGATCTTGGGTGGGAGTGAGTGTTTTTTTTTCGGTTTTGGTTCAATAGGCTTCTCTGTTTTGTCTTCAATGTTGCCTTACCGTAATTCCTCGCCCGTCGTCCATTTAGTTCATCCTGCCTCTCATCCTCCTCATGCCTTTTCTACTTCGTTCCTTTTATCTATGTCGCCGCTCCTTCTCTCATGTAGCATTCCACCAACAAACGCTGACAACCCCCTCCCTACAGCAACACACCCCACCTCACACCCGACGGCACCCTGCACGCACGACTGGATGCAAGACTTGAGAAAGCGGAGGGTGGGAGCTGCATCATTTGTTAGCAGTTGGATCTGGGATGCGTCGGTACTAATGACAGAGTGCGCTGTGAGCGGACTCCCTCCCCTGGCATGCAAGATGCCATACGGGTCTTATCCAAATCATGTAGAGTCCTGAAATGCACCGACACGTTGCTGGTTAGCACTCGTTGGCTGCTGTACGCATTCCGGATTACCCGCGTCCCGAGTGCGTTTGAAGTAGATGTTTATCGGACGCACGAGGAGCGAGGATGCGATGCTTATGGTAAGTGCATGTCGTTTTCTCTGTTGCACTTATAGTATATCTGTAATGAGATGTGCTAAATTTCTTCAAGCTGCCGTTGTTAATGTGCATCGTATCCTTGCGAGTTTGTTGTCTCAGAATGAGTAATATATTCAGTCAGACAGGTAGTTGATTTGAATTGGTACTCTACAAGGCATATCTACGGTACAGTGCCACCGAATGTCTATAACCACTTCCTCCATCGATATCATACGAGCGGGATGTGAGTCGAACTGAAACGTAGGCCTCGTACATATCATGGGCCGTTGCCCTCAAGCTGTTCCTGCCTTGGACGTGGCTCCACTCCCACTTTTCCTCGTGCAATTGAAACTAGTGCGCGCACTTGGTGCAATCACACGAGGAGAAGTGAGGGTTTTTGGTTCGAGCTGGTATAGTTGTTCGGTGAAGAGTATGAGTTGGCGTTTAGAGAATGTTCACACGAGACACGGGCCGAGGGAAGGTCAGGATGTCCAAGTCCAAATCACATCCGAATGGACAGTTCCCGTCACTATAGAGATGGTTTACTGTAACCGCCATCTTAGAAACTCTCACCAGACCACTGGCACAATACCACACCAAGAAAGTCCATCGCCCTGGATCAAACTCAATCATTACACTTCTTCCCCCATTTTCTTTTGATCCACGAGCTTGACAACTCCGAGGTGTTTCTTGCAATTGACCACTATAATCCCTGCGCTTCGTCAGAAACGGCCAAGATCCAAGAACGCTCAGCAGTACTGGCCAATATCGAATCATGAAAAACTGTTCGCTCATTTGCCTCAGTTCCTGCGATCACTGGCTCGTTGGTTATTACCAATTTGGTGCACCTTAAGGCCTTAAGGAGATGGATATTGTTATTAGTGACGCATGTTTTCTCACTATAAAACTTTCTCCCAGTATAGTCCCAGTTGCACTAATCAGAACAGGTATAAAATCAACGCAGTTGAGTTGAAAAGTTCACAGACGAACGGCTCCTCTCGCGGTGAGCAGTCCTCTTGTCGTACACTCTATGTGCGTTTCATTGAACGGACATATAATAGCTCTTCTGATACTTTGTAATAGCAAATTTGCGCACATCATATAATCAAACTTTCCATCGGTATGTGGTTTTCCTAGCACGGTCATATCATAGGTTGATGCATAGTTATACCAGATACCATGAAACTCAATAAAATCCTCGTGATCCTTGCTGTTTCCAGCGCTGCTGCCGCCGCCGTTGCTACTGGGGTGGATACAGCAGCACCTGCTGACAGAACTTGCGACAGACCATGCTACTCGTCTCCAGAATCTTTTCCATGCACTACACCGTGGACGCCTCAGCTGGTGTCCACTAATTGTTGGGAGTGCTGTCTCTCATATAGTTGAACATCTTGGTCATTTTTCCTCCCAATACAAACGAAATGTGACATGTACCGTTTTCTCAAAAGATCGAGTCTTAGCACGGATAAGATCACTCGGTGAAGCACAAACAGAGATGCACAGTCGGCTCTCTTTTGATCGGTATCCCTGACAAGCTCTAAGAACTTGAATATGTTGCTTGACCACTAGTATATCCTGCTCAGAGATGGCCGACGACTGTGCATTAATCTGAAGTCATGGACCTAGCTTTACATTTCGATCTCACAAAATCTCGCAAAGTGATTCTCCCATCCAGACACTGGTGCTTGTGTTCTACCTGTGCGCGCACACTTCCAATGACCGGTTTTCATCCATCACTCCCGGGCCGGCTCCGCTACGGCTCCTGCGTGAATGCAGTAGAATACTGCAATCTCATATCCACGACCCATGGATATTGGACGACCTTCAATCAAAATGATCGAGCGACATGAGTAGCAATTCGTTGTACACAATATTGACGGAGTGATATAAACATCTGAGGTCTCTATCTGATAGCTGGAAAGAGCAGTATATTGGAGGTAGTGGGGTGCTCCATTAATACATACGATGAGCACGTGAAGATGCTTGTGTTCGTGGTGTTGAGTTATGACATTCACAAGGACACAAAAACCTAGAACTCGACGCGCGCGGGTAGCCGCTTCATCTCGAATTGCCCACTGGAATTGTTTGAAGTTCGATTTCCATCGTTTGAAGCCTACTAGGTGGCTTCCTGGCGTTGAGTCTAGTAATCGTACAATGAGTTGATATGGAAGATCAGCTCGTAGTTTTACCTACATAGATAGCAACGAATTGGCATATGCTATTTGATCCAACCATCTCAGACTCTTGAACGACAGTAACTCGCGAGAAAAATTCACTCACAGTTTCTGAGAACCATAGCTACACCTCCGATTGCAGCAAACCATTTTGCCCAGTACTGAGAATCATTTAGTGAAGAAATTTTGCCTGGATCATGCTGCGCACCAAGATGAATATACCGATAGCCAACAAACTGTAAGGTCACGAAATAAAGCACTTAGTGGTAGTCACATTGATGCAGTATAAGACTTGCCACACAAGAAAGCCCATGCCGATGAAATTGTTAGTTATCCTCTGGATACGGGTGTCCGTGCTACACCGCACAGTTGAATACTTTGATGGTTAGTTGGAGCACACCAACTTACCGGCGGACACCAGATCTTCCAGGGCGTAGGTAAAAGTAGACGGAAAGACTGATCGCGGAGTCGCACAAGACGTTCTGAAATGCATCTGCAGCGGAGATTTTGAGTATCTACCAAAAGAATGTCAGGAAAGCGTTCAGGGGAATGCTCCGACGTACTGCGTCATTCGAGAAAGCCCCAGTCTTTCTGGATACGATATAGAACTAGTTTCTTCGAGTTCACGAAAAAAAAAAACTCACTGCGGCGGAATAACCGCTGAACAAGAAAGAAAACTATCAGGCACATGGACAAAGTGAACACTTTTCAGCCAACCTACTTAGACCGAGCACTATCATAAACAAGTCTTAGAATGCAACCGAGATGCAGTACACAATGAAACTCACCATAAGACAAAGCTGCGAATAAAATCTGTTGCTCACTGACGTAAGTACACGGATCTCATTGATGCGATGCGATACCTACTATGGGTATGGTGACATATATGTTTTTGTCGCTGACTGCGTACACACTTGATTTATAATGACGTACAACTAACGCATGACGACTTACTTATCCATACACGATGACAATAGAAACTGCGGCGCCAAGAGGTAAGCATCATTCGTAATGGTGACTAGTGTGGTACCTGTGCACGATGAATGGTAAGGTAGTCTGACAGGATGTCAGATAGATGATGATCACGAAAACATTCTTGGAACTCACATTTACAAAGAGAAGGATCATCGCCTGCCGTAGGTCGAGTTCCAGTTGGGTATGCTTGATCTGGGAATGAATTTATCTTGCTCACCGCCGTGTCCCTGTAACTGCGTTAAAAAGTGAAAGACATCATGAGTATACACCTGAGGTAGCTCACCATGCCTGACACCTTATAAATGTACTCCGAAAACAATTGGTGAAGAACGACCAGTACATGAAAGTGGTCAATAGCGTCCCAATGATATTCAAAATCCTGGATCATAGTTAGATAACGCATGCAACAATATGGTAGGAACGAACAGGACAGTGGCAACCTAAAAGTTCTCAGTTAGAGAATATAAGTGATACCACTGTCATGAACTCACGAGATACCTGAGCAGTCGTCTGTCGTGAGGGAAGGCTCGATAATAACAGAAGCCTTGAGCAACATTGATACCTAGTTGCCTATCAGAGCCATTTAAGTTGGTATTGAACGTGTTCGGAACTTTGGCTACCAAGACAGACTGACGCAAAAGAAATAGTCAACCCTAAAAGGTTGAACAATCAGTAGACAGGGAATCGAAGCACAAATATGTTCCTACCTATGAACTGAATTGTAAATGCAGGCATGTCCGACATGGCTGAATTGGAGGGAAGGTGGCTGGTGACACTGCGCCGGAGGGAGGTTACACAAGACAAGTTAAGGTAGCCTGCATTTATTTATCCATATGCTGAAAGGCACTACTAGTATTGGTCAATACCTGGCGCCTAGCAATGGAAACTTAAAGCCCTGAAATGAAACGCTAAAATATCTCGACACGAATTGAATATAAAAGACTAACACTGCACTGACGTACAAATTAACGGGCCCTGTGCCACAATGAAATTGTACTTGCGTGATTTTGTATTGGTGGCACTGACAGTGTGGTGACAGGCTGGACTGACGCCGACGAGCCTGCGTATGGTGCGTAAGGACTGATCCGGGATGGTCGCTACTCAATAAGTTCCTACTCCAATAGTCTATGGCTTCTAAGCTTTTGTTATTTATAAATATGAAACAACCGCCACTGATCGCACCGTTACAGACCCTTTCCATCAATCACACCCTCAATGTTCAGGAAAACTTCAAGGATTGGCGTAGAAGTGGGTCCGAGTGGTCGCAGCCCGACTTTCTCTTCGGCCACCGTTTGCCACGTGGTCCAATCACTGGCTCAATTTCCCAATCCTCGCCGTGAATGTAATCCTTCTCTAATCCTCTGTGAAGACGAGTTCGTTTCAGTGCTATGTAGACAGGATAGAGGTCTGGGAACTTTTAAGGCTTGACCATCCACCATGCCATGCGCAATCGCAAACCATGACTGTGTCCCTTGATACAGTGGCGGCATTTCAGACACGGAGCATCGTACAAATAGGGTGTGGTGTCCTCCATATGTAGAAACATATCAAGTTGTGCCTTCAAGTCCCTGAAGGCTGACGTATCAGGAATAAACACCCCGCACTCGAATGGGGCTATGTTTGACATGGTAGGCTGCGCTAAGACCTTGACCCTGTAAACATTCTCGGTAAGTAACCCAGTTTCCGATGCCAGGAGCCAATGTCATTGTCGAGGGCGAGCAGTGACAAAAACAACAAAAGACTCACTCTCAGAAGATTCTCACGGTAACGCCCGTTTATGCAAGTTGGCGCGGAAGTCTGAAAGAAGCCTCCATCACCACATGCAAGTTCGTGGCTAAATGGACAGGGCACACACACAAGATGTGTTGTCTGTTTGCTGGATTCGAGATGATCAGTAAGCGGCCAGCGAAGTCGTCGATGTACTTACCCTAGAGAATGAATCAACGATGCCCTTGTGGTCCTGTGGACACGGTTTGGGTACCCGTGAGGAAATTCTTGTTACAGAGATTTTGTATGTCCTGCCCTGTTATCTGCGGTGCAATGCGTATGCTAAGAGACATCTATGCCCAATCCAACCTGCTCGAAGATTAAGTTAGTTATAGCAATTAGCTATTGGGAAATGAAGGACTGACCTTCACATCATGATCCAGGAGCATGCCAACTCTTGCCATGCTACTACTCAAATAGGAGTGGCTCGTCGGGCAATGTGCCACCTCCGAACCACGTCGCAGTGAGTTGGACGCCGTGTGCCAAAACAGTATTATCGCGAAGTAAATGAAACATGTCATAGGTCTCTGCATGACTGTTAGTCTTGAACAAGCGTTTAACCAGTTTAACTTCGGGTTTATTCTCTGAGATGTGCGTCTGAATGGCGAGCATTGGATTCTTCTGCGCGATTTCACTGAGACGCGTCAAGAGTTCCTCAGTACATGAGATGGCGAAACGCGGGGTGAGGACGGGATGTAGCAATGTCTCGCCACAAGCAGTTTTCGGTAGCTCTTCGATGTACCTGATTAAAGCCAAGATGGTGTCGACAGATTCTTTGACAGACGACTCAATGTAATTGGGTGGAGAATTCCGATTCATGTTACATTTCGGTCAGGGAATCTGTAGGGAGTGTCATCCTATTATATTGATGTTGTTTCTGAGCAGAATGTAATGCGGGTGGAATATGTAATGGGCAATGTCACTTGATGTGATCGATTGAATGGACAAGTCCTGCCAGGACAAATAAATCGTCACAAATGACCAAACAAGATATACTTGCTTTGTTAAAACTAGCCAGACAATGAAGACAACAATCTTCAACGACTCATAACTTGATTCTTGAAGGCAAAGGCCATGACTAACTGTCGTCTTATGCGGCTTGCATTGCAAAGAAACCGGTTGTTGCAGCAGAACCGACTCAGTAACGTCAAATCATCGAGTCTCATAATCCCTGATCACGACTAACAACGTGAATATCAACTGGCAGAGCCTCGAACACAGCTAGTTTGTCCGACGGTCCACTGATCTCACGGCTTGAAGCCGGGCTGTACACTAATTTCCCTTTTGCACACCTCTTGGAGGTCATTATAGAGATAGTGTACTGCCATGATCTTAGAGGCTCATATGTTTATGTGCAAGATTCACCAGACCACAATACCATACCAAGAAACTCCATCCCCCTGGATCAAACTCAATCATTACACTTCTTCCACGATTTCCTTTTTTCTTTTGACCCATGTGGTTGACGACTCCGAGTGTTTCCATGCGCTTTGCTCAGAAACTGCCAAGATCCGAGAACGATCAGCAGCAGTGGCCAATATTGAATCGTGAAAACTGTTCGCTTATTTGCCTCAGATATATCCTTCCTGCGATCACTGTGGCTCGTTGGTTAATACCAATTTGGTGCACCTTATCAAGGAGATGGATTTTGTTATTAGGACGCATGTTTTACTTTCTTGCGGTGTAGCCCCAGTCGCACTAACGAGAACAGGTATAAAATCAACGCAGTTAATTTAAAAAGGTCTCAAACAAACGGCTTCTCTCGCGGTGAGTAGTCCTCTTGTGGTACACTCTATGTGCATTTCATTGAACGGACATATAATAGCTCTTCTGATACTTTGTAATAGCAAATTTGTGCACATCATATAATCATACTTTCCATCGGTATGTGGTTTCCTAGCACGGTCACATCATAGGCTGATGCATAGTTATACCAGATACCATGAAACTCGTTGAAATCCTCGTGATCCTTGCTGCTTCCAGTGCTGCTGCCGCTGCCACGGGGGTGGATACAGCAGCATCTACCCAGGTAACTTGCGGCTTGCCATGCGCAATGTTTGGTATGCGAACCAGGGTGGTCGCCTGAGCTGGAGTCCGCTAATTGTTGGAAGTGCCGTCACTCATAGTTGAGCATCTTGGTCATTTTTCCCAATAAAAACAAGATGTGAAATGTACTGTTTTCTCACAAGATCGAGTACTTAGCACAGATAAGATCACTCGGTGAAGCACAAACAGAGATGCACAGTCGGCTCTCTTTTGATCAGTGTCCCTGACAAGCTCTAAGAACTTGAATGTGTTGCTTGACCATTAGTGTATCCTGCTCAGAGATGGCCGACGGCCGTGCATTGACCTAAAGTCATGGTCTGCGTAGTGGAACGTAGTTACAATTTGACTAACCCTGCCGCCTTCGTCAGTCAACATCACGCCGTCCAATTAATTTCATCAGTCTTGGTGTTTGTAGCGAATGCAATCATGATTATATAATATCCGGTGTAATCACCGAACGTACAGTAACTTTGATCAACGTTATTAAATATCAACTGGCAGGACACAGTTAGTTTGTCCCGACGATCTGCTGATCTCAACAAGTGAAGCTCAAGCACAAGCAGCACAAGCACCAAGTTATTACTGCAGTTCAAAGTTGACAACCACGACCGCGGCCCACCGGCAACACCCGATTTCCACGAATGCGACTCACCGAAGTAACCGGAAGTTCGTTGTCAATATGGTTGGGGAGAAAGTTGGCGCACTAGTTTGTAGCACTGTCCTTGGTTCCTCTCTTGGTTGTGTCTTACAAGGCGAAGGAGTTCTAACACACGTCTGACAGGTTGAATATTAGAGCTGAAATGTCCCAGCTTCCGGTGCCTGAGAGGCGCGTCCTCTCATTACACACAACTCTAGGCTCAGACCTAGTAGAGCTCAAGTGCTCTACACTGTACTACCCAGTCTCCTGCGCCAAAGACGGTCTCACACTCGTGTTCACGCATGGAATTGCTAGTCGTGAGTCTTCCCATCCAATCTCGCACCCTGATCTCAAATGTGCTTCAGACAAGGAACAATACGATCCTACTATTGCTCGCCTGCTATCGCATGCTCAAACTCGCGCTGTGATCCGGGATATATGGGTGCTTGACTTTCCCCAACCATGGTCAAACCGCACTTCTGAACCGTCCGTGTTTGATGCGCGCAAGGCAAATGGGAAGGCGATGTGCTGTACGTTTCTTTGTCTTATTCATTACTACCAATGCTAACATCACCTCAAGCAACGAATGATATCGGCGCTCTACCTCCGAGCCTTCCTCTCCACTCCCTTGCTCACATCTAGCAGGGTGGTAGGGATCGCTCATTCAGGGAGTTGCACGCTCTGGATATTTGCGCTCACATCCATACCTACTTCTCTTACTCCCATTGCTCTCATAATGGTCGAACCAACGTTGATGTTCCCTTCTCTCACTCCGACTGACCCTCGCTCCATCCACGGAGCCGCAAACGTTCGAGGGTCACTTGCTAAACGCGATCGCTGGACGGATAGGGAAGCTTTGATGAGGTGGTTGATGGGCAGCAAGGCGTTTGGAGGAAGTGGGATAAGAGGGTTTTGGACCTTTATGTGAGGTGTGGATTTGAAGAGGTGAATCAATCAAACCTTGGTACGGGGAAGAAGGAGAGTTATGTTACACCTACGTTGAGAAAAGACGAGGAGAGCCCATTGTATGCATGTTCATCGCATACGGTGGACCCCGAGTCTCTTAGGCGTGTATGTAGGGCGGTGGAGGAGGCTGGAAGGGGGGTTCATGTCATTTGGGCTGATTTCGAGGAGTTTGTGTGCGTTGTTTTCTTTTCTTTTTTTGCCCGTGGTCGACAGTGATGTAACGGGCTATATGTAGATCTAAAGCGTCGAGGGAAGAGATTTTAGATGCTGCGGAGCACAGGGTGGTATCTCAGCGGACTATCAAGGGGGCGGGTCATTTGGTACGTGGCACCGTCTTATTTTCCTGTCGAAGTGGGTTGTAAGATATTGTCTGCCCAAAATTTATTAGGTTCCGCAAGAGAAACCAGATAAACTTGGAGAGGCACTCGTCGAGATCTTGGATGAGATTGTGAACGGTTCGGGGGATACGAAGGCGAAGTTGTAGGATGTAGGTGAGCCTTTATGGCTCTTCCTTTGGTGTCGAAGATATTTGGCTGATGGTACGTATATATATAGATATGAGCTCACCAATATTGTTGCATGTAAAATTCGCAAATTTATTAAAACAGAACGCGTATGTTCAAGATATCAATATTGTAAGAGCGTGTGGACTTTGTTGCTCTCTCACATGCGTTTGAAGAACTAGATAAAAAGAATTCATGCTACCACTTCAACGCATTCAGGATGGGGTGAGGACAAGTATGTACATGCAGAATGCATGCAACGAGGGCTCTAAGCATTCGAGGCTAGAGAGACTCTACGCATCGCAGATGATCACTCAGACACACATCGTATGCCGGTCAGGCCCAAAAGAAATCTTTGCTTCGTTCTGCTCTGTCAGCCGCAAGATAGGGGTGAGACGCAATTGCCAGAAGAAATACCGAAAAATAAAGGCGAGAAGGAGTAGCTAGGACAGACAAGGCGATAAGAGGTAGATGTGACTAGCACTCAGAATTGCAGTTACCTTGCATAAGTCGGCGAGATAGCTCGTAGGAGTCTTAGCAGAGAAAAAGTCACTAGCTTTTGGTCCCAGATCCCAGTTATAGGGAGTAAACTAGTGATAGACACGGAGAACTTGGCGGCGTTCACTAGATCTACAAACTTAGTCAGATAGGTCATCAAAGCACCACAAGCGCCAGGGTGCACGTAGTCAAGATAGTATGCCGTCCATGCAAGCTGAAAACCACACAAAACACGTAGACTGAGTGGTGTTTCAATTCCATGCAAGTAAGTAATAATGAAGGATACAAATACGTGAGGTGCATGATGATGAGGGGGGCGTAACGGCGTGCGACAACAAAGCAAGTATAATAAATCAGCATAAATGAAGTGGCGACTGAAGTACTGACGGCGCTTGGGAATTATTTTACCCCGCGTGTCACAAGGTCGCAGGAAAGGTTTAATATTCCTTACTTAGAACCCGCCCATGCCACCCATGCCTCCCATGCCACCCATGCCACCAGGCATACCACCGGCAGGTTTGTCCTCCTCACCATCTACAACACAACATTCGCTTGTGGTCAACAAGCTTGCGACACCTGCGGCATCTACGAGTGCTGTCCGCACAACCTTGAGAGGGTCGACGATACCACGCGCGATCATGTCAGTATACTCGCCCTTTGACGCGTCGTAACCGTATGCGAAGGATGTGTTAGACGAGCCGATAAGCGTGCCGACAATAACGCTTGCTTCCTCACCCGCGTTCGTGAGGATTGTGCGTGCGGGCTGTGTCAACGCGCGACGGATGATGCTGACACCAAGGCCTTGGTCGAAGTTGGCAGTTGGGATGACGTCTGGGTCAGAGGCAGGTTCGCCGGGTGCGGCTGTCTTGAGTGCAAGGCTAGCCTTGAGAAGTGCAACACCACCACCCGGGAGGATACCCTCCTCAACCGCGGCACGCGTTGCGTTGAGTGCGTCATCGTAACGATCCTTCTTCTCTCCGACTTCGACTTCAGATGAGCCACCAACTTTGATGACGGCGACACCTCCTGAGAGTTTCGCAAGACGTTCTTGGAGCTTGGTCTTGTCAAACTCGGAGGTGGTGGGGTCATTCAGGAGTGCGCGGATCTGCTCGCATCGTGCTGATATGGCATCTTTGGAGCCAGCACCGTTGAGGACGATGGTGTCCTCCTTCGTAATAGTGATGCTGCCCGTGCTGCCTAGGAGGTCAGCCGTTGCGTGCTCAAGCTTGATGTCCAGTTCATCAGTGAAGACTGAGCCACCGGTGAGAATGGCAAGGTCACCAAGGATGCTCTTGCGGTTGTCACCGAACCAGGTGCTTTGACGGCTGCGACCTGGAGCTGGCCACGGAGCTTGTTAAGGATACAAGCTGCGAGGGCTTCGCCATCAATATCCTCAGCAATGATGACTAGCGGTCTGCGAGCTGAAGCAGCAGTTTCGAGGGATGGCAGAATGTCCTGTAGCAAGGAAATTTTCTTCTCTGAGAGGAGAATGAGTGGCTTTTCGAACTCGACCTTTTGAGTCTTGACGTCGGTGATGAAGTATGGGGAGATGTAACCGCGGTCAAAGCGCATGCCCTCCGTCACCTCGATTTCATCTTCGATTGTCCGGCCCTCTTTTACGGTGATGACCACCCTCTTTCCCAACTCTCTCCATTGCCTGCGCAATCAACCCACCAACATGTTCGTCGCCGTTAGCAGAGATAGTGGCGACTTGTGCAATCTCGGCTGTAGTGGTGATCGTCTTGGTATTGGCTTCCAAGAACTGGACAACCTTTTGTACGGCGGATTGGGCACCGCGACGAAGGTCCATGGGATTGCACCCTGCCGCAACGTTCTTGACACCCTCGGCATAGATGGCACGAGCTAGGACGGTTTGCGGTAGTAGTGCCGTCACCAGCAATTTCGTTTGTTTTTTGTGCGACATCCTGCACGAGCCTATTCGGGAATGTGTAAAAATTGTGTTGACAGTGGGACAGAAGCAACTTACCGGGCACCAAGATTTTCGAACTTGTCCTTGAGACTAATGCTCTTAGCCACAGTTACTCCATCTGACGATGATTCAGGTGATAGTACATCTAGAGAAAGAAAAATAGCCTACCCTTCGTAATTTTTGGCCCACCAAAGCTCTGCTCGATAATGACGTTGCGGCCTGTGAAATCGCGAAAAAAAAAATATAGTTCAGATTCAGTTCACGAGAGTGAAAGGAATGATACTGACCTTTTGGACCGAGGGTGACGCTGACAGCATTAGCAAGGACGTCGACACCCTTGAGGATACTAGCACGACCGTCATTACTGAACTTGATCTCCTTGTGTACACCGCGAGTCATAGTGGGCTTGACCTTTGCGGCAGCGCGGCGAAGAGTACGAGAAGACGTGTGCATAGCTACTTCAACAACGAATTAGAATTAGGAAGAAGAAGAACTTCAAGAAGATCTGAGGACGAACAGAAAAGAGAGTTGGTAAAACTTGCAATAAAAATGATCCAGGAAAAATCTAGAAATTCCTGGATTATGTAATCAAATACAGTTAATGTGACCGTTCTGTGACTGCACGTTATGTAAACTTTTGAAAAAGAAAATGTGTACTTACTATATTTGACAACAGAGTGTCACGACACACGTGACGGCTCCTGGTCAATAACCATTACCTCGTAGCGCTAACGGTCCGACGGACTATTGTGCTGACTTGTAGCTCACAAAGCTGGCAGTCATTATCAACAGCATGAACGGCTACCACGAGCCCTCTATAGAGGAGCTTGAGAACGAACTTCCTGTAGTTCTTGATGGCCAGGTTCCGCTGGGCGACCTTCTTTCTAGAGTGGCCCAGGCCATCTATGCTGAGTTGTCTGAGCTTGCTGAGACGTGAGTGTCTCCAGTGTTCACTCTACAAATTCCCTTTGAATAACCTCCATCAAGTCTTCCAAACATGTCTGATGGTGCTCGAAAACGCACGCTTGCCGATTGGGTCGTGAAAACCAAGAAGCAAGTTGTAAAGCTGTATGCCATCACTAAGTGGGCACGGGATGCAGAGACCGTACAGAAATGCATGGTGAGTGACGCGTTTCTATCAATACTTGCACTTCATGATTATTTTCCAGAACATCACTGCTTTTCTTATGAATCAGAACCAGCAATTTGAAGATGTCATGAGAAGTTTAACGTACGCAAAAGAAAGCTTAGATTCTGCCAGGTACAGAGAATTTACGCGCACTAATTTTTGTCCTTACGCATTCTATGTCGTAGGCTACGAAATCACGACTTACTCACCTCGCTGGACGTCCTTACTACGGGCACATATCAGCGGCTACCGTCTCGCATCAAGGTTTTACTCATCTTGCCATATGCTGTGATTGTACTCATGTATTTCCATAGAAATCTATTATCTCAACTACCCCCTTAACGGATGCGGAGGTCGTCAGCGCGCTCAGTGACATAGAACACGCCATCCGCTACCGCCTCCGTATGTCGGAGATAATCCCGGTGGAAATGTTCCAGTATCTCATTGGTATCTTTCTGAGCTCAGAACCTCACAGTTCCTTACTCAATTGATCTCAGCTAATGGACGTGTGCACTTCTCGGTCCCTAAGTTGTTCGAAACTGCCATCTGCCTAAGAGGCGCAGAGAAGAATGATGGCTGGTTCTTTGTTAGCGTCAAGTTCCTCATCACTGTGGGCGGTGATCCCACGGGCATGCAAGGTATTAATATCGTCTGATTTACTACATACCATCGTTTATGCTGTGTACCTAGAGTTCCCTTCCGAGCCCACTGGGGTTCTCAGACGACATATTGCAGACGAGGCTGATGCACGGATGACCTGTTACCTTCCGCTCCCAGATATACCAGAATTTGCTCCGAACCCCGAAGATCCACCACGACCGCAGCTTCCAGAGGGAACGGTAGATGCACCTCTTGTGAGGCTCTTTAATTTCCTTCGTAAGTAAAAGAGCTTTTTGTCGTTGTATGGGAATTCACGAAGACGCACAGAAATGATGTCCATGTCCTATCAACTTGAAATATTGTGCTACCAAGTAAGCATATTTTCATGATCAGAAAGGCTGTTGGATGACGGCTCTCCCACAGGCTCAGAGGATGCGCTCCCTTGGTTGGGCTGATTTCCTCAAAGTTGAGATGCGCGATGGGCGCAAAACACTTGCTGTGTCGTATTGGATGTAAGGCCCTCAGTTTCATAGACCGTTTCTTCTGTTGTTCATGTGCACCCAGGCGACCACTACAACCCGGAGTTCATGTGGTGGCCCCCAATCGTCTTAAATTACCTCCGCATGGTGGTACCTTGACCATTTCTATTGTCGAGAAAGTTAACAAAAAAACCGCGCGGTCACCTATAGCGCGAATGCTTGCAGAACTTCAGCGAAAGTCAAAATTAGGTGACATGCGCCCTTCTGATGACGTTGAAAGCCTGCAGTTTAACACAAAATGGGAACCGATGAAGGGCGTGTTGGCTGCCAATATTGACACTGAGGAAGCGATAGCTGTGGTTAAAGAGCTTGAGGTTGTATGTTAATGATTTATTACGCGATGAGGTTATTCACGTATGCGTTTCGACAGGAGTCTGATAACATTGATTTTGAGTCGATGTTGAGAAAGGTGATCGAGGTGCACACACAAGCAATCCTGAGATTCTACCAAGCCCAACTTCAGCGGGGCCCTATTCGGGTATTCTCACCTGCAGACAAGGTGGTTTTGGTTTTTGAAAGTGGGTATCAAACCATCTCGACTCTGATTCCGTGCTAATGTCACACAAGGAGGTTATCATTCTCTGCGCGTGCATCTCTGTGCCGACGAAGTCGCGATTGTGTCCATCGACACCAGGACAGGCCGGTTGAGTATCCGAGATACTGGAGACCTCGCAGCAGCTGGCCGAGGACCAAGATTTTCTGCCATCTCTGACAAACTCAACGAAGCACCCAACATGCTTTTCGACGTGCTGATCAGACTGCGATTTAATGTGCGCAATCTTACTTTTGTACTATAACCGTCACTGTATTATATTGGCAGACAATCACAGATATCGTGGAACAAAAAGCAAATTACCTTGGCTTCCAAGTGTTCCGGCACCGAAACTTCTCGAAAGAAGGTTTGGTACTGTCAATTCATCTCCTTACTCTGTCTCACTTCCGTCTTAGAGATTCAAAAGCTTGGACCTGCAGCCCGTGGCATGATGTATATCCAGCTTGCCAACTTCCCAACGCACTACCTCGTGCTTGTCCTCACAGATGAAGAGTTCAGGTACGCACTCATATCGACAAAAATGCTCTCGGACACGATGTTTGGCAACATGATTATGGAGGATATCGGCTGGCTTGATGTGAGACGGATACGAGGTGACAGGGGTGCTGGCGCCGGCATGGATGAGGTTGTGATCTCATCTATGTCGCACGAACCACTGGTTTTGCAAAGGAGAAAAAGAGATGATATCCCTCCAGAATTATCGAGAAGTGAAGACAGGTGATATATTTTTCAGCTCTCGAATTTGTGTTACTAACGTGTAAGCATAGTTTCAACTTGGAGACACAAGTACTCCGGGAGTTATATGCATATTGTTGGTATGAAACCTTATTCCTTCGTCATCCACGTATTTCTCAATCGTCCTTCCAGCGCACGTGTTGCATACACCCGAGTCGAGCGCCAGTTTAAGCTCCGTGGCATCCCCTACACCCATGTCAACCCCACCATCACCCTCCCACAGATATCCGAGCTTGGACACATTCAATCATCCCTTGCCCGTTCTGTACCGGCACTTTGTGTTCAGTCTTCAGACATTCTATCAGGCGCACCAGCAGCCGAGGCGGCCATGCCCAACATCCGCGTCATACCATTGAACTGGTGGTCAGACAAGAAGGCGCAGGTGGTAACCTGCGTGAAATTGAAGTACGTACAACAGCCAGTTGGGAAGCGTGCTGCGGCAGGGTCTAGCAGCAAAAACATCATTCGTCCTTCGAAAAGAATAATCTACGATGCGGCTGAGGCTGTGGTCTCCTTTTTGTCCGAAGAGGTTGACACCTGCGTGGACGAGTTTCTAGAAGAGTGGGCCCGCGTTTCTAAAATGGTCGTCATTGCCCGTGAAGGTATGTTGTGCTTGAAGTTGTCGATGTATTATTAATGCTTATACAATGCAGTGGCACGAATGGCGAAAGGGAAAAAATGGCCGGACGTGAGACTATTATCATTTGACCTGCAAACTGTGGAGTTTGCATACGCCTCAGTGAGTTTCTCCGTCCATTGGTCGAGTAATCTTATCCCACTTCTGCAGGATTATACGGTCTTAATTACCTGTACGGACCAGCTATCGCCTACAGGTGGATTCTTCGAGCTACGCTTTTCACGTTGTGCGCCTTCGCCAACCCTTTTACAACCTTCCTCTCTCGCTCCGCCTCAATTTCGTTTCCCGAATCACCAACTACGGACCAATCCCCATGAAGAAGCTGAGCCATATCTCCGTCATGTTCTCCGCCACGGCCCATTGGCATCCTCACTTGACCGTCTTGTTGAACTCCTTCGAAATACCCTTCCTATAGCAGTGGAACTTGAACACATGAGAGCGAGCTCCCGTGACGCCAAGCAGTCGCCAGGACGTGGTAGAGGTCGGCCACGTATAGCGGTCAAGGCCGATACCTCTGAACCATGGGTAGACACATATGTCAAAGGCTTGGGCTGGTGGAGGGTACTGTATGGCGATCTGAGGTGCGGTTCTTTCTACATGCTTATAATCGTCATTTAACATGGGGTGGTTAGACATGCTCTTGACTTCCGGTTAATGACGGAACAACGGATTGCTATCCTAGATGCGTCACACTCTCTTTTCGGCCCAAGCTCTTCTTCAACATCATCATCGTCACCCGAACTTCTTAGCCTGTTACCGATTCCAGACTTCAAGACACTTGTTATTGATGCCATCAAGTCTGTACGTATGAAAGACGAACATGCAAGGGTAGCCTACATCGGCACCGGGGTAGTCTGTGATAGCTCTTTTGTGGGCGGTGTGACAAGGGCATTGCATGAGCGAGTGTTGAAGAAGTTACAGGATAAATAATTTCAAAGATTTCTCTACTTGATTGGCATTCTGGATATACATGCCTTGGCCCTTCGTGAATGCTTCTCTTGCAAAAATATTGCTACGATCGTTTGATCATACATGTTGTGGTACTTGAAGATCTGAGGTCAGGCCATCAGTGTCTCCTGTTTCTTGTATCTCGACATGTTCATACTCACAATGGCACAATGCATACTGCAACATTCATTACTATGAGCGCAGTAGGGTTCAGGGAATTAGGGATCCCGCTCTGGTTGACCGGCTAATTAGCACGACCCACAGTGAGGGACGAAGTCGTGGCCATCACCTTTGGCGTCGACGGACCTCCACGAGCAGCTGTTGGCTGTACAGGGTGGTCTGACAGAATATCGAGGAGGTACGTGGATGATATGTCAATGTCTTTACCCACATTGAACTCCGTGCTTTTCATGCCAGCTAAACCCACATAGTCCGTGCTATCACGCCAATCCCCGTCTTCATCATCCGAGTCTGAACATCTACCTTGATGTTCGTTGGTCAAGCTCGAAATGATGTCCGCGGTCACGATAGGTGGTCGAGTAGGTGGCGGGACAACAGGTGGTGTCTCAGGTTTACCGTGGATGGTTGCATACATATCTCGCCATTTGACGGAAGGAGCGACTGTCGGTTCTTTGCTCACGTCAGCTTGCCAGCGGTGCCACTGACGAATCTGTATATGTTCTTTTAATGTCGAGATGTCTTGTCTGCTCCGAGTGGGGCTCTAGTTGATCCTTGAGATGTTGTTGCATTTAGCTTTGCGATGGGGGGGACAATATTTACAATATTTCTGCGACTCGAACTTCACAATTCTTCGGATTCTCGGTGATCGTCCGAATCGGCAACCAAATCAACTTATATATTTTGACTATGACGAGCCAGCGTGTTCAGAAATTAAGCTTTTTGCACTGGTCCAGCCGAAACCAGCCGAACTGAACCAGGACCCAAATTGACACCCCGTTTTCGAGGGTCTGAAATTCACCCTGTCATTCACGGTAAATTAGCAAGGCAAATCAGCTGGGCAAATCAGCCCACCCCAAATTCCCTGAACCCTAGAGCGCAGGGTGCCTCGTCTATCACACACGATACTGCCAAAGATACTTTCAAAGCAACAACAACGGCTGAGGAGAGCGAAACGCAGAATGCGGCAGAACGTCAAACTACAGGGGATCACAGCGAATCATGATGCTCTGTCTCGATCCACTCAGAGAAACTGCAATAGGGTAGAACAAAATCAGCTATACAGTCTGTACTGAGATAATTATCGACCATAGACAATCATTTACGATTGCAGCCGCTGTACTCCGGACGCCCTGTCTCATCCTTCATAACTGAAAATTGTAATCGTGGTGAGGACGCTACTAGCCTACTACTGGTCTCTGAGCAGTGTTTCGCTGCCGCAAGCACTTCTCGTCCATTTTTCATGGAATAAAAAAATACAAACAGTAAGTTATGAATCAATCATCCTATAGAATCATTATGCAAAGGAATTAAGTGAAATATGAGCGTGCTAAATCGCGATTTGCAACATCCGACGGTGACCCGGTCAGACCGCGTTCAAAAGAATATTAATGATATTGACTGTGAATGGGCAATCTGGCTGCTAATATTTCCAATGACTTTCCACTAGTACAAGTACAACCTCTTCTCAGAGCATTGAGCAACAGGTCATTCTCTACTCTACGGCAATCTCAGCATTTTACAGAAAGCTCATCTTTCATGGTTGGTAACCGTATCCCGGCGCTTGCCGAGTCAGGTTTATCATGCAAACATCAGGCTCTATCACTTCCATATGCCCACTTCCATGTAACATGTGTGTCGCTTTTCCAGTTGTTGGATAACCCTTAGATGTTGGGAGTGATTTGACCTCGAATGAGTGTTGGATTACGATAGGTTGGGGTGGATGTAATCCCATTGTCTCAGATGTGAGAACCATGCACCCAGGTACTGCAACTGGATCGTCGTTCCGCCTGACGCCACCACTACTGTAAGAACAAGCCTTACAATTCGTGATCTACCTGACCCCAAGGTCCGTTCATACACACCTGTGACCTCCTCTCCTCACTGACGTCCTCAGTCCGTCCTCATAGGTCAGAATCTTCGACATTGGCCGGAAGCTTCCCTCTGTGGACGAGTCCCCTTTCTGCTGCCGTCTCGTTTTTGATAAGTATGAGAAACTGAGTTTCGAGGCGCCTGAAGTAGCTCGCATCTGCGCCAACAAAACAAGTCCGTGACCAAGATTTCTGGCAAGGACTTGAAATGGGTGTCTGAGTACCATTTCAAGTCATCCCAAGATGTTGAGTTGCGTGGGTGCTGATATTTTTGCGACTCAGGTGTGAATTCGTGCTACTTGTTATACGCTTTATGACACTGTCGCACGGGTAAACATCGGGCAGATCGATCATCCTCTCCATCTGTTGCAAGGAACTGAACGCTACGGTCATACGGGAAGCTCTCCGCGTTCTCAAGCTGGCGAAAGATTATTGTGTCGATGAAGTGGGACTCTACAGATGGAGGGCATGATGACTACTTGAAACTGCAGGAGGAGATAAGACATTTTGAAGTGGGTATCAATTTATGTGGTTACCTAGGATATCTTGAATTGACGCATATGATGTTTAGAGATGGAGCTTATGTGCAGCTTATTCGAGCCAGGGACCCGTTGGAGCAGGATTGCGTGCACAACTCAAAGCTTAGATACCATGTGGTGATATGATTCATTGACACCGAGGACATGAAGCGATTACTACTGACAAAGTACTTGACTTTCAGACAGACTTGCCCTTTTATTCACTACATCATCCAATGTGATGATGGTTAGGGGAACGAGGGCAAAGATTAACAGCCTGCATGCGAGGATTTAGTTATGTGACACAAACTGGAAGGTGTTTTGTTGTTGTACTGCATTGTAGGAACAGACCCAGCTGTATCGTGCGATTGTAATATGAAATGAGCAGATAAAAAGCAGACGGCCAGCCTGCTGTAACGTTAGGCCAGCGTGAAGTATCACAAGCAGATTCAACAATTTCAAGTATTGCGAGAAATGTGGTTCGGGCGCAGACGCTCGCACGGCAGGACCTTGAGAGAACTTTCAAAATCTCAAACCAGACCAGCCAAATGATGTCTCAAGGGGAAGAAACTATAAGCAAATTAGAAAGAAATATTATATCTATTATGTAGTCTCAATGGAGAATATCACGCTAAGCTCGTGGCCGACACTGACGCGGAAACTAACACTTCGAGGAGTGTGTACATGTACCAACCAGCAATACTGTGTAGGGAAAAAGTGCTCTGCGGTTGCTCTGCGGGATCCGGAGAAATCTGGTCGAGGAGTCCAAATATCATTAAACATTATGAAGTATAATAATTATATCGAGGTTTACGTATACGTAGGCAAATTACTCGTATACTACGGGAACAAAGAGTAACTACCCACACACCCACACTGGTAAGGTAGACGACATTTTGATTCAACCACTGCGCCGCATTGCTTATGTCATGTTTCCCACGGCCAAATCTGCCAGTTGCGATCTTTTCTTTCGCCGTTGCCTTGTCAAAATCATATACGCTGTAGTCAGTCATATCTTTCCTGCTGTGTCTAAAGCCTCCAAGATAGAATTCGGAACGACTCGATGTCCGTGATATTTCCTCGTCGCCCAAACTGCCTGTGGCCCTGTAAGACCCTTGGTATATGCATCCATGAACCTTGCGGAACAATTTGCATACCTGGAGACAGCGTTGTTAGATGTGGTTGTTTGGCTGAAGATTGTTTCAAGCTTACCTTCGGATCTGCAATAACGGAATATCATCAAGACATGCACTGACATGCTTTTCCATATCTTCCATCTTGTGGACCCAAGGACCCGAGCGATACAGAAGCTTGACAGCACCCCAATATTGCTCAATAAAATTGAGCTCACAGTGGAATTTGGGATAGAAGTCACACAGATGTCCACGGGCAGTGATGAGTTCTTCGAGATGTGATTTGACATTCTGAAAGTCAGGTTGATTGAACAATGTGCGACGACAGCAACAATCAATGGCACCTTTGGCGCATTTGAAGTCTTTGCATTCTGCACGAAGCCCTGCTCGCCAGAGTCCACACTCATCCAGAATGGCTTGCATGCCTTTGAACCACCCAGGCATTGTGAGGTGATCGTCTGGAAAGTAAAGGTTTTGTTGTGTTCCATCTTGTAAGGTTGTATTCCGCATTTTTGGTCCATTTGGGTGACACGTCCACCCAAGCTTTGGGTTTTTCACCATCTTTCTTGCACTTGGGGCATCAGGTGCCCATTTCTGATGTGACATTGCATTGTCAAACAAGAACAGGGCTCGTTTGAAACTGTGAGTGTTCTCCTCGAAGATATCAATTGCATTATCAACTTGTTTCACAAGGTCATCGTTGGTGAAATATCCATCTCGATTTTTACCTGGCTTAAACAGCACTTGGGATTCACTGCAGAGGCAAAGTTACAATTGGGAATGATGGTAAATCTTCAACGCACCTGTTGCCATGCCTCAACTCTCCCCATTCTTCGGTCAACATGCCTGAAACCATCAATGAGGGCCCTTCACCCTTTGTCTCTGGTTGCTTTGTGTCTTTGTGGTCCCATTTCATCTGTCGTCTATCATGCATCGTGAATGTAGATTCATCCTGGGTCACTTTGACAAGTGGGTAGATTCCGGCAGCAAGATCAATTCCAGTGGGCAGGGATAGGACATTTCCATTGTGATCGTAAGTTGTCATCCATTTTGAATACTTGTTCATGCGGCTCAAAAATCCTTTCCGATATTCGACAACATCAGCCCGCTCATGGCCATCAATGTACATTCCTTTTGTTGCCTTCCTGTATCTCCAATCCATCTTATGCAGCCAACACTGACCTGTCTGAATGGTGATGCCAATCTTCGAGCCTAGGTACTGTTTCATCTCTGCAGTTGCCATAATATCCACAATGTCTTGTGCTTTCACATAGCCATCCTTTGCAATGCCTTGGAGGTGGAGATGTATATGTTGTGCAAGGTCCTCGTCTTGAAGGATAGAGGTTCCCATTCGGCTATATCTATGGAGGGGCAGTGTCCCAAATCGCATGTAGTCCACAACCCATCTGCGTAAATTTCGGGCATGATTGACCCCTCTTCCAGTTGCTTCTGCTGCAAGCTTAGAGCATTTCATCCACCCAAATCCTGTTACAAGAACATCTTGATGCTTGGGCCCCTACCATTTTTCTCCTCATCCTCCTCGTATCAGCCCTCGCATCACACCCTTACCCTGACCTTACTCTCATCATACTGGTCATCCTCGCATTCCCCTTCACCCTCTACCTGTCGTTGCAGCAAAGCCAGTACATCTGGCCGGATCCTTTTGCTGACGAAGCATACCCATGCTCTGTCCCACCATCTGACTAGTCCAGTGGACAGTCCCGTTACCCTTACCGTCCGGACGGTAACCTATGATACGACGCATGCTGCGTCCCCTCTGCCCAGTTCCCTTTTCTTGATCTATGACTCAGTGCGCAGCCGCATATGTGTACTTATACTTAGCTCCGCAGTTGCACGATCGTGCCACTGCGCATTTCACTTCTTATTTTGATCTCTGACTCACTTTCTTATCTGCACGTTCATGTTCACTCGTGTCTCACCTCGAACGTGCTTTCCTTTTATAGCTTTACCCTTTACCGCTTACCTCTCTTGGTAGTACGAGTTATCACCCACTAATATGCTTCCTGTCCTCTATATAAACTCGCTACCATGTACCATATTCCTTAACTTGAATCTACTTGGTTCTTGACCTCCTACTCTCACAAGAGTGATCCCTTCTGCCTAGCCAGCAGTCTATATTCTATCTTCTTATCTGCTCTTCACGGATAAGTCCTTAGTCTCGATCTTTACTCATTGACTTCGTCGACAAGCAAAGCCCCCCTGTTAACTAGTCGGACTTCTGTCCTTCTAATTAACAACGATCTTACAATTAACCTTCGGGTGTCGTAAGCCTTGGCAGATACCACTTATTGTCTAGCATCCGCTTGACATAAGCTACCCGATTTGGACATAGGCGTCAAATCTTACTTGCCGAAGCCTCGCCAACCCAAGGACATCCTCGACTGTTGACAACACACGCTCTGTTTGAGCATCGCCAACAGATACCATCCAAGTCGTAACAAATCCAAGCTCTAGATCAATATACAGACTGATAAGAGCAATCATACTGGTGACACGAGCACAGATAAACATTTTGAGATTATCTTTCTTGTGCCTCACTATCAATTCAGCCTTGGCTCTTCACAAAGCTGGGAGATCTCAATGATTTGGAAGGTCAAATGTGGCTGGGAACTTGGATTCTGCATCTGAATCAGCTGCAACATCAGCTTGTGGATCTGTGACTCGTTCGGACTGAGATGGCTGTTGGGTCTCAACAATCTCCGGATCTGCTGTGACATATCTGGTTCCTTGCACCTGGTTGCCATTTGTAATCTGATGGAAAATCATTCAGCATATTCCAATTTCACATCTGTTATTTCACACATGTATTCTGTCTTCCTGTTTGCTGCTCTCAGGTTCTGCATTTTTTTGGAAGAATGACACTATGGATGGGAATCCAGCAGCCTCCATTTTCTTTCCCTCGAGTCTCTGCCTCCGTTTTGTCCGGTCTGAGTTTCCCTTGTAGACTGGTTTTCTCTTTGTGGCTTCTTGTCTTTCCCTCTCCTTTCTAACCATACTGTCATGTGCTGCCTGGAGTTTGGCAGCAAAGGCAAGAAGGTCTGAATCTGTTTGAATTTCCTGCACGACCTCATCTTCACTGTCCTCCAACTCAAGATCAGAAGTGTATGCTTCTGACTCGGAGTCACAGTCTATTCCAGGCTCTGGTGTGCTTGACTTGACAGGTTCTGGTGCTTGGGACTTGACTTTAGGGGAATTTTTATGCAGGTTCTTGAGCCTATTTTTAATGCAGGTCTTTCTGCGACCCATAGCTGGCTTATTGAGATTTGTGAGCCAATCTCCTGGTAGACTTTGCTTCGCATTTTTAGTGGATTATGTAAGATTATATATCACATGACATGGCCAAATTCTCGACGTCAAATTTATTTTCTCTCATCAGTCTGTGTCTGAAGACTATTCAAGGTGTTTTGGACACTTTTCATAAAAGTCGAAATAACATCACAAGAAATAAATATTCTTTGATTTTTTTTCCATCATATTGTAGCCAAAGGTATCTGGAATGCATTCTTGCATGCTAATAGGCTCTAATGTGCAGTATGTTTGTGAAATAACCTGTACGCGGAGGTGATACAAAATGTGGCTGGATTTGGATGTCGTCTACCTTACTTGCAACAAGCGGCAAGCTGAAATTATCCGGAAACGCGCCTGACAATCAAGTCAGTCCTTAACACCCAATATTGAAATATAATGAGAATGATTCAGTGTAACTGGCCAGCATTGATTCTACACATGCCATTGCTCCGGTTGGTGACTGGCTGCACATGATTCTACGCCGCCCAGAGCCAGGATTCTACATGAAAAAATGGAAGGGTCTGATTATTTCTAGCAAGTACTCCAAACCTCTACATGCACGATGATTTGCACAGTAGTAGTTGATTTTACGTTACCGAATACTAAACCTCTTTCGTACGATCCAGTCAGTATTAACTTCGTGGCTGATAGCTATTCGGAATCTTCTCCATGTCTTTCCTTTATCATATGTCGCCAGTAAAAGCCAGAACCACCAGTTTGGAACATCTTCAAACGACCAACTCTGTTCCCCAAAGGTCGCCAGTACAACTTCGCCCTGTTTCTTTTCCGCTTTCCGATTCAAGAACCTCTGTCTTTCCTCGCGCTCCTTGTTTGCGATCTGCTGTCGCAAGGTAAGCGGTCCATAATGAGCAGGTTCGCGGCCGCTATTGGAAGGCTCCAATATCCCCCCAATAAGATATGTTCCGGTTTGAGGAGGCCTTTTACGGAAGAGCTCGGCATAGCGTGGCAATAGATGGATTTCAATATTAAGATCGTCATGCTCTACAGCAATAGACGCGAAACTCAAGCTTTCTCCAACTTTCTCCACTTCCAGACAGTACATAGACATGTGCAATATGCCTTGAGGGTCAACATGAGGCAAGAGTTCAGCATGCGGTGTAACTCCGAAGATGTCCCTTGGCTGCCAGCCAAATCCACTAGGCAGCCACGAGACGCCGAGACCGGGTTCATCTCTTTCGTAGAGTTCATGCTGGAGCGTGAGTAAGGCGGATAAATCACCATCTCGAACTCTTAAATAGGCAAATATGGCGAGAATGATGCCCGGTGAAAGCTGGTAGTCCACCGGAAGCGAGTGACGAATTTTTTGGGAAAATAGGCCAAGAATGCCGTAGATGTTATCATGAAGGAATGCGCAGTCTCGCATGCGACAGTACTGCAAACAGAGCTCAGGTGACATTGGGCGGTGCCAATCTGATATCGGGAGAGAAATGGGAAATTCGTCGCTCGTCATGCGGAGAAGGCCGCGAGAGCCAGGTGAAAATGAGTCGCTTGCCTTGACCAATTCGTTGGCATCGATTCGGATGTTTCTGGTGCGGACTACAACCTTTTTGGCCAAGTACGTCTCCTGGAAGACCCAAAGCCGTTTGGCATGATACCCCTTCATCCAAGTTATAATCCTACGCCAAGCTCCGTCGCTTCTGGATTCTAATCCTGTATCGTCTTGGGGAGGACCTTCGGTAGTAGCATACCGCCGGCGTAACGCTTCGGATACCGCAACACAGCAAGCTGCATTGGTATAGTAGTCGCTCATTCTGGGTATTTCACGCGCGACATCTTCTGGATCCGCCTGGTTGATACAAATATTGTCTATCCAGACATGCTCAAGACCCATCAACAAAGCTTCCCTGGCAACAAGGAGAAATATCTCTCGAAGATACTCCCGCGATATCCCCGCTGGCACTTCCAACGGACAATGCAACCGACCCACCTCCCCTTCCTCTGCATCGACTGCCTGAATGATGTTTGGGTGCATGAGACAAGTCAAACGGAACCAGTCATCGAACGTGGGTGCCTGTGGTATGTCATTATACAGACCAGAGTAGTGTTCTGGAGTGTCTGAAAATCTATCTGGGTTCCAAAGGTAGGATGCAATGACATAGCGCTTCGTAGTATCATTCTGGATGGCTTCGATTTGTCCCGTGAAAATGTTGATTAGCCTTGTTGGGACATGCCTGGGGGCTGATAATACATTCACATCCTGATCCAGTGCATCGAACTTTTGTATTGCATTGATCCAGGCTACGCGAGCCCGGTCAGTTTTAGTGACGGGTAACTGGCCCAAGTTCATTGACGATCCGAGTATAATTCGAATGAGGGTTCGTAACTAGCGATATGGTGCCAATAAGACCCTGAAAGCAGGGTGAGTTTACTCGATTCTCCATGGTTTCATGATATACCTAGCGGGTTCAACTGAAGCAACGATGATCGAATCGATTTGTGTGAGATTGAGATTGCAGGAGGATAGTGGAAATTGGTATAGGAATAACTAGTGCGGTATGGTTCACTGCAGTGTACCTTCTGGTCGACTTCGAGTTAGCCACGAGTCGGAGTGGGTGCTCTGCCAACAGGCTGCCGCACCATACAACGCCGCTGGCTGGCAGTCCCAGATTGGCAAGAAGATTTGATCGTGCATTATGTTGTGGACTCGCATAGATCAGGCAAGTGAGAGAGATATTGCGAGAAATACAGCTTCAGACGCAAGGACGGAGAGAAGAGCTTGAGCCAAACAATGACCCGAGGAGGAGATGGAACCGAATCAAAAAATTACTACATTTATGGTGTGGGCCATGATAAACTGACACTGCTGTAAAGATATTAACAATTGTCCCAGAAGAAGTCTGTGTCAGTCTGAGAGACGATACCCCAGTGAACGTTGAACAGCCAGTCGACTCAAGTGACTGGAGTTACCAGGTCCGTGACAGCGTGCTACTAGGTCGAGCTATATAAGATCTCGACTCATCGACGTTCGTACATACATAGTAATTTAATGGGGTCTTGCATACGGCACTTGGCAGCACCTGAGAACGACTCTGGGCCCGCCTATGATACGTATACTTTGCCCGGCGCTGGATGAAAGTTTTTCAATGCTACTCTAGTTATAACATGGCCATCAACCTTCCGTCCACAATATTGACCTTTTTCGTCTGATAACCCGAACTGACTCAACGTTTAACCATGCACTTCCTCTCTCGACGCTCTGCGGAACCACCAAGGTCATCTTCTGATTTGGATATAGCTGGAGGGGAAAGCGCTACAACAGACACTAGTACTACTTACCAGGAAAAATATCCAAATCGCGTTCTTAAACGCGTCACGACCCTCTTCAACCCTCGAAAACGAACTTCCTCCAAGAACAGCAGCCCCACGGGCGGCTACGGGGCAGTCGGATTCATTCGTGATGCCGCGGGTGCAGCATATCCCCGACCGTCTAGTGATTCCTCCACTGCATCACCAGACGAAATTAGGAGACCCAGCGGCCTCGGACGCAGGGCCAGTTTAATGGAGTCTTCACAATTACCCAGTGAAAATATCAGTCTAGAGCGGTCAAACGGAAATGAAGGTGAGCCAAGAGTGTTCAAGTCTTTGCCCGATCTATTGATTAATCCGTCACAATTCATTCCATGCAGGATTGCTTGCAGAACACGCAACACACACAGGTGTCCCAATCCAGAGCCTTCCTGTGGAGCTGTTAGAGACAATTCTGTCTTTCTTGCCCAAGCTCGATTTACTGCGTATCGCCCTTGTTTCGACTCACTTCTGCGACGCGTCGCGCAATACATTATATCGGACACTTGACTTCCAATCGATATCAGAGCCACAAGTTGAAAAGCTTTGTAGAACCCTTGCCGCCCATGCGTCTCTCGCTGCAAGGGTCCGATCTTTCTCGTGTCATTTCTGGCCAGCAACAACGTCATCTGAGGGCCATCTCACACCATCTCTTGATCTCACGAAGGCGTTGCATAATATGTCGAACTTGGAATCTCTTACGCTACGGACATTTGTTCCAGTATTTTCGCAGTCGCCTCCCCTTTCTTTCCAATTGAAGACACTGGTCATCCTCGATGACACAATTTCTGTGGAGCAAATCATCGACATTATACATTTCCTCAGAAATCAAACCTCCCTACAATATCTAGCTTTTCCCAATGTCGTCGAGAATACCTTCTTACCTGAATCTTCCTTCCATCAACACATATTCGCATCTGGTCTCGCACGAGAAACCATACTGCCATCGCTTTCTCAACTGCATGCTCCTCCACGACTGATGATGACAATATGCTCCTTACTGGGACAAACACTTCAAACTGTTGTTTTGGACATCACCACCACGCTGTACACGGGTTTACGGCCTGCCGCACTCCTCCGTGCAATTCAAGGCGTCTCCAAACTGGATGTAGTCTTCACTCACGAGGTGGACAAACGAACTGTTGAAAAATTCTTGGGCGCTGCCGGTGGAATTCTGTCAGGTAGCGGCGCTGCCAACAGCCGCGGCCTCGTCGTTTTGGAGGTAGAGGTTCTTTGGATGGAAGACGACACCACCGAAGTCAGTGATATTTTCTGAATTTAAGAATAGTTGATTTTGACGCTTTACTCGAAGATACTATATGGCATCATCGATTCAGTCATATCGCGTTTTAATGGCTTGCGCACGCTCAAGCTCACCACACCATTTCGTTCCAGACAGTCACAACTGTTGACGCCCCCATTGTCTGGCTCCCTCCAATCGACAGTACCACCCCATAGTCCCACAACGCCCCCGCCTAGCCTTTCCTCAATGCTGATTACTTCGCCTTTGGGCGTTGTCCTATCAAGCGACTTTGTGAGCTCAGGTACAGAGAAGACACATGCCAAAATATGGACGAAAGCTTGCTCTACGCTAAGTGACATCCAGTTTTGTTTTCCGGATCCATCGCCGGAGGCAGACGTTGCACTATGCGGAGTCTGGTTCCACAGGAAAGAGTGATAGTCGAGCGTTGGCCCTCTTAAGATACAGCAGAGGAGAAAATTATCTATTCGGCTTCATCGATCATCTGGCGCTTCCGGCCTTATCTACCGATATGCAGTGTTGCGCATTTTACTTCGTTTAATCGGGCTTAGGAAACTTCTGAACTTCGAAAGTCAACCATGACAGGATATATATAAGTAACATAAGGTATATATAGTGATATATGTATGTAAAAATCTAACAACTAGATATCCAATCCACCTGCACGAAAAGCGTATCACATCTAGCTGTCATGTAAAGCCTTCTATCAATCTGTGCGAACACGTTTCTTGGCATTCCCGTTCACATGACCATTGGTAGCCGCGTCATCTACCGTCGAGAAGTAGTCAATAGATCCTATGGGGTCCGGCTTGATGGTTTTAGCACCCTCAGTCCAGCCCAAAGGGCAGACCTCTCCATGTTCCTCCTGCGAAAGATGCAGTGAAACGTTACGGCATACAAAGAAAAATTCGCACCACAAATTGGAAGGCCTTGAGAAGACGGATAGTTTCGTCTACGGATCGACCGACAGGCAGATCATTAATGGTGATTTGCCTGTTTAAAAGCGTCGGTTACCAAACTAGTCCAGGATTTACAGAGACTGGTAACACACCTGACGATACCCTTGGGGTCAATGATGAACAAACCACGCAGCGCAATGCCTTCCTCCTCGATGAGGACACCGTAGTCCTTGGATATTGCCATGTTCCTGTCCGCAATCAAAGGGAGCTTGAGGTCAGGTCCAATGCCGCCCTGCTTCCTCGGTTGCTGTGCCCATGCAAAGTGGGAATACTGGGAATCCGTGGAAACACCTGCAAAACCATCAGAACGCGTCAAATGCACCACGAAAATAATCCTGAACTAACCGAGAACGGACGCATTCAGCGCTTTGAACTGAGGAAGCGCGTCGTTAAAAGCCAAGATCTCGGTTGGACAAACGAATGTGAAATCCCTGGAAACGTCACGACGTCAATGATGAGAAATATGAGGTGAATTTATAGTCCTCACATTGGGTAGAAGAAGAGAATTACCCTTGCAATAATGCTAATGTTAGCCACTCCTCTCACGAATGTCTAGCGAATAAAGACGCGTACCATTGGCCCAGGTATTCCGACAAGGAGACCTCTTTGAATTCACCCTCTACAACGGTGGTAGCTGTGAAGGCTGGTGCAGGGCGCTGAACGAAGACTGCCATTGTAACGCTGGATTGTAAATTCAGAAAAGAGTGGTGTCAGTTGCTATGAAGATTTTAAGTCCAATTAACCACCGCGTTATGTGTCTTTGTTTGGCTGGTCCATGGACCCATCAAAGGGATCGCATTAAATGTGGGGCTCCGACCTCAAATTTGATGCCGTTCATTGTCAAATGAGTAATTATAATTGCAGTAATTGCAACACTGATCAATTTGTACTCTCCAAATCGCACAAATAAAAGATACGCAGCGACAGAACCCGAATGTATTCGCCAAAATATCAACTCTGGTGGATAATCTACAATCTAAGGGAAAACTCCTTGAAGCGGCTCACAGAGTCCTGTATACCTGCACATTGAGGGCTGCCGGCTTGTACAGAATAGGCCTCTGGTATTAGTTCCTCGAGATGCTGAAGGAAAGATGAAACCATGGAGCTCAAAGTGAAAAAATATATATACTGACTTTGATTCTCCGCTCCGCACCAGGGTGCGTACGCAAGAATTCCAGACTTGTTGCTCCATGAGCCTTTTCAAATTGTGCAAGTCGCATGTGCATTCTGCAATGTCATGCACATCAGTAAGACGATCGAAACCCCAAGTCACTCACTCCACAGCAGCCTGGGGGTCAAAACATGCCTTTGCAGTGAGTTGCATGCCAATAGTATCGGCTGCGTCCCTGACGTCAGCATTTCCATGTTTACAATTGGAGAAAACACACCTTCGTATTCCTGAGTCCGCGAATTGGGTAGCTCCAGTAGCAACGTGCTTATGAGGTTGGTAATTCCAAAATCGAACCCGAAGACTGATTGCAGAAGAACTGCTATCGCTAGGAACACTTTAGAGGACGAATAGCGTTCAGAAGCATGTCGAGCAACTAGTAAAGGTAGGTTGAGAATGTGCGTGCATGTTGTATCATGCCATCATACCTACGTGAGCGATCTCTGCCGGATTATTTGAGTTGCGCAGATTATCCTTGGCGGAATCGCGCACCATGTCCAAGGACAGCAGCTAAACCCTGTTCATCCTTGCATATAGGTAAAATACCAGTGAAGACCACAATATTTCCTGTGGCCATTTATGTCAAAGTTCACTTGCAAAGGCAGCTTAAGAGCGAACCGAATGTGGCCATGGCGTTTACAATGGATGGATCATTCACAACAAGCAAATTCCATTCTTTACTTCCGCTTTCTGTGGTGGACAACTCCCCAGGTCTTCCAGTGGTGAATGGGTCTTCGCTCCAGAAGTCTTCTGGTGCTTCCAGTAGTGACCGGCGAGGCTCGCTCGAACGCAAGTGCCCAAGGTCCGATGATTCAAGAATACGATTAACAACCCGTTGGACGTGTCGTGTCACGGCATGATTAGAAGGTAGTATCTTGCCTCGGAATTCAGCCAAGAGCTCGTCATATGACGCCTGTGCAAGCTGCAGGGGGATATATGAGAGTTTGTTCCTTGAGGCTAATCTTGCTCTCACCTTTGTCTCGTACTTGCGACTGATGTCCATAAATCGCCACCTACCTGTTTCAGGGACTTGTTCTAAACTTGAGGGCTAAAGTGAGACATAGCATCACAGGTAATACACTGAACACATACTGCACGACATAATATGCTCCTCCGACTGCAACAATTGCAATAGCTATCTTCATACGATTATCTATCACCACTCCTGATGTGTGGCGTTGATCCTCTGAGGGAAAGCGTGTATACTGAGCATGTCGAGGAGATGATGTCGAGAGTCGACGTGGGGGAATTGAATGAAGGCTGGATGTCGGTGGTTGAACTCGTGGATAATTTCTAACAAGGACTGACAGGCCACGAGTACCACGCGACGCCCGCAGGATAGGCGCTGTCGTCGTCCACATGCGAGCAGGGAACATCACGAATGGCTAGGTGAGTGTCTGTATGCAAGCTTGAAAGCTCCTCTACTTGCATATAGGATGAAAGTCTAACAGGTAAACAAGGCTAGTACTCCTTTTCAATCGGATATGGTGTAATGGTTAACATTACCGCCTCTCATAAACCAATTCGCGGTAGCTCGGGGTTCGATTCCCCGTATCCGAATATTTTTTCATATCATTTAGTTTAGCATGTCACACGTGACATACAAAGGCAGTAACTAGTGCTTTTTCCCTCTCAGTGCACTTGGAATGTTCAAGATGCTTGTTAGAGCCTTCCCGTTCTCAAAATGACATGTACTCCTGCAGTGCAGTAACAGCGGTCACGAGAGCCATATGTTGGCGTGCCCTCCGGGCAACGTGATATCATTGACAGTCTTCGTTCATAAACATTTCAATCTCGCATCTCCCTTCTGTTTAGTGTTGCTGCTTTCCGTGCTTAACACACTCTAGCATCCTAGATGTATGTATTATGATGTCTGATTGTGAACAGCTCCTCTCCGCTTGTTTTTTCTTTCCCTCCCTTGTTTCGCAAGGTGCGTGTTTCTTTGCTGTGTTGCATGTTATATCGTTTACTATCAGTTTTCTCAGATGATTGGTCTTAACGCTCTGTATGTCACCATGGACATGGTCAGCGATATTGTATAGTGCAGAGCCTGCTCCGAGATAGCCGCAGCGGGTTGGGAGCCAGTCAATTCATCAAAATATGCAGCCCACTGGACCGTCAATTTCTCCACGAAGCTGCCCGCGGATAAGTTGAACTAACTTGTTTTGGGCTTGACTATAATCCTCTTCACTTATGTTATTGCTTTAGGGATATCGTGCATTATTGCCCTCATGTCTTCCTTGTTTATAACGTTTTCCATTTTCAGTAGATTAAGTATTCCTGATTATTGAATTCCGAGCCTATTGCTTCATACATGATTTTTCAAAAGTAACCTCTGACCATTAAGCTCGGAATTCTCGGACAGTGCTTAACCATGAGCATCATGGCTCGTCGACACTTCGAGGCCATCATCCTCAAAGTTGTGCCTCGGACATCATGCGGTATGGCAGCACCCTGTGATACTCGTCCGAAGGCTCTGGAGAGCGATATGTGTCTAAGTGTCTCCAAGTCCATGAAAGTAAGTACTACTGTCCCAGCTCCAAAACCATGCTAAATTGTATACTGACTGTTGATTTACTTCTTCTGAAAGACGTTGAACCCGGATTATCTTCTACTCGACTAGATACACGGGAAGCATGAGTAGTAAATCAGAAGGCTGTCGTTTCTGGAGATCTTCGACTGTATGTATCCTTGACCCGGGCCCGGGTTCTTATTGTAAATAGTGTCCATTTCGATTGAATTATCGATGGTCGTCCCTTACTACCATGATCAGGGACGCGTCTTTGAGGTGCGCGTGCACTCATGTTACGCCCTGCACATATAAGCACTACGGAGTTAGAGGCCTCGGCGAGTTCTTTCGTTTTCATCGTTTTCCCTTGTCTCACCTCTAGTCCTATGAGGATGGCAGATACGTCAAACTCGCACAAATGGTCCGGGGCCCTGCGCCAAAAGCTGTATACATCACAGAACCGCAAGTAACCGAAGAGTCGGTAGCAGTGGATGATAGTATTAACAATGAGCATCCGCAGTCCCATTCATCCTCTTATAAGTCTGTGACTTAGAACAACCATGCGACAGAGTTTATCGCCGATTCTAAGCGCATTTTCTTCTTGAGCATCTTGCTTGGCATGTGGATCAAAGGATGTACTAGTAGTTGTATGCCAGCCGCGCCTCGCGTTCGCAAATCTCGCATCCCTAAAGCAGTTTTTTAAGAGAAATCTACTTGTTCTCTTCGCCAACGTATAAGTTTAGACGTGGTTCCTAATAGTGCTAAATGAGGCCAATGCCATAAGATTAGATTGCATCCCATGCACACAGCTGCAGCACCGTGTGGCACCACAAACTTGATCAGGCACCAAACACATTCAGCAATATTTACCCGTCATCTCATTCTCCTCATCATCGACGACGGCGTTCAATCACAGTTCGTCGACGTAACGCGTCCTTCAGAGACAGCTGTATACCATATTACTTGTATACCTGTATGTAAATTTTTGTATTTTCCTTCACATGGCACCCCCCAGGCGTAGGGTATCATATGTGATACCTCCACCCACGGACGATGTTCCACGGCTTAGACTTCCACCGTTTGGAGTTCCCCGCAATGGTTCAATACGCCCACTTCTCATAGCCTCTCAGACACCACTGACCGACTCCAAGAGCACATCAGAGAACTCTCATCCGAGGCATCGACTGGGCGCCATGTCCCTTGCACTCGACACAACCACGCGTCTCGAAGGTCGGAACACACCGGAAGGCATCCTCTATACTGGCGGCAGGGATGGACTAATCATATCATGGGATTTGGGACTTCCGTTCAGGAGGAGACATGATGGCAGGCAACGCAGAGACCGGTTAGACAGATGGGAAATGTTGACAGGGATGGGGGATGAAATACTTGCTGAAGAAGCTGAGGAAGATGAGCGACGAGATGGTGATGTGCTAGGAGATGTAAAGGAAAGTGGCGGACGAAGACGAAGAGGCAGCACAACGGACCAGTTACCGTACGAACTTCAGTGGCAGTTGGACACTGATGCATTGGCATCAGGATCGGTGAGACACGATATTTATTAATCTGCCTGTAACTCAGGAAGCATCTCTTGTAGCATTCTAGCTTCCGTCAGTGCGCGCAGACCCACACAGATTGGGTAAACGATATCTTGCTCTGTAATTATAATCAGACAGGTACGTGCATGGAATGCAGTGGCGCATCAACAGGCTGAACATAAGTAGTTGTTTCTGCATCGTCTGATGGAACCATCAAGGCCTGGCATCCTCATTCTATTTCTCCCAGTGATCCCTCTGCAATAGGGTCTCACGCCGATTATGCACGCTGTCTCGCTCTTTGGTATGCACCCCCCGAATCCAATGGTTCATGCTGACATGTATCCAGTCGTGAACAGAATTGGATTGCTTCTGGCTCATTTGACCGGACCATTAAACTTTGGGATCTCACCCGAGCATCAATGACACCGGAACCATTTCTTACCCTCAACCCACCTGATGCTACCGCACCAAAAGCCTCTGTATATGCAATAGCCTCCGATCCATACGGACATGCAATCGCAAGTGGATCTCCAGAACGTGTCGTAAGGATGTGGGACCCGCGCTCAGGAAAGAGGACAGGGAAGCTGGTCGGCCACACGGATAATATCAGAGCTATTCTTATTTCAGAGGATGCGCGATATGTAAGCTATGAAACTTCGAAAATGATCTGTTCTAATGAGTTCGGCCAGCTCCTCACAGGTTCTGCAGACGGTGTGTAACAGATCATGATCCTCCAGATATCTTTCCTGAATATCATATCACTAGCATCCATCAAGCTATGGTCATTGTCATCTCAGCGGTGCCTGCATACGTTTGCATACCACACAGATTCTGTCTGGTCTCTCCATTCGACGCATCCCTCACTCGAGGTATTCTACTCTGGCGACAAGTCGGGTATGGTGTGCAAAGTAGATGTGGAGGGATGCACAGACATTTCTGACGGTGCCTGCATCACCATTGCGCGGGAATCTTCTGTTGAAGTCGGGGAAGGTATCAATAAAATCGTGACCGCGGATGACGGTCTTCTTTGGACTGCCTCCGGTAAATCGAGCATCAGTCGCTGGAGGCTGCCAAAACCCGTACCGAAACGAGTTTTAGATGAAGAGAGAGAAATAATTGCTGATAGCTCCTTTGCTACGATATCGAGGAGACAAGTTTCCCTTGGACCTGACTCTGTACCGTGGTCTGCACCACCATCGATACATCAAGGTGCACTTGCAAATTTAAGTTTAATTTTCAATACTGAGCTATCGACTAGTTCGTAGGGATGACGCGACAGCAGCCTACCCCGGTGTCCCGCTCACATCTTTTGTACGACTCACCTCTCCTGATGGTCCTTTCTCCCCTTCTTCATTTGCTCTACGTGGACGCGATCCCGAGGTTGCAACATTATACTCTGCTGCGTCCATCGCCTCCGTTCCGGGAGGACGTTCACCACTCCATGCTGCCTTTCACTACCCTTCTACCCTCATGCCCCCCAACACTCTCCGGAGCATGAAAAGTGAGATTTCGATGGCGCCCACCGATGTTGATGTAGTGCAGGACCCTCGGACGGCATATGAAACTCGGGAGTTCGCTGCTGATGCCGAGCCTTTAAATGCAAACCCAGATGCAGTGATAGCAGGCTCTCCTGGCCTCGTGCGAGCTATCTTGTTGAACGATCGGATGCATGCATTAACAGTGGATACGACAGACCAGGTCGCCGTGTGGGATATCGTGCGAGGAATCTGCAGAGGTCGCTTTGCCCGTGAGGAGGTGCGTGCTGCGAGTAGATCCGGCAGTACTTCCAGTAGTGGGCGTCGTCGTGACAACGGGAGTGTGACAGGGGGTGACAAAGAACGGAGTCCTCGTGAGGCGCTTGAGGCAGTCCGAGAGCGCATTGAGGGTGATGCTGTCTGTTCTCCTTGGTCGTCTGTGGACACGAAAACCGGTGTTCTCACTGTGCATATCAACGAGCGCTGTTTCGATTCTGAGATATACGCAGACGAGGCTGGCTTCGATTATGACAGGCATTTTGGCGATGAACTCCGGTGTAAGGATATCCTTTTTTATATTAACTGTCGTCTGATCTGAACACGCACTCCAGTTAACATTGGCAGGTGGGTCCTACGAAATTTGTTCCTCGGCTTTATCCGCGAGGAGCAGCGCATTCGTCGTAAACGCGACACCCACGGTTCCGAGACTGGTCACTCAGCTATACAGCGTACTGCAGCGCCACTATCAATGGAACTGAACGGGAACTCTTCTAGTTCCACACTGCAGCATTCCTTCGAGTCTTCAATGAGGCCGCCGCGAGTTCCTGTTAGTAGTGCGGTCGTCACAGCAACCACTTGTCTACCCGCCGTCCTTCCTTCACTCCCCTCTTTGACTCGACCCAGCCCTCTTCTTACCCCGATGATATCGCTCGTTCCGCTGAAATCTCCTCCACCGTTATCCACTATTCCTCAATTGCCCCCGAACGATACCACCCCTATTCCTCGACCAATACGCACGCAAGGCCTTGATCCAGTGACACCGCTCTCCAGCGCGTCTCGGGACGTAGATTATTTCTCTCCCAATCCCCATGCACGGCGCCCGTCTACAGGAAGCACCGCGCTGTCAGACGTCGGTGATTTTTCTGCATGGAGTAGTCCTCCGAGTGTCCTGGCAACACCGACATCAAGCACTCCTACTAGTGGTAGCGGGTTCATGGGGCGTCTGAAGAGCCTTGGTAAAGGCACTGTGAGAAAAATGACCATCGACGCATTGCCAGGTTCACCTATATCTAGCCCTTCTGGCAATTTAGCCGATACGCCAACCGTCCCAGAGGTAAATTTAGTAGATATGAAAATTTGTGTTTGTCTGACCGTTGCTTTGTCCAGGTACCTACAGACACCGTTGAAAAATCGGCTATACAAGCGCTCCTCGCAAACCCTATCTCACCTCCCACGTCTAACGATGCTCCCAATTTGACATTACCTGCGGCAATGACAATATTGATATCTGACGAAGTATACCCAGGGTGGAGAACGGTTTATAGGGGCAGCGTGTCGACTACATGGGCCGACGTGCACAAGTTGGAGTCGACGATACCTCTGTGGCTTGCTGAATACCTGCTATTCAACAAAATTACGAGCCCGCCTCCTGCAAAGGTCTCTTTTGTATTGCTACCTTGGCCAGGCACGGAACAGGGACATGAGTCACTCCCTGAGTTGCTCAACACGTCAGTGCATTTTAATTCCTCACATGCCGTGTATTCTAAATGTGTTCTTCAAAAGGTCACAGTCCAAATTAACGTCGAGCAGGTTCCTCAGAGTTCGTAAGCTGACCCATCATGTAAGTTGATCCCTTGCGCGGGCGATGCCATATTTGATATCACATGCAGGTTCAGGAAAAGTTGGAAAAGATATCTGGCAGTCCTACATCGACCCATCATCCACCGCATGACGATAATCAAAACTCGCATGATCGTGCTCGGGGTGAAGACCTGTACGAAATCCTCTGCAATGATTCTGTTCTGCCGCTGGATATGACTTTGGCTGCTGTACGACATTATTTCTGGCGTCAGACTGGCGAACTGGTGATGCACTATCGTTCTAAAATTCGGACGCAAGCACTGAGTGTCGATGTGCCTTCACAAAATATGTAATTTCCTGTAGAACGTGATAGGCCTCTTCGAATTTCGTACTGCTCTTCACACCACATCATGTACATAGGTATCTCACGGTGCGCCCGGAATTTAAATACTTCCTTCTATATGGTATGACTAAGGGTAGTGTAGGGAGCAGACGTTACTGTTGTACAACTGACCCTCCTCATTGTAGCTTCTGCTTGTTTGACCTGATCCAACTCGTCAAAATCAAAAGCATTACCAGCACTTTGACTTGATCGATGCTTTGAACATCTTTAGTTACTTCGAGAGCTGCAAATTCAGCAGTAATATTATCAGACCCCAGGTGGACTGGTTTTGAATCTATGAGAGTTCCATGCGAAAGAAAGAGTCCTTGTACGAGGCCCCGGCAGATCCGGGTTAAGAGTGTAAAAAATCAATCCCAAAGTGGTCTCATTATTATAATTTTAAAGATCTGGCCACTCCTAAGTAATGATTTTTGCAATACCTACAACCATACTTAACCAACGCACAAGGATCTCTCTGATACCAGCACTCTTCCTGTTTCTTGCTTTCATCATCTCACAGAAGTACTATACCCTAGACGCCGTCTCCTTATCCTTCAAAAGTTCATCAATATCAAGCCCAATCTTATCACCTTCAACGCACGCACACACAATGTCCAAAGCAGACAAGCGTAACAAGTTCCTCGCCGTATTCGAGCGCATCCGCGGGGAGCTTATTGACCATATGAAGTCAGAAAATATGCCTGAGGACGCCGTGACGTGGTTCAACGAGGTAAGTCATCTTTCGTGTGTTCGATGGATAGTGATGTTGATATGATCATTCCATTGAATCTTCTTGACTTCTTGCAACCGCCTCTTCGTTCGCCTAGAACCTTGTTTACAATGTTCCGGGAGGCAAACTCAATCGCGGCATATCCGTCGTTGATACCGTCGCAATACTTCTCAACCGACCTCTAACTGACGACGAGTACTTCAAAGCTGCTCTGCTTGGATGGTGCATCGAACTCGTGCGTTTCAGTTCCTTATCGGTTTCTTCCGAATCCTCAATAGCAATTATAGCTACAAGCCTTCTTCCTCGTCTCTGATGACATGATGGATGGTTCCATCTCGCGACGCGGTCAACCTTGTTGGTACCGCGTCCACGATGTCAAGGGCCTCGGAAAGGTCCACAACATCGCAATCAACGACGCCTTCATGCTCGAGGGTGCAATTTACCACCTCCTGAAGGCCCACTTCAGGAGTGAGACCTACTACGTAGATCTGTTGGAGCTGTTCCAGGAGGTATGCCTCTCGCAGTCCTTTTTTCTGCGTTCTTACATGGACGTGCTACAGGTCACCTACAAAACCGAGATGGGCCAGCTCGTCGATTTGATCACTGCTCCAGAAGATAACATTGACATTCGCAAATACAACCTCGACAAACATACCTTCATTGTGCGGTATAAGACCGCGTTCTACTCTTTCTACCTCAGTGTCGCGCTCGCCATGCGTATGTGTGGTGTCCCAGATGTATACGAGCTCAAGGGAAAGACCGTCGAGCCATACAAAGAAGCGGACCGCATTCTCATTCCTATGGGCGAGTTCTTCCAGGTGCAGGATGACTACCTAGATTACCACGGTACCGAGGCAGAAATCGGCAAAATTGGCACGGACATCATTGACGGCAAATGCTCCTGGTGTGTGTGCACAGCACTCGCGTACGGTACCGATGCGCAGAAACAGCTCCTGTATGAGAACTACGGGAAAAAGGGCGCAGATCAGGCTGTGCGGGAGCAAGCTGTGAAGGACATGTACAACGATGAGCAGGGGTTGAACATTCCCAGGCGCTATGAGGAGTATCAAAAGAAGGCGGTGGCAGAGATCAATGCAATGATTGATCAGGTCCCTGAACCTGATGCGCATGAGGCGGCTAAGGGCAATAGTTTGAGACGGGACGCGTTCCGCGCCTTCTTGAGCAAGATTACTGACCGCAAGGCATAGGATTGAAGCATACATGTAAAAGACCACTGGATCACTGTAATTGTTACTTGCTTTATATCCGCTATTCTGTGTTAGACTATTGGAAATTGTATCAAACGATCATGGATCCTAGGACAGAAGTATGAGCAAGTCATCCCATAAAATGATGCGTTTAGCATCCGACAACACATCATAATTGTGGCTTATGAGGTTCATGCGTAAATATGGACGAGGAACGCCTCTCTACAGCTTGAATGAATATAATATCTTAGTCACAGGCCGCGTGAACTTGCACAACACGGTAATGTCAAAATTACGACACACAGCAGAACATTAATACAAGCGATTTAAGGCAAAGCTGAATGCACATGTTGCGGTGGATACGCAGCTGGCGCATGATGTGCTTGTGGTGGTAGGATCTGGTGGGCTCGCTGTGGAGGAAGGACATGTGTGACAGCTGCGGCTGCTTCTTCTCTGAATAGCAGCAGGACCCATTTAATGAAGATCCAACAGAGTACGGACATGAACAAACGCACCCAAAGACAGTCTTGATCAACTCATCCAACATTGCTTCTTTCTTTAATTTTTCTTCCTTCGCCTGTGCCCTCGTGACCCTAAAGGAGATAATATCAATGCCGTGAGGACTACCAGATCAATTCAGCGCACCTGAGTTCCTCGATCAGCGCTGCATGGGTTTCAAGTGCGTAGCGCAATTTTGCTTTCTCAATAATATACATGACAAGTGCAGGACTGCGGCCCATGATAAGGCCAGTCCTGGGATCCAAGAGCCGCTGCAAATGCGGTGGAAGTCCATCATCCTCTCCATCGTCATCGTCATCTTCTTCCTCACGCGTGAGTGCCGGAAAGTAATCTCCACCTCCAATCCCGTTATCAAGCTCGGAAGGTGTCTGTGGCTCAAGCTTGAAGGTGTTGAATGCCGATTGCTCGGGCGTAGGTGCACTGGTTTGAGGTTGAGAGGGAGAGAGAGACCGCTTGCGTTTGCGTGCTCCTGAGGCACCTCTACCTGAGGGTGGAGGGGGCATGTTATGTTGTAGTCGCATGTGCTTTGCTAGCGCGTCGGAGCGGGTGAAGGACTTGTCGCATTCTAAGAGTATTTAAGTGGGTGGATAAAAAAAGTAGAATTAGAGTAAACTGCTGTCCATAATGATTGGTCCATAGGGTTGAATTATGATTATAAATGTAAAAACAGGATAAATGGAGACCAATTATGTTCGTTTTTTACTTTCAATGAAGGATAATACGCTACTCACCTGGCCGGGAACAGATAAAGGGTTTCTCGCCGGTATGCGAGCGAATATGAGATATAAGGGCGAAACGCGAAGTCTGTGCGAGCCCACGACGGTTGCATGTTGCCCACTCGCAAGTGTAGTTCGACTTGTGCACGCCGATGTGCGCTGTAACGCATACAAACGCGTGATGTTTGGATTCAACGACGTTATGACATGTACGTACTGTTGTGAATGTGTTCTATGAGACTAGGGAGATGACTGAAGACAATACCGCAGTCGTCCCAAAGGCATGTCATCGTGTCCGACCCTGCTGCCTCTCCATGCAGAGGCCCCGGCGAGCCCGTTTGGCTCACGCTTGGTTTAACATCAGGTGTTTCATCTGCTGAGGAGTCATCTATTGCTATGGAACTCTGTGAGAATACAGGAGACGGTGAGCGACCGTAGGTCCCGTACGTGTATGACATTGTCGATGAAAGATGCTAAGCGCTAAGTCTGCACACTTCCCACAGTGTCGTTGCCGTTATAGTCTTTGACAACGGTCCAGATACAACAAGCATTAATGGGGTAGTGGTAACCTGGGTCGTTGCCATCGACCCGCCGGGGGTTCGATTCCCCCTTAATGCACTCGAAATGTCATTTTTGTCGACTCCCCTACCATGATTTTTTTTTCATAAAAATTCGCGGCATGAACACTGCAGCGTTGAATCCCAAGCTCTTCCATAGATTGGTTGGCAGCTTTTCAAGTTGAAGGTTGGTAACCGTTGGTTACCTCGAATCCATGGGTGATGTAACATCTTACAATTGAGCTCTTTTAAATGACATCTCGGGTTAGGCTCGGTTGCGATTTTTTTTAGGGAACCGCAACCATATTTCTACCAGCTATCCTGAAAATATGACCCCAAAATCTATCTCCCCGAGTTTCCTATACATCACGCCATGTTCGCCCATCTACTGGTACTGCTTTGTGCATCTATCTCCGTGATTGCGAAACCTGCTCCCGAACCCAATGTTGTAATCATTGGCCAGAACGTAGGAAACTGTGCATCGGGGTTTCCAGTGTGTTGTAAGACTGTCAGCCCTGATTATGTGCGTTTTTTATTCTCGCTTCGAAGGAGCACAAGAACTAACTTGACCTGCGTTTGACGTTGCATAGAGCGGAGGTGAGGGGTGCCTGTCAGTTCCCAGTGTGAATGCATGTGGTGACTCGGTGACCGCACTCTGCTGCCAGGATGTGCGTAAATCAATTTCTAGTGTCACTGGCATGTACTCATCATCAACATAGACCAGCACTGTGGAGATGATCGGAACAGCAGAGAATTGCACTGTTTATCACTAGATATAGTGATCCCGTATATCCATTTCTGCTGTGTCCGTAAATTGCAAGAAGACGATTTACAGAACGCTAGCAAGCCACCACCGACTTTCCTTCGCCTTATGCATAAAATGAGAGAGTTACGTGACTTACGTTTCAAGACGGGAACGCGTAAGATCTATTCATTGGTTGCGCTAACCTCACTCGAGCTGCTATGCAGACCTTACTAGCAGTGTGTTTACAGCTCCACTCACATGATATCTGGTGAAAGTGTGAGGGCAGATTTGCGGAATCGTGAAGTGATGTCGGTTCGATGCTCGTTGTCAATGCGTGTACTATCGGTTATCACAACTTTGGTCAACCACTGGTTCGGACACTGCAAATTAATATCTCACTCAACTTTGCTTGAAATCGTATTCTGTTCGACCACATATCATCGTACACTTATAATACACTACTGCGAAGTTGAATAATTGACATTCCTTGTTAAGGTGTGAAAGAGCCAAAGATCATTGCATCGACTTGTAGGACTCCTCGGCATTGTGATGCCAAGGACTTGGTTAGCTCGCAGCCCTTACCGCAGTCCTTAATCCGCAACCTTGTATCTATGTTATTCAGAATAAACCACCGTCTATGCTAGGCCCACACTGGTCCCTTTTTCTTCCTTCTCTTCGATCTCCAGCTCGCCCTCCGCTTCAAAACTACTTTCTTCATGATACAACACTCCAATACCCACATTTCCGGGGGGTGAGGCCCAACAAATCACCGAGAACGCGACGAATGATATCAAAAGACCTGTAGAGTTACCAAATTTTACTAAATATTCAAAAACCATTTCATAGCGGTAAACCTACCGACAAAGAACGCAATGTGGAAAATGCGCACCCACACATTCCACGCAGTCGCGTCACGGGTTGTCATGATTAGCCCAGGCATGGTTGGGAAGACCCCAAGCGCCCAGGCGAGTGGGGCACGCCAGTGGATGCCATTGCAGTACCTTGACAAAAGTGAGAGAGAAGAATATGCGTTATAATGTTTACGCACCAGTAAATAGAGCGTTTGTCGCCGACGTAGCAGTCCTCAAGGCTGATCATGCGTCTCCTTACTACGAAGTAGTCGGCGAGAAGGATCCCAGAAAAGGGAGCGACTGAGGAGGAATAGTTTATGCGCAATAAGTAAGATTCCGTTAACACGTACAGAATATTCCGAAGCCAGATATTACGGTCAAGAAAATTGAAGCGTCAGACAGGTATTGCCAAGGGTTCGAAGCTAGTCCCAGGAAGGCGAGCAGGTAAGCACCCCTCCTGATGTTGATATAGCGTCTGCAGAAGAACGTCTGATAATCTGTGCATTCGAAGTACAAAAAACGCAAGATACGGACGGTAAGACACCCCTGCTCGTGTGTCAGGTAGATATTAAGATATGGGAGCAACGGCGTACGAGAGATCCATTCCGGCGCTCACAGAGTTGAGAACAATGTTAATGCCGAGCTGTGCGCATACACAGCCGAGTCCGGCAAAGAAACTGAACCGTAGTCAGAGGTGGAGCAAGAGCGCTTAACATGTTACGTACATCGCAGCGCGGACTGTCCGATGGAGAATTGAGCACCCACACTTACTGTGAGATCGTGCTTACCTCTTGAAGAGTCATTACTGAAGAAATCTATTAAGCTATGCCCAGCGGACGATATCCTCCACTTACTAGTAATCCTGCAGAGTCGCGAGAAGCAGGAAAGGCTCCCAAATCAAACTCCCTACAATTTCTTGGGCACATGACGTGACAACGATGCCAATCGTGGCACACACAATGATGCAAAATGGACTGGGAGTAATCAGTCAGGTCAAACCAAGATGAATGTGGGTTGTGGACATACGCGGCGATGAGCTGAGATAGCGTTGGCGTATCTGATTGGACGTGTTAGTTTGACAAATAAGAATGCGGTAGCGTTGGACAGACATGGCCGGTTTGTATAGCGTGTCCAATCGCTTTGACCAACAGTCGCACCGCCCCTATTCACCATAGCATATATTAGATGCGGGTGCAAGAGCGACAAGAAGATGACAGTCTCGCACCATCCGCCAAGAATCGCGGTGATACCAAATAACATAGCCCTATCGCATTGTTTATCAAAATATCTAATGTTATCTCAAGTCACGATCTCACCATCCTGTTCCACCGTGGGTGGGACTGGCTTGCTCACGAAACAAGGGACCACCAGAATGCGTGTTCGAGACCGCCCAAGCAAGAAGTCCGATCAGGCTGGATTGTAAATGAAGTGAAGCGCATGTATGAAATTAGAATGGTGACGGTTCTTACGTGCAGCTAAACATGACAGATGAGACAATGAATGGTTTCTGAAGCCGCTCGGGAGGGATGCGCATGATTGTGATGAAGAACACGTAGTAAATGCTGGGTACAACATGTCAGATTTAATGGATTCGTGGAGAGCGGATGTGTCGGACATCATGCCTATGAAATCCTTGGTCAGTAATGTTCCTCCTGCTAACGTTTGTTTCCTAAGTCATTGTGCGTGAGTGGCGGGAAAACCTAAAAAGTCGAGTTTTCTCACATGTGGGCAAATCCTAAAAAAACAAGATAAGATAACTACCGCTCAATCTGCAAGGAAGGTCACGCACCAGGAATGATAGCAGCCGATTGTTACCTATTCAGACGTGTGGAATAAAGTAGGTGCAGGAGGGCTTTGGGACGTACCGCAACAGCTGCACGAAAGTTTATCAGAGACAGAACAGAAAACAGGAATAGAAAGCAGGTTACCTTGTCCACCCCAGTAGGCCTGGAGGCCATCCCAGCTAAATGCGTATATCTGCTTCCTGCACTTAAAAAGAAACTCAAAAGACTTACAAGATGATTCTTGAATTGTGAAATTAAGCAGTGTACCCCAATATGTTTAGCACATCACTCACACAAAGGCACGAATGATGACAGGAAAATAGGCACCTCTGCAAGAGGAGTCAACATAATCTGCCGCTATCAGTTGTTGCATACTCGCCGCATGCCCCAGCTAAACCTGCACGCCACAGTAAAGCCTATGTGGTGTCTGTAAGCTGTCAGCATTTTGATGGAATCCATCCCGTGACGCAGTATCCCCACCTCTCTCCCATCCATCCGCAGGTGACACAAAGCCCTCCAACAATGAGACCTCCGATGACGAGGGTCACGATGGCCTGTTTTGCATCTAGGCCGTACGCGAGTAATGTGCTGCCCATGGTATACCCTGAAATGCAGAGACCACTGATGCACCAGTAGATGAAGTATGTCCATATCTTGTAGGTGCGGCGCTCTTTTGGCATGGGGATGAGGTCGCGGTTGAGCCATGGTGTATTGGGCACTCCAGGATCGGTTGGTACTTCAATGTACTGGAGGAACTTGCGCCATCGAGACGGATGAGGACCTGTTTCATTTGAGTTGGCCATGGTGGATGGTCAGTAATACTCAGTCTCAATGTCTTAATGCTGGTGATGGAGTGTTACTTGGAGACGAACGATACGGAGTAAGGCACGAACTTTAGCTCCCCATTCTGCAGAGAATAGTACTTAGTATGGTGGGGTAACGTTATGGTGACACCATGCGGTTAGGTCTGGAGCCGAATTTCGATATTGGCTCCGAATCAAGGCATACTTGGGACTGATGAAGCGATGTCATGGCCACAGCTTGTAGCATAATTAAGTAATGTTATTGGATAGGTCGCATTACATAAAATTGGGTTTCGAAAAATGAAAAATTTAACGGCGAGGCAGTGCTCGGTTCTACATACTCAGCTCGCAATCAATTAAAGACTAATGGCAGCTTAAGGCGATTTCCTGAAATCTCGGTAAGCTCGGTAAAGCTTGGTAAAGACGCTCTGCTGGTAATTAACATAAGGCTTGATTTTCTCTGAAGTTGGCTTACTCAACTACAGCTTACACCGGCATCGTGTCAGAGCTTAAAATATATGCCTGCCCTATGACCTACAACTACATTGTTCTGCACAACTGCAGGACACACAGAACCTCTCTCCAACCCACTGCCTGGTCAAGCAGAAGGTCATGAATCCCCCTCCAGTCCCACACTCCAACAGTGGGAAAGGAAAGTCCAAGCATTCTAAAGGAGATACCACCGAGTCAAGCATCAGTTGGCAGGCGGATCTCCAACATACCAACATGCTGGTTGATTTCCTTATCAACAATCCAGCAGATTGTTGCATTCTATTCTCTAGCGAGGGGAAGAAACCTACCAATCCTAATATTGAGGGTCCTCCATTGGGCAAAGACAAGAATGCCATCCATGCGGTGATAGCAAGTGTAATCTTTAGTGGTGACAGTGTATATGCAGATCAATATGCTGCCAATTGCATCAGGTTTTGTGACTCTGTGGGCAACCATATATAGGGCTCTGCATGGGTAAACCCTGGGGTGTTGGAGACGTCACCCGCACCCGCACCCCAAGGTATACCCATACCCCAACAAGGGGTGTGGGTTTTGCAGTGGGTACAAGTAAAAGGTACCTGGACCCGGACCCTTTAAGAGTGCACCTGCAGGTCCAGAGTAAAATGCATTATACCTTACTTTACAAAACATGTGTAGTAGCTACTGAAACATGATGTCAATCCGGTCCCAACCATCCTCGAGCTCTTCCTCCTCCCCTTTGACATCAGACATATTGCTAACCTTTATAACATCATTGGTCTTCACAAGATTGAGGCTGCTCCAGGAGCTGAGGCATAGCAGTGCACGAGTTGATTGGGCTGATAGATGTGAACAGGACATGCGAGAGTAAGAGACATCCATGGCTAAATAGCCTGTTCGACATCAACAGACGTGGCTGTTGGTAATTAGTTAGCTATTTGTTAGTAATTACGATGCAGAATAAAGCTTACCAGGGATGGTCAAATAATCAAGCGCCATTCGAGACAATTGCGGGTAAGATGAACGGTGTGCGTGCCACCAAGCTACTGCATCAGTGACATTCTCAATGTCTGTGCCAAGGTATTGGTCTAACTCGTTGCGTAGGTCTGTTGCCTTGGGAGGTGCGAGTGCCAGCAAAGCGTCGAAAATGTTTGTGCTCTTATATATTGTTGAGTGACTGAAACAATGAATAAAAAAAACATACCAAGATGTGTGGACCATCCTCTGCAGACACCATCTCAACATCGTCTCCTTCGACATCTGAATTACAGTAAGCATGCGCGAATTCGTCACGTACAAGTGTCTCAGCAGTGTTGATCCAGTTGTCCTCCCATCGAGCTGTCTTGAAGTAAGCTAGTTTATGGCGAGGGTGTAGTACTGTAGTTCAAGTTATATCAAACATTAGTTAGCAATGATGATGAGGCCAAACGAAACAAAAAAAAACATACCCATTGCAATGTGATACACTTCAGAGCGATCAGTAAGTTTATAGTACCTGTTTAATGTTTCCTTGGCCAAGCGAACTGCAGCACAAATAGCTGGCGAGTATTTTTTGTTGCGGGAGTACAACATCAATTTCTCATCTATGAGATCCATGGCGGGGATGACAGTGGCAAGGTTGGGTGTAGTGCGGGAGAAGAACAATGTTGCATCCTTCAGAATCTTAGGTAATACATTAGCACAGTAGTTATGGTTTGCTTGGATATACCTTGAGAATATCCCGAAGCTGTGCGATAATGTCCCACTCATGATCACCCAACTCAAACTTCCAGAGACCCAACACACGCCTCTGTGTTACTGTATCAACGGCTATCTGATGCTTGAGTGCATACTCGAGCATATCCAAGGTGGAGTTCCAGCGAGTTGACACATCACGCGGCATCAGCGTGACTGGGAACTTCATGTCTTCGAGGATCTCACGCCAGGCCAGAAGAATAACAGTTGTTGAATGGATGATCTTGTATGTGAGTTTGCACACCTAGGAGACCATGTTAGCTTGAAGGTATGTGTTTTTTTTTACTTACCTTTACAAGTGCCAACTTAACTGGAAGAATGCTTGCTTCCAGCGCAAATCACTCATCATCGGCCAGCTCCTCCATTTCATTCACCCAACCATCATCATTGTCTTTAAGCTCATCATCCTCTGCAATCATCTCTGCATCCTCCCTATTGATTTCTTCACTCAGCTCATCAAGTTCCACCTGTACGCTGTCGTCGTTGTCATTGGTGGCTGTTGCCGAGTCCAAGGCTATGTCAGCATGCTTCTTCGTCACATTGAACTCGCAAATCAATGATTTCGCAACGAGGTTTACGGTGTGCAGGAAACAGCGAGTGTGGCTTGCTGTCCTTCCGAATGCAGGTACACTAGCCGCAAGTTTATCCACCATAACATTGTTATTTGATGCGTTATCACATGTCACGCTCAAGATCTGGACCAATCATGTAAGTTACTGTGTGTTTGTCTTTAAAATTTACCTTTTCTGAAATACCAAATTCTTTTAGCATCTCCGCAAACACATTGGCCAACTCCTCGCCAGTGTGTGACTATCACAACATTAGCAGCTGCACATTTATTAAGGTAAGAGATTTACCTTTGCAACTTCAATTATGTCTAATGGTAGGCTTAGTGGAACACCATTATGCTCGAGGTGTACCGAGAATGCAACAAATGCTTGGTGGTTTGGTGAGCTCCATCCATCTGTTGTGAAGTTAATTTTGCCGTTATATTCCTAGTAAGTTTTTTCAATCTGAATTTCCAGCATATGTTTTGAACTGACTTGTAACATTTTAGCGACTCGTTGGCGAGTCTTTGCAAAGATGAGCCGAACATCACGCGAGACTGTAGATGGCAAAGGTAAGTAGTATTCGGGCCTTCCCATTTTTATTAATGATTGGAATCCTCGGTCCTTAACAACTTCGAATGAACACAGGCTTTCCGATACCCACAGCACAATTTCTACCCTGGAACAAGATGGCTTCAGCCCCAACATCAATGATAACGCGAAGATCTCACTTGGTTTCTGCCTGTGTGTGCTGGCTGGTGCGAGTAAGTCATTTTACCTTTACCTTTTCAGTTCAAATGATGCAGTAATTGTTCCGTTCTTCAGAAAGATTCTGACAATCCTTGTATGGACTTCGTTGGCGTCCTTGGCCTCATCAGCCGCACTCAATATCTCTTCGCCCCAACAAGACTTTATATGTTTGCGCATATTGCCAGTGGAGTGTGCATCTTTTTTGTCCAGGAAGCGGCGGATGCTTGCCTTGCATGCTTTCGCGCAACATTTGAACTCGTGTGCTCGTCGTCCATCAATCTCAATGATGCGGGGAGTGGGTTCAAAAAATGCATAGACCGGTGAGACCCATTCATCCATGAGCTGTTCTGTTGTAATTCTAATTAGTTGCATTTTTTTTGTGTATTAGGAACATACTTCGTTCATCCTCAGCACTCTCTGGACCCAAACTTTGGTTATCATTTTCATTTTCGCTTTTTTCATGCTCATTGTCAACAATAATTGGGTCGTTGTGTAGCAATGCCTCCTCTTCCTCAGTCCGAACCACAGCATGACAATTCTTGCAAGGTGCAGGACCTGTTCCCACGTCAGGTGGAGATGATGAGGCCTTGGCAGAGACTGGTCTATCTTTGGGTGTACCAGTTGGAGGGGTTGGTTTTGCCTTCTTAGGGTTGCTTGAGACTGCGCTCGCACCCTTGGCGGCATCAATTTTCCGCTTCTTTGATGGGGCGGCTGCTTCGAGTTTGTCTTTGATTGCTGCTTTGGCCTTGTCCTGTCAGCTTGGTGACCCATTTTGCAGCTGCAGGTAAATATATTTGGCTGCATGGTTGGTTGTAGAGTTGGGCAGGTGTTATTGTGATGATTAGTTAGTTCAGAGTTTGACACTTGTGGCTGTCACAACCCAAATAACGAATTAATGCTTGGGCAGAGACTAGGACTCGACTAAGGTTATCGGACAAGAGAGAGGAGCAAGTACGTCTTGGATTGCTACAGTTGTAGATACAAGAGGTTTGAACTAAAGAACTATCGACCAAGACATGCTACCTATATACAACTATTGAGACGGAGATTGAAACTGAGTTTGTAACTACTAGCCAATCATAAAATAGAAAAGGGAATCGTACCATAGAACATTATAGAATATTAAAGAAGTATCACGTGACCATATCTTATCTTATTGTATCTTATCTAATCTATTCACAATCAAAGAACTCGTCTTCTTCATCAGTCACATCGAAGACACGTGTCGTGGGCGCTAAGGGAATCTCTGAACTGGTAGATGCTTTTGGGATAGGGTTAGGGTTTATCTTAGGTGCTGTGTATTGGCGCTTAGGAAGATTCAAGAAAGAATAGTGATTTGTTAAAGGTACTCGTGACATTACCCCCTCTCTAAGGTGAGTGTCATCACGAACGAATGAAGGTCGGATATTCTTTTCTCTCCATCGTTTGAAATCTTCCGTAAACAGTACTGAGCCTTTGATTCTTCAGTATTTTCTGGCTGCAGCTGTGGGATTCTCTTTGTGGAACTCCGCTAAAGGAATTGGAGTGTTCTTCAAATTTTCTTCTGGCTCCCAGGATGACTCTTCCTTCAGGTATCCTTCCCATTTTACTAGGTATTGCAGCTTTCCTCGGAACAATCAGCTATCTAGTACTTCTTCTACAGCAAATTCTTCCCGATCGTCAATCAATTCTGGAGGTGGTCGGTTTGGAGGTGGATGAGGAATCAATCGAGATGCGTGGTATGGGATAAGCAATTCTACATGGAAAACCGGGTGGATCTGATATTTTTCCGGTAATTTCAACTTGTAGTTCACTTCGCCGATCTTCTCTAGTATTTCAAAGGGACCTAGACGGCGATCTGACAGCTTTTGACTCGGACGACGTTGTTTAAGATTTTTTGCGTCAAGCCAGACCTTGTCTCCTATCTTATACTGAGGTGCTTCTTTTACTCCTTTGTCATAGAATCGCTTCATGCGCTCATTGACCATCTTTAGAGTATTCTCTGCATCATCTCTTGCTTCTTTCATTTGATCAACTCTCTCATCGGCGGCGGGGATTACGGACATGGAGTTTGGGTGGATCGTGAAATCTGGGTTATACCCGTAGAGAACTTTAAACGGACTGTGACCGGTTACTGTGACTGCATTGTTATGTGAAAACTCTGCTATCGGCAGCCAAGATACCCAATCATTCTGTCTATATGACGTGAACATGCGCAAGTATTGTTCAACTTCTTGGTTTACGCATTCAGTCTGTCCATCGGTTCTGGGATGATAGGAGGTCGACGCAGACCATTTCGTTCCTAATCTTTTTGACATCTGTCCCATGAACTTTGATATGAACTGAGTTCCTCTATCTGAAATCACTTTTTTCGGTGTTCCGTGATGTTTCCATACATTCTTCAGAAATAGCTCGGAAATACCCTTCGAGTCTACGTCTTTGGTGGTGGGAATGAAGTGTGCTTGTTTCGAAAATTGGTCAACGACTACAAATATGCTATCACACCCTTCACTCTTCGGCAAATCCACTATCAGGTCACAGGTGATTGTCTGCCAAGGTCCTTCTGGAACTTCATTTGGCTGTAAAGGCCCTGTTGGTCTACTCGGAAACACTTTCGTTTGTCTGCACCTATCGCAACCATCTACGTAATCGTGGACATACTTCGTCATTGAAGGCCACCAATAATTTCTGGAAATCAATTCTAAGGTCTTAGCTCGTCCAGGATGTCCAGCCGGTGGAGAGTTGCTGAAACAACTCCAATATCTCTCGGCGGATCTCTTTGTCATTTGGAACGTAAACTAATCCTCGGAATAACACCAATCCATCCTCCACATTCCATTCTTTGATTCCTCTACGTAGTTGAACCGGTGCTGCTTTTAACGTTTCTAACGCTCTAGCGACTTCAGGCTCTCGTTCTGTGCATTTTCATATCTTTTGGAGTAATTTTTCTTCTCCATGCACCAAAACTTGACCTCTTTTAGCAGCTTTTACGGTAAAGAATTCCGGTTTCAAAAGAATGCGATTTGAGTTGTCGTTTTCTACCCCCCCTCTATGGTCTGATCTCCGAGAAAGACGGTCTGCTTTGTCATTAACCACGCCAGGCTTATGTTGGAGCGTAAATTCGTACTCCGCCAGGAAAAGACTCCATCTGGCTTGCCTTCTGGTCAACTTCTGACTCGTCATGAAATATTCTAGGTTCTTATGATCTGTCCATATCTCAACCGGGTGAGGTGCTCCCTGCACATAGTGCCTCCACTCTTCCAATGCTCTAATGATCGCTAGTAACTCTTTGTCGTGAATGTCATAATTTCTTTCTGCATCATTCATTGACTTAGAGTAGTATGCTATCGGATGCCATAATCCATTTTCCATCAGTTGAGAGAGAACTGCTCCTGTTGCGTAATCGGAAGCATCGGTCTCTATTTTCTTTTTCTTCTCAACATCTGGCATGACTAAGACAGGTGCTTCTGTGAAACATTTCTTAAGTTCATCAAAAGCTTTTTGTTGTTTCTCTGTCCAGTCCCATTTGACATCCTTTCTTAGCAGATCATTCATTGGTCTGGCTATCTCTGAGAACCCCATTATGAATCTTCAATAGAAGTTGGCAAAGCCCATGAATGCTTGAATATCTTTTACGCATTTGGGAACAGGCCATTTCAATACTCCTTCTACTTTCACAGGGTCCATCAACACATTGCCTTCTTCCACAATCAACCTGAGGAACTCGACTTTAGACTGTTCAAAGCCACATTTCTCAGGCTTCAAGAACAGGTCATTCTCCTTTAACCGTTTCAGGACTTCTCATACCACCTTTCGGTGCTGCTCCCTATTTCCATTCGTAAAGACCATTATATCATCAATGTAGACGACTACTGTTTTGCCATCTATCAGGTCTCTCAGAATTTCGTTCATCATCGTTTGGAAAGTTGCAGGCGAGTTCGTAAGTCCAAAATACATTACGGTCGGTTCATGGTGACCAAACGGCGTTTTGAAGGCCGCCTTCCACTCATCTCCTTTCATGCGAATATTGTTGTACCCCCATCGTACATCCATCTTAGAGTACATTGTGGCGCCGGTAAAAGCATCAATTAAATCTTGAGATCTCGGTAGCGGATATGCATTTTTCACCGTCTTCTCATTGAGCTTTCTATAATCCATTACCGGTCTTAACTTGCCATCTTTTTTGGCCACAAAGAAGAAAGGTGCTGCTACTGGAGATTGTGAATTTCTGATATGTCCCAGTGCAGTCTCAGTTTTCAACCATTCCTTCAGTGTATCCATCTCCTTAGGTGACAATGGGTACTGGTTTCAGCATTCGGCGGAAGATCGCCTTCATCTTTAAGATCTATCGCATGATCCCACTTCTTTCTTTCAGGGAAGCGCTTAGATTCTTCTTCTGAGAAAACTCCCAGGTAATCATGAAGCCAGTCCGGTACCATTTCTTCTACCGACTGCTTCTTCTTCGTAGCTTCTTCTGCTACCTTCTGTTCCGTGGTGACCGAGGCTTTGTATCGAATCCATAATCTTTCAGGACTCTCCTCATCTTCTATTTCCTCCATGGTCGTTCTCTTAACTGCCACGTCTTCCTCTTCATCTTGATCTGCCATTACAGGCAACAAGCCGGGTAATGTCATCGACTTCTTCCGACTTTTTCTTTTTCTCAGCCCTGTTTCGGAGTCTTTTCTCCTTCTTGGTTTCACATTTCACCGGGCACCGTGAAAGCGAAAAACTTCCCTGCATTCCAATCAATCTCAGGGTTGTGGTATCTCAACCAGTCGATACCAATGATCACATCATCGCTTTATAGATCTGTAACCATGAATGCTACTTTTTCTTCTTCATGATTGCCGACTTTAAGACCTAGTTCGGTGAAGTGAGTCATCGATCCCGAGGCGTCAAGAGATCCATCAATGTTTTTAACCTGGATCGGACGCAGTAATTTTCTACAATGAATTCTGTTCTCCTTGACAAATCATTCGTTGATAAAGAGTGTAGATGCTCCACAATCTACAAGAGCCTTCAAATCTGCAGATTTGTTCTTTCCTTTCAGCGTAATGGGAAGATAGAAGTGTTCTGATTTTGTCTTTAAGTTCGCTTCTTCTACATCCGCAAAGTTCGCAAGGATCAAGTATCTACTGCCTGATTTATCTGTCTCTTGTTCCTCCAAGATTTTATTCTTTCTAGAAGCTTCCCATTCTTTAAACCATTTAGGTGGTTCTGATGCTTTTTTGGCAAGTGCGTCTGCCTTGGCTTTTATCTTAGCCAATATCTCTTTGCCTTCTGGTGATATGGTCCAGTCTTTGAACCATTTGGGAATCTCTGATTCCTTCTTCTTCGCTTCTCTATGAGCTAGGAAATCTTGGAACCATTTAGGAGGTGCGGAGTTATCTGAGGAGGGAGGGGAATTCGGAGTTCTGCAGTTTCGTGCAATGTGATTTGGCTTTCCACATTTGTAACAATTGAACGGCTGTTTAGGCCCATTCATAGCCTCATCAAGTGCGTGAAACTCATGCAAGGAATAAGTCTTCTTAGTCATTGTACCAGTTGTATTCTGGAACCCTGCTTTACTAATGACGTAAGAAGTTTGAAGGGCGAGTCGTAATGGCCCTTCCGGAAAAGGAATAATGAAGTGGTGGACGAGTCGTAACGGTCCACCTGAAAAGGAATGATGATTTAAGGGAGAGGGAAAAAGGAATGATGATTTAAGGGAGAGGGAAAAAGGAGTATGTAAATGGAAAACTGAAGTGGTCCCCGATACTAATCGGATCTACCTTGTACTTCAGGGTCAAAGGGTTCTTTATTCAACCCTACTGACACTTTCCTATCTACTAACTAAAAGAAGAGTACGTAAACTACACCTTTGTTAAGTGAGAAAAACGCGGTGTGCTTCGTGTGTGTTACTTCTCAATCACCGTAAGGGTACAGACCAAGGACAAGTTATCACTCTTCCAGCCGAAGCTTACAAGTGCGAGTCTCACTTGGATACTGTATCTAAATCCTCTTGGTAATGATGGTAAGACTATCCGCAGATGCGACAGTTCTACTAAACTCAACAGAAAGGTACTACGTGCGTACAAAGGAAAAGGTAATTGTAAAAAGGAAACTATAGTAACGTGAAGCAGGCAGGGTTTTGGGCCAGCACTTCAAGTTGCAGCGAGACACCTAATGTCGTCAACACCTCCATATACTGGCGGCTGCAATGTATGGCAGGGCCTGGTATAGGACTACTAACTACGAAAGACTATTGGTAGAAAACGCTCAAGCGAGCAAAGGAAAGGGTTTCAAAGAAAAGGAGTCGTGGTTGTTTAGACCGGGCAAGATAGAATGTGTGAATGATGTTAGACGTATGTCTCGCGCGAATGTGCAGCTGAGAGACACGTGTAACAACGAGTAAAGATGATTGTTTGAATTGTTGGTCAACCTATTGGTCGAGCCAAGGCTTCAAAGGATATAGTAGTGGATGTGAGCGGTATGTGAGAGTTGGAGTCTCCTATAGTTCAAACCTAATGTCACAACCCAAATAACGAATTAATGCTTGGGCAGAGACTAGGACTCGACTAAGGTTATCGGACAAGAGAGAGGAGCAAGTACGTCTTGGATTGCTACAGTTGTAGATACAAGAGGTTTGAACTAAAGAACTATTGACCAAGACATGCTACCTATATACAACTATTGAGACGGAGATTGAAACTGAGTTTGTAACTACTAGCCAATCATAAAATAGAAAAGGGAATCGTACCATAGAACATCATAGAATATTAAAGAAGTATCACGTGACCATATCTTATCTTATTGTATCTTATCTAATCTATTCACAATCAAAGAACTCGTCTTCTTCATCAGTCACATCGAAGACACGTGTCGTGGGCGCTAAGGGAATCTCTGAACTGGTAGACGCTTTTGGGATAGGGTTAGGGTTTGTCTTAGGCGCTGTGTATTGGCGCTTAGGAAGATTCAAGAAAGAATAGTGATTTGTTAAAGGTACTCATGACAGTGGCTTTCTTAAGGTTTTTTTTGTGTACTATTCATGTTGCGGAGTTCTCAATTAAGTAGTCTCATATATCATTTTGATGGTTCAACCCGAGAAAGGGTGTGGGTGAGGGTACGGGTACCCCAAAGGCAGACCCCTACCCATACCTGAGGGACACCCTTACCCACCACCCATGCGGGTTACCCCAACCCGTGCTATTGCCTAACCGTATCGCAACGTAAGGATTCTTCAATTATCAGATTGTAGATGCTGATCAAATTATTTGAAGTCTCCAGAATAAATTCCATGACTACCACAACGAGTTTGAATCGACTGGTGCAGGGATCGTGCCCCTTGATGCAGGTACTGCAGAAAATCTACATGGTGAGTCTGTTACTCGTGTTTATTTAATTCTACTAATAAAATTCACCATCAAAGTCAAGAAAGACTTCCCATGGTACAACAATCTCTATAAAATCTGGGGTTCCAACCCATCATTTGCTGCCAAAACGACTTCACCAAAGCCAGGCTCCGACCATGCGGGTAATCTTTTTGCCCTCACCTGTCCTGGGGGCAACACTGTTTGCTCCCCCCCGCAATATAATGTCCCTTCCACCAGTGGTCACGCTGGTAGTGGAACAGCCGTCCCACAATTTAACTACCCTCCTCCTCCACATCCCCCGCCTCCACAGTTTGCCCTCCATCAATTCGACATCGCCCTTCCTCACCAAAGTGGTCAATCAGGCAGCATTGCTGGTTCTCACTCACACTGGAATTACAATGTCTCTCCCCAAAGCACCCACCACAGCAGTATTCCCTGCTCCTCAATTCAACTTCGCCCCTCTCCCAGGAAATGCTTCTGGGTCTCCTGCAGCACTGGAATTATGGCCTCCCTCTCCAAGGTGGCTATGCTGGTGGTGTCGCTGGTTCTCTGAGTCTCCCTGCTCCCCAATTTAACTTTGTCCCCCCTCAACAGAGTGTTCCACCAAGTAGTACTTTGGGCTCCCCACAACGCTGGGATTATGGCTCTCCCCAAAGTGCTCTGTCACAAAGCCGCAACCCATACTCCACAGGCCCCCCTCCGGCTCTTCCAAACTTTACTGGAACGGACAACAATAACAACAACCCTCTTGCTGATGAGATGGAAGACCTGCGTATGGATGAGTCGGTTGGTCATTGTGACATCATTTTGGACAGCCCGCCAAAATCCAACCATCACACCAAGAAATGCCAGCAGCCTTCATCTTCTCCAACTCCACCCCCCCCCTCCCTCACTTGTCGCTCCACAGAAGCCCTGCACCTCTACCCACGATGGTCATGGCTCCTTCAAATCTCATGCTAGTCAGCTCATAGTGTGCGAGGGTGCTACTAACAGTACCCCTTCTGTTACATCCTCAAATAATTCCTGCAGCTCATTGGGACGTGGATGCACTGGCGAGCAAAGCTCATTGGTTCAACACTCCCCAACTTCGCAGACATCTGTTTCGGCCAAATCAAAAGGCAAGAACCCAATGTCAAAACATATCTGGTCGGAAATTCAAGAACAAGTTGAGATGTTGAACAATGACTTGGACAGCATACACTCTGAGAAGGTCTCGTTGTATCAGCTCAAGAATGAGCGACTGATGGTGAAGATGAATTCTAACTGCCAGCAGAAGGAGCACAATTTCATTCATGAGGAGCGAGCCAATGAGCATGCAGATGCCGCTATTGTCCATCAATGCATGAAGGAGGCCAAGGAGGTGGACATTCGCCTGCATGAAGCAGACACTAAGGCTCTTGAAGTGGAGAGGGACGTGATACACCTGCGGATCGAGTATGCCAAGCTCAATGCTGGCAAGAATGAGTGATGTACCTGCCCGTTCTCTGTTCTTGCTCTCCCAGGGCTTCAATTTGTATGTTTGTTCACTTCTTTTCATTGCTATTTGTACTTGCAGCTTCCTCATTTGTTTTTTTGTGTCTCACACTTGCATTTGTCTTGTTCTTGCACATTTTGGTATGTCTGCCACTGTCTTTCATTGTTACTTGCTATGTCTATGTACTACAATTGCTACTGTTCTGAATCGTGTGCGCTCACCCTTCACGATGTTGAGCATCTGAATAAGGGCTGTCGAGCAATTGATCCATGAGCCGTGCCCTACATGCTTGACCTGGGGTACCCTCATATGATCTATCACCTATCACTTTGTCACTGTCCCCTTCTTCAAACTCACAGCACAGAGTATGCCGCCCCTCTTTGATAGCCCAGCTGATTGTCGAGTGTCTGTGCTGTGCCTCAAAGTGGATGATCATATTGTAAAGTATCAGGCAACACCTGACCCAGTGAAGATTGATTTGAAGGTCCTTTTGATTCTGCATCGGGTGACGAAGTTCTTTGAGTGATTGGAAGTGTCCTTTCAAAGTGGCGAATGCATGCTTGACACAAATGTGAATCTAAACCAATTGAGAGTTAGTAAATATTCTAACAAGCAAAAAAATGAGCAGATACACGAGAGAGGTTGACATTAGAGGACTTTTGATTCTTTGTCAAGCGGCCGTTCTGTGGCTTCTTGAAGGGAGGAATACACCATTTCTCGAGCACATAAGCACTATCCGCCCAGATCCAGTGGTCATCCCAAAGAAGGGCATTGTGTTCTTGATAAATGCATGTCGATTTGAATGCGTACATGTCATGTGTGCTTCCAGGATGACTGAGGGAATAGTCGACAATAAGCAAGTTATGTGGCATGATAACACCCTAAAATGTTTGTTAAATTTTGTACCATTAGAATAAGAGGAAAAGATATCTGACAATTGAGAGAATAATTCGATTTCCTATCATAAAATGCTTCACCATAAAGACTAGGCTTTTCATATAGATTAATTGTGGAGCCGTCTGTTACGACTTGGATGGTATCTGTTGGCGACGCTCAAACAGAGCATGTGTCGTCAACGGTCGAGGACGTCCTTGGGCTAGCCCAAGGTTAGGGGTCTTACTTGGCGAGGCTTCAGCAAGTAAGATTTGACGCCTATGTCCAAATTGGGTAGCTTACATCAAGCGGGTGCTAGACGATAAGCTGTATCTGCCAAGGCTTACGACACCTGAAGGTTAATCGTAAGATTGTCATTAATTAGAAGGACAGAAGTCTGACTAGTTAACAGGGGCTTTGCTCGTCAATGAAGTCGATGAGTAAAGATCGAGACTAAGGACTTATCCGCGATGAGCAGATAAGAAGATAGAATATAGACTGCTGGCTAGGCAGAAGGAATCACTCTGGTGAGAGTAGGAGGTCAAGAACCAAGTAGATTCAAGTTAAGGAATATGGTACATGGTAGCGAGTTTATATAGAGGACAGGAAGCTTATTAGTGGATGATAACTCGTACTACCAGAAGAGGGAACCAGTAAATGGTAAGACTATAAAAGGAAAGCACGTTCGAGGTGATGCACGGTGAACCTGAACGTGCGGATAAGAAAGTGAGTCAAAGATCAAAGTAAGAAGTGAAACATGCAGGGGCATGATCGTGCAACTGCGGGGCTAAATATAAGTGCACATGTGCGACTGCGCACCGAGTCATAGATTCAGAAAGGGAACTGGGTATAGGGGATGCAGCATGTGTCGTATCATAGGTTACCGTCCAGACGGTAAGGGCAGAGGGACTATCCACAGGATTAGTCGGGTGGCGGAACGGAGCATGGTATGCTTCGTCAGCAAAAGGGTCTGGCCAGATATACTGGCTCTGTTGAAGCGACAGGTAGAGGGTGAAGGGGAATGCGAGGATGACGAGGATAACAAGAGGCGAGGTCAGGGTAAGGGTGTGATGCAAGGGCTGAGACGAGGAGAATGAGGAGAAAAATGGTAGGGGCCCAAGTGTCTAGATGTTCTTGTATTACCTGTCGACTGCAAAGATTCCATTTCTCTACTCAGGACATGATTTTGCCTCAACAAATTTGTGTGCATGCTCTGCATCATCAGAGTCAAGAGTGGGGAAGGTAATAAACATATTGTGGAGATCAAGAATGGCAACCATGACACGATTGCTGCAATTGATTACCAAGCCAATGCTAACACCAGCCAACTGAGTCGCATCTTCCAGAGATACAGTGTTACCGTAGTGGCCAACACGGTTAAGAAATATTGCGAGTTGGATCGCAATGGGGAGCTGCACATTGTTTGAACAATTGGTGAAGATGGCATGCCCAGAAATTTGATCTAGGATGTCATTGAATATATCTGGATTGACGTGAAGCTTCTTGCGGAACAGGTGAGGTCGAGAGTCCCCGAAATCATGAAGGAGTTGTATTTGGGGGGCTCTCATGGGAGTTGATGAAGGACATGTGCCCTGATAACCTCATCCCGAAGGGAAGCAATGGTGTCGTTCAGATAGTCATAATGTGCGGCAAAGTGGTCAGATTCATCGCTGGAGGAGGAGTTATCAGAACTGTCAGAGAAATATGGGGTAGGAGGCAATGGAGGTGTGATCATTGTGTCAAAGGAATCGTCTGAATCCGAGTCATCAGAATCAGAATCGGAGAGGTCATAACTTCTGATTGCATGCTGAAGCCTTGCCCTTTTCAAGGCTAGTTGTGCCTCGTCCAGCTCATCAAGGAGCTCATTGCATAGGGAGTGACAGGGCATGGTGATAAGATCTTATTTTGGGCTCCTATGCAATGCTGGAGTGGCATATGTTTTTAGATTCTGACATGATGCTGGCATAAGCCGTAGTTGAGTAAGCCAACTTCAGAGAAAATCAAGCCTTATGTTAATTACCAGCAGAGCGTCTTTACCGAGCTTTACCGAGCTTACTGATATTTCAGGAAATTGCCTTGAGCGCCATTACTGTCTTTCTTCCGAGCTTCATGCAGTCCTACTAGTATGGCAGTGCCCTACCAGGAACACGTCCCACCTCAACCAAAGGAAGCTGAAGTAGTATGATTACATACTACTACTATGACCTCAAGATATTTTTTGTCCTAACGGTAGCACAACAGATGCTTACAAATGATAAATGAAAAGATAAACGAAGTCAGTACTTCATAGTGATCAAGAGAGGTTGATGGTGCATCACTTTCAATACTAGAACTGTACTCGAATCTCAAACTTCTTGACTGACTCTTGAATTACTTTCTGTTTCTCTCCCTCACACATCTCATGGTATTGTGTTGATTCCTGCCACCCTACCCACACCGTCTTGTTCAACGCACACCATTTGTCTTTGAACGGGTGTCCCAGTGCACCCGCATAACCCCAAGGCTTGGATGTGTATGGCTGAACGAACAGATTGAGCACCACCACAAGATCAGGATGAACTGGTCCTGTGAAATGTACCACTCCAGGATCCTTCATGTCTCCCAGTGCCAGGGTATCTCTATCAGCCAGGCCAATCTCTGCGTAGGTTCCAAGTCCTTGTGCATTCCAGCTAAGGTTCACTCCAGCCCAATCTCCAGCAAAGTGCACATTCAGCACGTCCTGATCGTGATAGCTGGCATCTTTCATCTCACACACCCGAGCCTCAAGCTCAGACAGATGCATTCTCACCTTTGCTAGGTCAATCAGGAGCATGCCCACATTGAAGTACTGCCTTCATGAGACACCATCATGACCCTTGGGAAATCCAACATCCATAGCTGTACCGATTGAGGAACCCTCCAAGTCAGTGTTCCACAACTCCTCCAGGCTCTTGTGCACCAGCATGTCCGCATCTAGGTATAAAGCCTGCTCCACTGGCAAGATCTTCATCATATCAACTTTTGCCCAGGCTATGCCTAGTTCTGCAGCTAGACTGCTGGTTGGAAGGTCCAGGAACACTAGGGTAATATCATGTCACTGGGGAAGCGATGTCTTGATCTTTTCTTTGTCTTCGACACCAATTCCACAATCTACAATATAAATTGTCATATGTCCCGGGGTCTTCTCGATGGCACTATGAATCGTAACAGCTGCTGCCATTACATATGAGGTGTCAATGGTGAGGACCAAATAGATCCCTAAGCCCAGAGCACTTGTGAAGTGTCGCTCAGTGTTACAAGAACATCTAGATGCTTGGGCCCCTACCATTTTTCTCCTCATCCTCCTCATCTCTGCCCTTGCATCACACCCTTACCCCGACCTTGCTCTTGTTATCCTTGTCATTCTTGCGTTCCCCTTCGCCCTCTACCTGTTGCTTCAGCAGAGCCAGTACATCTGGCTGGACCCTTTCTCTGACAAAGCATACCCATGCTCTGTTCCTTCCCCTGACTGATCCTGTGGACAGTCCCCTCTGCCCTTACCTGTCTGGACGGTAACCTATGATATGATGCACGCTGCATCCCCTTTACCCTATTCCCTTTCTTGATCTATGACTCGGTGCGCAGTCACACATGTGTACTTATATTTAGCTCCGCAGTTGCACGATCGTGCCCCTGCGCGTTTCACTTCTTAGTTTGCTCTTTGACTCATTTCCTATCTGCACATTCTGGTTCGCCTATGACTCACCTTGAACGTGCCTTCCTTTTATAGTCTTACCCTTTGCCTGTTCCCTCTTCTGGTAGTACGAGTTATCATCCACTAATACACCTCCTCCCCTCTATATAAACTCGCTACCCTGTAACTAGATCCTTAACTTGAATCTACTTGGTTCTTGACCTCCCACTCCTAACAAGAGTGATTCCTTCAGCCTAGCCAGCTGTCTATGTTCTACTTTCTTATCTGCTCATCGCGGATAAGTCTCTAGTCTTGATCTTTACTCATCAACTTCGTCAACGAGCAAAGCCCCTGTTAACTAGTTGGACTTCTGTCCTTCTATTAACGCAGATCTTACAATTAACCTTCGGGTGTTGTAAGCCTTGGCAGATACGCTTATCATCGAGCCCCGCTTGACATAAGCTACCCAATTTGGACATAGGCGTTAAATCTTACTTGCCGAAGCTTTGCCAAGTAAGACCCCTAACCTTGGGCTAGCCCAAGGACATCCTCGACTGTTGATGACACACGCTCTGTTTGAGCATCACCAACAGATACCATCCAAGTCGTAACACTCAGCAGTCTGCTCCACAAGGAATCTGATTCGCATCTCACTGGTCTTTTTCAAAATCATTTGGTATTGATCTGCAGTTTTAGACAGATTCCCATATTCCCCTGCATGAAGCGCAAGAAATGCATTGATTCCACAGCAGGGATGATGCACACTCTCAATGGGCTGCTCGGGCCAATTATAGTCATCAAAAATGAATATGCATCCTTCATGTGCAAGGCGCTATGCAAGTTCTGCATCTAGGAGTGTATCATCTGTGCAGTGCAATCCGTCCACATACACCCAATCAAATCCAGTGCTCGTGTCCCATGCTATCTCCTCTTCCAGGAGTGCATATAGTGTGGGGACGCTGTACTGTGGGAGTATGCGAAATGAACAACCTGTCTGTGGAAGGTTCTGCGAGAGCTTGCGGTGGTGTTCACGTCCCATGGGAGTGCACATGAGGTCAAAATGGTTGATACAGACTATCTCACCGCCTTGAGCACAGAGTGTGGTAAGCAAAAACACTGCAGAGCTCCCTTCCCAGGACCCAATCTCTAAGATATGTGGCTTAGGCGAGGTAATGAATGCGAAGAGGCTTTTCCAGGATGGAATATTATGGGTAAACCAATCTTGTGTTGTCGTAAACTCATATTGATTTGTAAATGCAGACAGATCAGTCAACATGGATGCAGACGTGTCTGGCTGCAGTTGATAGTCAATGTGAGCATTCCAATGTGTGCATGAGGAGTAGAGCTGACCTATAGGCTGTTACGACTTGGATGGTATCTGTTGGCGACACTCAAACAGAGCGTGTGTCGTCAACGGTCGAGGACATCCTTGGGCTAGCCCAAGGTTAGGGGTCTTACTTGGCGAGGCTTCGGCAAGTAAGATTTGATGCCTATGTCCAAATCAGGTAGCTTATGTCAAGCGGGTGCTAGACGATAAGCTGTATCTGCCAAGGCTTACGACACCCGAAGGTTAATCGTAAGATCATTGTTAATTAGAAGGACAGAAGTCCAACTAGTTAACAGGGGCTTTGCTCATCGACGAAGTTGATGAGTAAAGATCGAGACTAAATACTTATCCGCGAAGAGCAGATAAGAAGATAGAATATAGACTGCTGGCTAGGCAGAAAGGATCACTCTGGTGAGAGTAGGAGGTCAAGAACCAAGTAGATTCAAGTTAGGGAATATAGTACATGGTAGCGAGTTTATATAGAGGACAGGAAGCGTATTAGTGGGTGATAACTTGTACTACCAAGAGAGGCAATCGGTAAAGGGTAAGACCATAAGAGGAAAGCACGTTCGAGGTAAGACACAAGTGAACATGAACGTGCTGATAAGAAAGTGAGTCAAAGATCAAAGTAAGAAGTGAAACACGCAGGGGCACAATCGTGCAACTGCGGATCTAAATATAAGTATGCATGTGCGACTGCGCACCGAGTCATAGATCAAGAAAGGGAACTGGGTGAAGGGGACGCAGCATGCGTCGTATCATAGGTTACAGTCCAGACGGTAAGGGCAAAGGGACTGTCCACAGGATCAGTCAGGTGGTGAAACGGAGCACGGGTATGCTTCGTCAGCAAAAGGGTCTGGCCAGATGTACTGGCTCTGCTGAAGCGACAGGTAGAGAGCGAAAGGGAATGCGAGGATAACGAGGATAATGAGGGCGAGGTCGGGGTAAGGGTGTGATGTGAGGGCTGATACGAGGAGGACGAGGAGAAAAATGGTAGGGGCCCAGGCGTCTAGATGTTCTTGTAACAAGAGCTGACCTATAGGCACAGAAGGTGTCATCAACTGGTCCTGGTTTTGTTTCTCGACACCTTTCAAGACCAGTGACTTATACCTGTCCATGTGTAGCAAGAGCCCATTAGGCTGTTGTATCAATTGTTTTTTTTCCGATTGATCCCTTACTTTTGGTAAAATCCTGTTGTCTTTAGGTGAAGGATCTGGTCTCTGATTCGGATCTTAGGGCGATGGTGGTACTTATCAGGTCCACTGGAATTTTCTATCAAGCAATAAATATGGATGTAGCCCAACTAATATAAATAGGTATAAATATACGGGGTTGTTGCCCACTAATATATAAACTACAGGAAGCTGTAAGCTGGGCTTATGCGTCATAGCACATCATTGCTTGGACGTCGGACGTTGATTGGACACTGCGTGCTGTTTATCATTATTTTGTCTGGCTCCTATATATACTGCTCCTGTATCGTGTCTACTACACATCATCTCTTATTCCCCTTAAATCTCATACGCTTCTACTCATTACTTCTCGTCTGAACCCAAACATAGTGTTTCTACCTTGGGGTAGTTTCCAGAAGCCCTCCTTATGTCCCATCTCTCTTTGCAGTCTTTTGCCCACCATCTCAATTAGACGTGTTTGCTCGCATTTTTGATACAAAAAGTGCACACAACCTCCACGTTAATCAAAGTAGCTCAGACTGGGTTATACACCTTTCCTCGAGCTTGTGGGTATATTTCCAAACCATAGCATACATCGACAGACTTACTAGATATTCCAGTCAAATAAACAATGGCGAATACCGGTGGCCTGCGTCGGTTTCTCGTCATTGGCAGGAATGGCTTCATTGTCGAGGTCTTTTGTTATTTATATGAAACAATGTTAAATTTGTTATTTGCTAGGGGTCATATGTAGCCAAGGCATTATTTGAGCAAGGCCACTATATTTGTATCGCGGATATCAAATGGACCTCTTATTTCAACGAGTGCATCTCAAATGAGGTTCTCATTGGAAACCTCTGCGATCTGTCATTTTGTGAAAGTGCTGTTCAGAGCATAGACACAATCATGCATTTTGCTGCAACGATGGGTGGCATGGGCGCAATCAACGAAGCAAATGATTTCGTGATTTACAATGACAATTCAACGATGACATTCAACCTTGTACATGCCGCTATATACTGTGGCGTCCAGCATTTCTTCTATGCATCATCTGCCTGTGTTTATCCGACATCATTGCAGCACCACGGAATGAACCCCATCTCCCTCCGCGAGCATGACATGTGGTCTTCTGGGGCTCCAAACCCACAAGGCCTCTATGGTCTTGAAAAGCTGAACTCTGAGCTACTCTTGATGCAGTTTGTCGAGAAGATGCAGATACACATTGCTTGGTTTCATAACATTTTTGGCCCATATGGCACATGGGTTGATGGACACAAAAAGCACCTGCTGCAC